CAAACAGATGGCCAGAATAGCTTTGAATGTTGACTGCACTACTCCTTCTGTTGAGATGTATGCCTGATTGAAATGGGTTCCCATAAAAGACCGGTGGGATTATCACATAAGTACTCTCATGTACAAAATTGTTAATGGCAGTGCTCCGACTTACCTCTCTGATGAATTTATTCTCGCCAGAGAAGTACATTCACACCAGACTAGGAATGCAGTAGGAAAAAATATATGTCCTCCTAGACCCCGAACCAGAGCAGGTAAACAATCTTTTCATTCTGTTGGGACACAGGTTTGGAACAACTTGGCACCTAATATAAAACTGGCCAATGATCTCACGTCTTTTAAAACTCTGTACTGGGCAAATAAATAGATGCATTTATATTATTTGTATTTTAAGATCAGCTGCCTTTTAATTAATGGACAAGGGAAAAGCGAAAGTCAATTTTTAAACAAGACAATGGTTTTTAACTCGGGATTAATGTTCCATTTTAAATCTGTTTATCTATACATCGTCTGTTGTAATTTAGGGTTTTCATTTTGCGTGGTTTTAACTCCTTGGATTATTTTGTAATGTATTCATTATGTCTTTCATTGTGTCTTTTGTAATTTTTGTCGTTATTGTTGTTATGTTTTTATGTAATCCAGGGCCCCAGGGAGAACAGTTCATTGACAACTGATAAAATAACACGAAATAAATAAATAAATTAAAAAAATCTTTTAATCCATTGGTCATTCTTTCCCGATCCAATTTACTTTACTAAAAAAATATTTGAACAACATTTTTTTTTTAAAGATTTTTACCTAGCCTAATTATAAACTGTCATCTTTATTCAGTTCAATGCACCCCTCCCCCAACCGACAACAGTGAAAGGTCGGCTGCTACAGTCCCACAATTAAGTACTTGAATGTAGGACTGGTGCTCCGTAGAACTATAGCGGGTCTAGCTAGCCACCTTTCTGGGACCTTACAAGCCATGCAGCATCACATTTCGCTGCTACAGACCCACAAGTACTTGAATGTAGGACTGGTGCTCCGTAGAACTATAGTGGGTCTAGCTACAGTTGGTCTGCCAGCTGGCTTCTTTTGACCTTACAAGCCATGCAACAGAGCAGGGAAGCTGACGGACTTGGCACTTTTATTTACTCCAAGTTGTACCGGAATGAAAACCCCCATTGCTGGAGGTTTCTTATGGGGATGCTCTACCCCTCAGGACACATGGCCGTCATGGCAAAGCCATGCTGGCGCACGAAAATCAGACAGAAATGTGGCTGTGATGTGTGGTTTTAGTATCTTCCAGAAAAAGACCGAGAAAAGTATACATCTCGAGTACCTGCCAAATCACTCGTCTGAATATTTATACGCTAGGGCAAACACCTCGACAATTGTTCAACCAGACAATGAACCTATACAAGCAATAATCTTGGAATTACATGTATAAAATATTTACATGGGAAAGTATAAAAATGGTACAATTATCCCGACTTAAATTGTGAGAGATGGACCTGAGGACTAGCTTCTCATGTTGTTGAGGACGAACGTAAACCGTCCATGCGCGGGAAGCACAAAGGTCGCAGACAAAATAATGTTTCATATAGAAACATGCAAATCAGATACGTCATCTACATAATAATATTGGGAAGGACTAATGAGGTCGCCCTTGCTCAGGCACGGTCCCCTACATTAAATGAAAGTAAGAAAACTTAATTGTGTAAATTGTTATTCGGTTGTAGGGATTTATTTATTATTTATGTGGATTGTGCACCATCCAAGGGCGGATCGGGGGGGGGGGGCCAAAGGGGGCCATGCCCCCCCCCCCCAAAAAAAATATTTTTAAATTGTTTTTTATGTGATGTCGCAATAAAGGCAGGCAATGAGTACATCACAATCTTTTCCTCCAGAAACATCGTTAAAGTGGTCAGAAATTGCCTCAGATCGCACCATAGAGCACCTAGAATCCAAACAAATTCCCCCGAACCCCACGCCGTAATTCCCCCCCCCACCCCACTTTTTGGGGGACCAAATTTTTTTTGCTCCCCCCCCCCCCAAATTGTGTTCTGAATCCGCCCGTGGCACCATCTGTACCGAACTGTATGGTTGTAAATTTGGCCAATGATGTCGCACCTGGAGAGAGAACAAATTAAGGTAATTGAAACTGTAAAAAAAAAATAATCTTTCAATTATTCTTACAAATTAACTAATAATTTGTGGTGTGCAAAACGCACGCAGAATTGCTCCTAAAATATGATTCATGAATACATTTTGAATATTGCCTCAGTCATGAACCATGAATTCTATAATTTTAGTATATGTTTTCCAGATATTTTGAACAGGGTTAGGTTAATGAATTTCACGTCAACTAACTTGTGAATGCCGAAATATAAGTACCCTTGTGGTATATGTTGTACACCTAAGAAACATTTCCCCCAAAACTGACGCACTGAGAGATGAAACAGAAAATGAAGTAAAATGTTAGGACTCAAAGAGGATTTTTTTTTTAACGATACTCTTAATGTATTAACCATTTCATTATGAACACAGAATGTACTTCTGCAGAGAGAATATGTCCCATGTGTTCAAACAATCACGCCGAATTGTTCAAATTCATGAGCGCCAATATTTATTGCTACATGCCATTCAAAAACAGTATCAGTGACAGTCATAACGAATATATGCAGGTCCATTCCCGACAGGCCTATAAAAAGTGGGTAAGAGCAATCGTATGAGGCAGGGACAAAATAATAGTCCTGAGCACATTCAGATGTTTAAGACACATGGAAAACCGTTTATACTGATATGAGGCATACTTGAAGCCGTTTGACGGGAATATTATTGGGGAGGGATGGAATGCGGGTCGGCAGTAATGTTTGTTATCCTTGTGATAGATGCCTGCTTATCTAGGGAGTGATACAGTATTTCGTTGCTATCTGTTTGACATGAGCTCGTTCAATAAGCAACTGAGTTGGGAGACCGAAGAGGTAGTGATTCATGTATAGAGGGTGACTTTTTGATAGAATGTCTTCCCTTATTTTTTTAATCTTTAGACGACATCGAACCTCTCCCACCTCGCACGTTTACGTTATTATGTGGACATTCCTTTGTTTTCGTGTAGTTAAAAAAACCTGTGAAAAAAACCCAATAATTTTACTCACACTGTGAAAACACTTTCAACCCATTTTCCCCCCTATGATTCCCTTGAGTGTTTCTCTTCATTTTGCGGCTAATAAACCTAACCCCAAAATGCCTCTAAACATTTCCAGAGAGGGGGAAGCCTTGTGTGGACGTGGGCCAGTCCACACGACGTCGCTGAAACCTGGTTTATGTGGACATCTGTTGTTCGGGAGTCCACACAATGAATGCAATGCTTGCAGACACACGCCTCCTCAAACTACAGCCTTCTTAAAGAAAAAAAAACACTCGTCTTATTGAGCATTTTTCAAACCAACTGTACGTTCTTGCAAGTTGCACACCTAGCTGTTTCTCTAGGTTCCCATGAAAACCAATGACATTTTGAATCTTCTGAAATGGCTCGCATAAAGCACAGCTTTTTTATTATTCAAAGGCACAGTGTCTTCTCATTTTGCAGAATTTTTGACAGAAAAATCATTTGAATATGTTCTTGGAAAGTATGGGTTGTTGGAAGAAGCTTTGAAAATTGCAGATTCAAGCCTTTGGGGGAAAAGGCAGTTACGTCAAGTATCGTTATTGGCACTGAAGGAGGCTTGAAAATCACAGTGCGTGTTGTGTGTGTCAGTTTGTTTCTGCATGCAATAGAGGACATTGAACAATAGAGGACATTAGAGTCCCCAATTCCCAGAGGTCCCCGATTTGGCGATTGTGTACAAAACTTATGGGATGTCTTCCTAAAAAAGTTGAAACAAATGGGGGACAACTGGGGTCCCCCGTTGCAGGCAAATGCACACTTGTGTGCGTGCGTTTCACTGACCTGGTGACCCTGTATACCTTATCGGCCACCTTATCCAACCACACAGGTCAATGGAGTAGACCATTTTATACAATGGGGGAGTGAAGACCAACACATGCCTATACATGTGAACTACTAAATGTTTGAGTTTAAAGATTTGTTTTATTGAATAACTAACACTGTCTTACATACACCATATAAAGCCGCCAATATGAGCAATCCTGTTGACATTTTAAAAGTGCAATAGAATATAGATGTCAATTGGATGTGCGAGTATTTCTTTTGGGTGTACTGACAATATGGCGGGGAATTGTTCAGCCTTGGCGGAGGTTTGCGGTCTCTGTTATGAGTACTTTGTAGTTGTTTATGTAATCAGAAAGATACAGCCCAAAATTATGCACGCAGTTTGACAAAAGAAGTTGACATACATGTAAAACAGAGAGAGAGAGAGAGTGGGCCTTTCAAAAACCATATAACCGTGAAAAGAAAAACCAACTTGGACTAACAAACAAATGTACACGAAGCTACAATCCCGGCTAAAATGGTTGGGACACTTTCTGAGCCTGCCATGGTCACCCACTCCCCCGCTCCCCCGGTCAATGTTGTTCTCTCCAGCTGATGGAGCACACACCGCGCAATGACAGACAACATTAAACGGGGGCCGTGGGGGTTAGGGGCGCAGCGAGATTTGGCCAGGATTGTAGGTACGCGTTAGGCGGTTCCCTAACCTCCGTCCTTCCACCATAAGACTTAGTTTGTTCATTATAATTCTTATATAAACAATGAGCTAGACAGAGTACTTTACTTATTACAATTTTAATTGAAACATTGCTTAATGCACGAGATTACATGCTGCGACATTGGAAAACTTATGAGAGGTTTTGTTTTCCTCCAATGATACTTGTAACACACGCGCGAACCGCGTCAGCACTTCCACGCTGGCCTAGATTATAAATATATGTCTATAATATATATGTCCTTCCCGGACCCCATACCTGGATACACCACTGCAGTGGTAACTCTACCTATAACATTTGCAAGGTGAGAAGTGTGGGGGGGGGGGGGGTAGCCTGAACAACCAAACAAAACGAAATCCAACCCAAACTACTGTTTAAATAATGGCGAATAAGAAATGGCAATCATGAAGTCAGGCAAAGTGAGTTATCTGACAGACAGGTTAGTTCATCTCAAAATAGTTGCGATATTCCCAGTCGGTGTCTCCGTCTGCTTGTGCCTCCCTGTCCTTCTCCATCTCGTTTCGCTTGACGGCGAGAAATGCCCGGCAGAACTCCTCCCCAAAAGCCTCGGTGATGACGCTGTCTGCTTCGAAGGCTTCCAGGGCGCCCTGGAGGGTACTGGGTAGGTCCTGGGTATCTGGCGGTACGTCGGCCTGCACGTACGCGTCGCCGGTAACTCGGGCTGGGAGTGGCAACTTCTTGGCGATGCCGTCGATTCCAGCGGCCACTGTGGCGGCTAGCGTCAGATAAGGATTGCTGGCACTGGCTCCCATGCGATTCTCCAAGTAGGTTCCCGCCTCACCTTGGATCTTCAGACGCAAGGCGCAGGTCCGGTTCTCAATCCCCCACGTGGCGTTGGTTGGCGCGAAGCTGAAAGGTTTGAATCGTTTCGGGCAGTTGGGAGTTGGCGCCATGAGAAGACTGATTGCTGGAGCGTGGGCGAGGATACCGGCGATCCAGTGCCGTGCCACTTCGGATATTTTCAGCTCATCCCTAGGGTCATACATGACGCCTTTCTTTCCTGCAACATCCCAGAGGGAGTGACAAAAGTGGGCGGAGTTTCCGCTCCGATCCGCCCACGGTTTAGACATGAACGAGGCGATGTAGCCCCGTTTCTGCGCAACCTCCTTTATAGTTGCGCGGTAGAGATGCGCGTTGTCAGCCGCGCGGATTCCAAACGCCGGTTTGTAGGTTATCTCAACTTGACCCGGGGAAATTTCGGTGTCCAAAGCTTCCACGTTCACACCGATCCCGGTCAAACTTCGCGAGAAGGCGTACATCAGATCAGTGTCTGCGAAGATGCTTAAAGAGGACCTTAGGTTTCCCTGGTGTAGTGGTTTCTTGGACTCGGCATCGATGACGTAGAACTCGTGCTCGTGGGCCGACAGCAGACTGTAGCCCAACTCCTGAAGACGATCCAGCTGTCGTCTGGCGACGTAACGTGGGTAGGACGGTACGGGCTTGCCGCGGAAAGTCGGCTCCATCAACACTAGGGCGGTGTTTGGAAGCCAAGGCACCGAGCGAAAGGTGCTTAGGTCGGGGAAGAAAACCCCGTCGGTCCAGCAAATCTCGATGGCGTACCCGGTACCGGAGACAAGGTTGCACGCCGTATCCATGGCCAGCTGAATCATCGGGATGTTGACACCTCGCTTGGATTTCTCCGGAGCATGACGAGACGGCACGACTTTACAACGAGATATGCCGTTCATGTCGCCAAACTCGAAGCGGACGAATTCGATTCCCTCTTTTTCCAAGACACTCTGTAGGTTTGCCAAGGTCGGGTGGTCATTCTTCAAGGCGTTCATATCTGATGCTGGGGTTTTGCTTCTGAAAAGAGGAAAGCATTGATTCCAAAATAGTCAAGTGGTTTTACGACTATGAAGCTAAAAACTACACACAATCAGTACAGTGATCCAGGCCGAAACGGACACGGGTCTACCGACTGATGTACGTTGTATGCCGACAACAAACTGGGTGACGACATGTGATATAACCCATCGGATTTTTTGTTTACCTGACAGCAGTGTTAAGCCAGATTCTACTCTCTTTTTTTTAACGAAAGAGGGGATGTCCAAAAAACTAATTGGGGGATTGGCAACCTACAAAAAAATCACCGGCCGTGAAAAAAAAACCCAGATATGGGTCGGGTTCGGGTTAACTGTAACAAAGGTTCTTTGACATATTGCACTGTCAAAATAATTATAAATATCAATTTTTGATAGTTCCACAAGTACTTTGGCCTGAGCTACTCGGCCCAATTTACGGTTGAAATACCACATTAAGTGAAGCGGTTGTACCATGTCACGCATCAAACAATACTCTTAACAAAAGGAAAAAGGTACGACAAATATCAAGTGTTGAGTCTTACAAAAGGTAGGCAAAAGTCAAATGATTGCATTCTTTCTAACGTAACCCGTCCGTGACCTCGTGAGCTAGGAAGCACAAGAGCTCTAGTGTGGAATAATTTACAGAACTTTTTTTGTTTATTTTATTATTATTATTATTTTATTTTTTACATTATGTGGCTGGCTCTTTTTCATAAAATCACATAGGGATAAATACATGTCAATGACTTGTATCTGTGCAAATTTCACTTCATTCGCATACTCTATTCCCAACTTGACTACATGGACTTTAATAAAAAGATCACAAAAATCAGCTGTCCAACACTGATCATTTACCGTTCTACAAACTGATGAATGATCATTAAATAAAATGAAACATAAACCTTTTCCCACCTCCATGAATGAACAAAAATCGCCATCAATATTTCAGAAAAAAAGTGGACTTGTTCGTCATATTAAGAACACAAAATCTGACAGTAAAAATAATGTTCCAGTATTGACTGAAATGATTGAAATCCCATTTGTATTTGAATGCGTGTGTGTAGTCTGTAATTCTCAGTCAGCTCAATAGCTTCATATGGTATTCCATGGACAGCTATAAAAAAAAAAAGAGGTTCTTTTTTAAAACAAGCAAAACCTCCGACAGCATGGATCGATTTCAGTTACTCTCTTTTTTTCTTCTCAGACGAGTGCAAGAACATGCTCTCTTAAGCCGTTCTTCATTCGTGTATTAGATTTGATGCTTGTTAAGAAAAAAATCATTACCCCAGGTCACTCTCTTTTTGACTCACCCTCTTAGAGTACTTACAACATCAGCGTGACAAAATAAGTGGTAGGCTACATCAAAAAAAACCAAAAGAACAAAATGTGTTCTATTCTGCATACGCATAATAAGTGGGAAACGTCTTAAAGAAATTTCGTAGTATCCATAATAGTGGGCCACAGTAATCCATATTATAGTTACAATTATTGGTCAACATGGGGGGAATGTATTAATAGGCCTTATCTATGTTGGAGAAAATTGTTTAAAAGACCCCTTACCTTGTCAGCCCGTAGGTGTTTCTTGGAATGTTTGATAGGCAGGAGATGTATATAGCAAGAGTGACGTCCTGTAAAATTCTTGAGAGGTAAAAATAGCTTGCGACAATCTCGAAGGTCTGCGTGTGCGCGAAGTGATGCGAGCATAGACATCTGTCCCAAGTACTTCTATCAGGTTACTGGTGGTCGAGCATTATATACCCCCCCCCCCCCCCCCCCCCCCAGTGCTCAGTTCAAGTGTGCGCAAAATCGACCGGTAGCGTCATTGTGTCACTGATGCAGCCACGTGGTTGCGAAGGCCGATTTCTAAAGTTAGGTAATACTTTATTTTGAATAAAACAACATGCACACAGACAATCTTTGAAAATCGATGAAAATATTTGAAAATATCTTCCGTCTGGAAGACCGTATCTTCATGCAACTTTCAGGGTTTGTTTCCCTTATAATGATCCAAGTATGTCGTTTTGATAATGTTCAGTACTTTCCGTTGCAATTGGAAAATAGGCCTGGTTACGTGCATACGTGTTGTTACACTGGTGTTTGCAATATCTGTCAATCTTTTCAAGCCTCACGAATATAATTAAGGTAAAAGAATAACTGACATGCAGTTAAAATTTACAAAATAGCCTCCTTCGCGACTTATTAATTAATAAATATCACCCTTTTTGCCGGCTTCCTTTGGTCGATACCGAGACCCACGCGAAGTCACGCCGAGTGACGCTAATGAATATGCTAATATGCGCTTCGTCACTGTTGCCCGGGCCAAAATCGGCCCGCCTGAAAACCATGCACGTGGGTTTGGTCGGAAAAAATCCTGGTCGAAATTTTCCTGAAGATAGTTCAAGGTGTTACACATGCGTTTGCAACAACTGATCAAATTGAAATTCGGAAGATACTTAGATATAAGTGTCCAACAACTCGTGAAATAACAACTTCAGGAGATTCCTAGACACTGAAATAACTACATAGATTTGGGGAAGTTTTCGAACGATTTCTTCCCGACTTTAAGATGCAGCTTAACCAGTAACCAGTATTGACTTTCGACATCGATGACGGCGATATTTTTTTTACTGACATGAAGTTTAGAATTTCTTCTGCCGTTATAATTTAACATTTCAATCACACTGAGCATATTTTCTGAGAAACACAACGTTCAAAAGGCAATTTTTTTGGAGGGGGTGCATGAATTTCACTGCTCTGTTATAGCGTCCAAGTACATAGGCTGGATGGGGCTGCAACGCACACAAAAATCCCAAGCAACCTTCCCTCATATTTTTCTTAATTTGTTGACTCCTGATGTCGCGATCAATTCAAATCGTTAATTCTCGAATGGAAATACAAGCATTCAATCGTTCATTCCCGCAGCATAAAAGCATGAGCTGTCATCTTGCAAAAGTGTGGTCATCGAATTTTGTAATAATTTCCACGTGTGGCCTTGCTCGGTGATAATTAGTGGGTTGGGAGTTTTGACGCCTAAGTAATAGCTGTGAACGACGGATGATCATTTCGTCAGTTCTCCAAGGTGATTTATCATAATAGGAAACCCAGCGTTTCGTGAAAGTGATGATGATTTTATCACCTTATATTAAAATAAACAAAATGCATGCAGATGTTCGTCCAACGATAGGGCCGCTATTACTATTACGACTGATGCTAACATAAGGTTGCACAAGACAGGTCTTACACAGTGGTCTAGTCCAAAACTTCCCCAGTCGAGTGCAAGAGAGCAAAATTCACTCGGTGGAAGCTTCACAGCAAATATCAATAATAAATAAAGTAACAACTGGTATTTGTATAGGTCGTTTGCCAATGATGCAAAGCGCTATATCAACAGAACTGGGATAAAGTGAGATTTGTATAGTCCGTTAATTAAAATATTCATTATTATAATTATGATGAGTGATAAATCAAATCAAATCAGATTAGAATAGAAGCCGTTTAAGCTGTTCAACAGACGATGCATCCCGGCATCCCGATGGTGATGGGGAGAGAGTTCCGTGTTGGGGTTTGGTGATGTATTCGAGTCCTTTACAAGTCTCTGCAAGTTCATGCAAGTCCATCACAAGTCCTCCAGTCCCAATTCTAGTCACAAGCTACTCAAATGAGCTTTAACAGGTGGGGCATTCTGTTGTTTTTGTCCATCCACTGTAACTAGCAGCTGGAGTTGTTATGGACTGGACTGTACATCCCTGTTCGGGGTCCGGCAACGGAGAAAGAGCGGTCCCCTGGCAACACGAGGAGGGCCGCTTTGGAGTAGCCTTGACCAAGGCTATCAGCTTGTTCCCATATGAGCTTGTTCCCGCTACCGCACACGGCGCGCCCAGCAACACAATGTTGTACTATACCATTAGCCCCAACGACCCTTGCGTGTGCTTTGCGTGCATGTACGTACGCCCCACACTCACTTCCGCAAACAGCCGTACAGTAAGTCGAGGCAGAAGATAGCCTTGACGCAACCGTGTATGCTGAATATGATAATTATTCGCGCTATGGTAAATAGTCTTCTCTCATTGGATAACGGCTGACAAAAATATGAATATTTATTAAATTGCATAATACGACCAAAGGTTTATAAACCAGACGGCCTGTGGTAACAATAATTATTGTAAAACACCCCCTTAAAATCTTAAATAATAGTAGAATAATATTTATAAAGTTACACATATTTTGGGTCGAAAATGAAATGAAAAGGATGAAAAATTAGACCTTCAAAAAACGGCAAACGGTACAAAACCGCACGCCGGCAAAAACGATGTCAGCATGCACAGAGGCCACGTTGGGGCCGTCCACTGTAGGCACCGGCCCGGCTGGCGCCATACAGTGAGACACGCTGCGCTTTCACGTTCAGTGGCCAAAAAAGCGCTCACACTATTGAGTATGTATCTACCGCTGACTTTTTTTTGGGGGGGGAGAGGTATCTCTCCTTCAGCAAACTTATTCTTATAAGTTGTATGAACAACTTATAAGTTATATGTCGTATGTACGACTAATATATCAACAGGGTACGACATATTTCGACAGGGTACGACTAATATTTCGACAGGTTACGACATATATGTCGACAGGGTATGACATATCAAACATATGACATAATGTCGACAGGTGCCGGTACGACATATATGTCGTGCATAAGTCGATTCGACAGGGTACGATATATGTCGCATACGACAAAGTCGTATATATAAGTACGACTTAATATCTCGTGTGTACAAAATATGAATTGTAACTCGTATGTTCGACTTGTTTGTCGATTATGTCGTACATACAACATATCTTGTGAGAACGACTTGTATCTTGTGCGATTTACATCTACGACTTACATGTCGTATGTATGTCGTAGGTACGACATACGATTCATACGTACGCGTTAAAATACATGTGTCGTACGTATGAGATGTACATGTATGTTGCAAATTCAGGGAGAGTTTTTTTTTCACCATGTACCTGACAGTTTCGTATATTTCCATCTCAAAGTCAGTAGCTCGTTTCTTGCACTTAATTCATACGGGTGCTTATTGATACGAGTTAACCTGCATTCGATTAAATGGGTACGATTTGACCTGGGTCCGAGTTGACCTGTTCCCTACATTCGCTGTCAGAATAGCACGGGCAGGTAGCGGCGTGATAATGTACGCTGTTGCACCGACAAAACGTCGGCGGACTGTCTTGAACTGTCCAATTCGCAATACATTGGAAATATATCATTTTGAACAATTGTTCACTCATATAGCGGCATATTTTATTTGTTTGTAATAAAACTGGAGAAATGGTTTAAAATGGGACCAGTAATTTGCGGGTCATGAATATGTATATCGCGGGTCAAAGTTTACGGGCTTTGATTGGATATCGTGTAATATATGCGCATCAGAAATTTTCGGCCGATTTCGGTCGAAACTATAAAGAAACACATAAGAATTCGCCACGGTTGCGTCAAGGCTATCTTCCGCCTCGACTTGCTGTACGTACGGCTGTTTGCGGAAGTGTGTGTGGGGCGTACGTACATGCACACAAAGCACACGCAAGGGTCGTTGAGGCTAACGGTATAGTACAACTAGTGATTGTGTCGCGGCGCGCGCGGTGTGCAGTAGCGGGAACAAGTTCGTATGGGAACAAGCTGATAGCCTTGGTCAAGGCTACTTTGAAGCGGGGATCTGCTTTGTCCAAGTAAGCCGATGACGACCACGGGACCTATCCCAAGAAGCAGACCGTTGCCCTTGATGAAAGAACACGGCAACAGAGCCCCGAGCGAGTCAAACGGGGGCAGGAGACCGGAGGTACTCAACACCACCAAAAGTGGAGTGTTGTCTCCAGGAATGGATCGGTCCATTTCGGAGAGAATGCTTCCAAGCCATGTGCACTCTTGAAACTAAAGTCGAACCACTTCGGATTTTGAGGTAGGCTATGCTGCGAAGACACAGCTCTTAGAGAGACCATGGAGGTAGAATTAGATGGAGAGACGTAATTAGTTCTTCTACCAAACCAATGTCCACTCTCAGGACCATGAAGAGGAGCAGGGCGGACAAAAACGTGATAAAACAGAAGTTGAGTTGAATGGCTTGCCTTGCTCCTTTATGAACTACTCAGCAACACCCCCTCTCAAAAACTCAGATGCCCCTCTTCTAAACCCCACCACCTCCGGACCCCCCCCCCCAAAAAAGAGGAAGTATATTCATAATATACACCTAAAATCTCGACAATGAAACAAGGAAATACGAGGGGAAAATTATGACAATAGAGGCGGACAGGACAATTGAATACCTTATTTGGTAACATGAATAACATGAATCTGTCGGTTCCGTGCAGTCATAATGAAACTTTGCTTTACATTTGACCCTATTCATAATCTCACGAGTTGACAATGAAACGTCCTTCAACAGTTATTGAATCCAGGAAAACATGCGGGTTTTTTTGTCGAAAACGAAACACCGTGTGAGTTTCGTCTCTCAAAGGCACCATACATATATAATTTTAGCAATATTGCAGGAAACGTATAAAAGAGCACTGAGCGGTGGGTTTCATCTGAAATAATTGAAATTTCAAGAACCGTTATTTTTGTTGGCAGACCATACGGTAAGTATCATTGATTATACACCCTAGATTTTTATTATAAGTTTCAAAAGCCGTTTTGCAGTTGTCAACTATAATAGGGAGCAAAGGGTGCATACCTATGTTCCCCAATACCGATGTTCCCCAATACCGATGTTCCCCGAAATCCCTACCCTATTACCCTAACTCCAACCCTAGCCCTAACCCTAACCCTTACCCCAACCCTAACCCTAACCCTAACCCTAATCCTAAGGATTTCAGGGAACATCGGTAGTGGGGAACATCGGTAATGGGGAACATCGGGTAGACCCCGGGAGCAAATGCTTCATCCGAAAGCTTGATGCATAATGGAAAATATGAATGGTGCAAAAGAATTGTAGAACAATACAACCTCCAATTCAAAGCTAAACTAAGGGACACGGGTAATTGAATTTTGGATTTCTTGAATATTTCTTGAAATTTCAGTGAAATATAAGTGTGTGACTTGATCATTATAGCCAAAGGCCCGCATGTGCAATCCTTTAGAAAATTATTACCTGTGCACCTCCACTACCTTTGAAAATATCTGTTCATCTGCATTTCTTTCTGCAGTTTGTGAAACCTCGCTGGCACGTTTCTGTTCAGAAGATGGCCGACTTCCAGAGCTTCCTTTCCGTTGTCGAGCGTCTGAAGAGTGTCGACGCCGACTTGTTTCTTTTCGAGGTATGCGACTTCTTCGGGAGGCCCCAGACCGTTTGTGTTTCCCGCAGCAAGCTTGAGGAAGCTGTGGAGGACGGGGTAGAGCTTCCCGTCCGTGCAGTAGTCAAAGAAAACGGAGGTATTTCGAGCGAGTTCTTCGACAAGATCTGCACCCTTCGGGCTGACCCTACCGGCGCTATCCTCCGGCATCCGTTCCACCGAAGCATGGCTTATGTCCTGGCCGAGCCCTACATCCACGGCGGCCCCATGACAAGCTACTCAAGGTGCGTCGCCAGGAAGCAACTCAGCCGTCTAGCGGAGCTTGGCTTCACTCTCAAGTCTTCCTTCCGTCTCGGGTTCTCCCTGAAAGCTAGGAAAGACGATTTTGAGCGCTTCAACCGAGAGGTCCTCATCAAGCAATTCTTCGACTTCTCAGATCGCATCGGCAAGGATTTCGAAGTAGAGAGCTTGCACGCTGGCACAGCGGCCGACCGTATGGATGGAACCTACAAAGCGGTTCCAGGGATCAAGGGAGCCGACTACGCCCAGTACTTCAAGACCTTCATCCGAGAGGCCGCGGGTACCTTCCTCTACGATGTATCCTTCTTGGAGAATCCATATCTCCTGTATTTCCGCCACTCTCTCTGGGACGCCAACGGCAAGAAAGACCTCACCACTGATCCAGACAGTCCGCTGGGACTGTCAGAAGCTGCACAGCACTGGATGGCGGGAATCCTGGAGCACATGCCGGCAATCACCCGATTCACTTTCCCAACTACATCCTGTTGGCCCGCGTCTGAACCTCTTGCCCCAAACAACCGATGGCATAAGGACAGCACCGGGTCCTCACTGCGTCTTCGCGTGGGCGGTGAGGGCCAGACCTTCGTGGAGACCCGCCAGGGCACGGGCCGATGCAACCCTTATCTCCTGATGGCAGCGGTGGTGGCAGCCGGGATCGACGGCATCGAAAAGAAGCTGCCTCTTCCAGAAGCTGGCACCGATGGCAAAGAGATGCCCTCGAGTGTTGATAAGGCCACCGAGGCCTTCAAGGCAGACGAGGTCTTGATGGCAGCATTTGTCCCAGAAAAAGATTTCCTCGATCTCATGGAAGGGACGCTGAGTTATATGTAATATGATGGCGTAGATGTCTGTCACATTTCAAGGTAATATTAACGACAGCAGGCAAAGTTATGACGACGTCAAATAAATTAAAAGCAGCATTTTTAGTTTAAAATGAATCGCATTTATATAATAAACATTGAATGATAAAGTGCATTTGACTCTATATGTTGGTGAACACCATTAAATGGTGGTTGTCACATTCTAGTTCTACCATTAACGTGAACGTAAAATACATGGTGAAATGTTTAGAATAAATCGTATAACTCAGTGCCAACAAACATCGAATGAAAAAAAAGTACATTTGACTCTATTTTGTCAATGAACACCATTAAATGGCAGTTGTCACATTCTTCCATCATATTGGAATAGTTCCTAACGTAAAATACATGGGGGAATGCTTAGAATTCATGGTATAACTTATATTATCCAAGACTATGAACAGCTATCGTTATAATAGCTCATTGTAATCCATCTCACGGGGAAAAATGGTACTTTTCGCTATGCATGTATTAGTATTTTCAAATATTAAGCTGCTTTCATTATAAGTGTTTATCGCTAGGAGTGAAATCTAAAATCGGATTGCATGTGACGATTTATAGTTTGATTGTTGTTTACAAGAACACGCCGTGTTTAAAGGGGTACTCAGTCAGTGAATTTTACACAAAACATACTAAGCATGTTTAGAGTATCAATGGACGGTTAAAGGGAATGTATAACATGGGCTTTGGCAGAAATAAGTGCATATGGAGGATTTATATGTTTTAGCAAATATTGTTAAACTGACTTGTTTCGCGTTTTTGGCTTGTAGATGCTGGAAAAACCAAGAAAACCAATTATATTCTTGTAGTCTGGTTCCCTGACCCCACTTAAGATGAAATGGAGCAATTTATAGACTCTGGGGAATTGTATTGCCAGAGTATCAATTTAGCTGGCTTGTACCCGTTCACATGTGTGTAATCAATTGCAAAGAAAATGTGGAATTACCAGATGTAAGGAATATGGAGTAGTTTTGAAAATAGCCGGTTTTCTCCAGCGCTGGTCGGCTGACCAGCGTTGGAAAAATACAATTTTTCTTGAAAATGTCAGCACACCAGGAGCACTATTTGACAGGATGCTTTAGACTGTTATTCCCAAACAATCCAGTAAGGTATTTCGTGATAATTGGATCATTTCGGGTTTTTTTTTATTTTTGCAAATGTTGTATCTTCCCTTTAAGCATTGGATATTGACGTTTAGGAATGAGACACGTGATGTTTAGCTTTAAACATATTTACAAGGTGATACATTAATCATCATACAGTAAACGAGTAGTCGCTGTTTTTTTATTTGGTAAAGATGCAAATTGTAAAACAATGACATTATGTTTGATTGTATACGGCACGAAATCTTATAGAACCTAAGCTGTAGTTTAATGCAGAAACCATGTTTGTTATAGGAAAATAAAAACAGTTGTATACACGGAATGCATTGATAACTCGATCAGAACTGTGAATGAAGATACTGTGAACCTCAGCCGCTTTTCGAATCAGCAACTATTGGAGTGCCGTGGTCTCGTGGTCTGCATCTGGGGCAATGAACTCGTGCATGGGCTGCGGGTAATTCTGCAGGTTGTGGGTTCGAGTCCAGCCTGCGGCTACGGTGCGCGTGCCCTTGGGCAAGGCACTTTGTCACTCATTGCTTCTCCCCACCCAGGAGTAAACTGGGTACCTGTGAGGGTAGGGATGGTTATTGTGATCTGTTTTACTGAGCTGCTTTGCGCCGAAATGGCATCGAGCGGTATATATTCCAAGGGAGCTGAGATGTTGGCCCAATGAGCAGGGTAATAATAATGTAGCACCTTGAGCTGAGCACCAATACTGGTGGACACGCGCGCTGTAATACACATTGTTATCATTAGATCAACTTTATTTGCAAGTAATTACTAATAGCTGAGGAAAAGGATTTATGGAGATTAAATGCACAGTGGATAGTCAAATATTGATAACGATAGCGACACTAAAGTAGGCTCTATGTGCCACAAATAAATGTTCATGAGTACAGTTTTCGGTTCTTAAAATACTGATAAAGCCACATTGTTGACCAAAGGTTTTGAAGTTGATTTTAGATTAAGGTAAATAGGAAATATCTCCCAAAAAAATACCACTCCTAGTTTTATGATCGCTATCTTTGTCTGAATATGTGTCACACTTCCTACTTCCCGGATTCTTCAACTTTACCTGTTTGGAAAAAAACTTTATACAAAAAAATGCACGATTACTTCTGAAACTTCCTTATAGGTAAGCCGAAACCCCAGAAACACGGAACTAAAGTTGTAGCTTCCGCCACGTCAAATATATAAAAGCTGCGTCGTGTAAAATGAAACGCGCATTAAGAAGCAAGAACCTCCAAAGTTGGCAGCTTGGTGTCCGATTCTGTAAGTATTAACTCTTGATGAACTTTTTGCATCGGCGCGATGTAATTTTCATGCAGGTACTTGTAATAATTATAACGGCGATGGAGGGCAAAACCTAACCATCAGAAATAGACCTGAAAATCGAATTGTATATTTTGAATGAAACATGTGGTTTAGAATAGATTTATTTATTTATTTATTTATGTATTATATTTCTTTACCCAGGGTATACCCACACAGTTTAAAACTGGTTTCCCTTGGGGCCCTGCATACACTACAAAAGATTGACCTTTTGTTAGCACTGTTTAAATAATTGTGTGCATGTTGCCATCGCAGAGCAATGTTACATTTTATTTCGAGTTTCAGTGATGTGTATAGGAATATTTTATCTTATAAACAGCGATAGGCCTACGATAATTTTGTCTTACGCCTACTATTGCTCGTAAGGGGAACGCTTATAATTGCTCGTGAAAGGAAACTGTGTTGGGGTATAGTCGAATCTCCGTCTCGGCAAGACGTCCGGATATGTAATGACAATTTGTACAAAACTACCCAAACATCGATGTATCCATTTCAAAGAAGAACGACTTTATAGCATCAACTTCTGGTAAGTGAATGGATGTCATTATGTGGGCGTGGTTTCACAGATTGGGGCGGTTGCTTGAGTCCCAAGCGCTAGCGCTATGCCACCAATACATTAACAAAGACAAGCTTCACTATTAATTCTAAACACCCTGTCGTTCCCTCATATGCCCCGGCCCGCACACCAAAACAAGCCACATTTTTGATTTGAAGTTCCATCAATGTACTGAATATTAAAGACGAGGCCCCCGCGCTTCGCCCGCTACGAGGGGTAGATGGGGGGGGGGGGGGGGGGGGGGGCGGATTCGCCGCATGTGAACAACTTGTGAACACATACCATCCTTTAATTTGTTACATTATAGCGTTGGTACGTTTCCCGTTCTACTTTCGAGTGTCACTTCGAAATATAGATTTGGGGTTTTTTTCAATTGCTTTTTCCTAGCAATATAAAAGTTACTCACTTTTGAATGAGACATCGAAGTTATCGAACGACAAAAATCAACCAACGTTTACTTATTGATTTATTCCTTCCCAAAACTCGAATTATTGGCTGCCAGACAATCAGTCGGCTCTCGTAGGGCAGGTTCATTTGTGCGCAAAATGAAAACCCCTTCTTCAGAGGGTTTCGGACGCCCAAACTCGGAATAAAGTAGTTGTTTGGTCAAAACAAAACATACACATTGAAAAGTCGTTCAGAGGGGAAAAAACAAGAAGAACACGGGGTATCAACTTCAATAAAACTTTTGGAAAACTTCAATAAAACTTTTGGAAAATAGCAACCTGGCTTGGCATTCTAATAAACACTGCTAAAGCCTACATATCAATATCAGTGTGAATATAATTATCTCTGTATAAAGAGCAAATGAGATTTCGGGTGAAGAAAAAGTAATTCAATATTTCCGGAAGTTTACTGGGCACGGGGTAAAGGGTTGCAAGCGTGCATTTTGTCCAAGGTTTGAGGAAGAAGGAAGTGTCTTTCACAATCACTGAACTGAAGGATTTTCATCCCTGGGAATTTATACGTGGACATGAATAATAACCATTTGTCACAGACAAATATCAATGACAATGTTTCGGTTTCAAGATGCTTAAAAAATGAAAAACATTTGACATTTTGTTCTAAACACTGCAGCTTTCTATGTGAAAATAATCGTGAAAGCTTGTCTGTCTTTATTTGATTTGTTTGGTAGCTTCATTGTTTTTTTTTCTAGATATGAAATAATCTTTTGAAATGAACACTGCGGCATGGCACTACCGTATTAACTCACATATCAGGTATCTCTGTATAAAGAGGAATGGTTACAACAAGAACTCGGGTTCAGCAAAAAGAATTTAATATAGGTTTTCCCGGCCGAATTCAGCAAAACAGCAGTCAAATTCATTAACGTGCATTCGTTTCCGAGCGATTTTTCTCAGCTCGTTGTTCTCATGATTCATTTTCACACTTTGAGCCTTCAATTTCGTTTGCAGACTTTGAATTGTGTACTTTCACGCATTCAATTTAAAACTAGCTGCATTCAATTAGACGATGCATAGCCGTCATTCGATTTGGCGCTGGGCGACTAGAAGGAGCCTACCCTCCTGAATTTTACTTTCATTTTCGTCTATGGGCAATCATTTTCGCACTTTCAGCCTTCAAATTGGAAAATGAAAGTACAATATTTATGAGTAAAACTGAAATGGACGATGCTTATATTGACTAAATAGAGTTTACTGAATAAGTTGTTATTTTTACATACAACAAACGCACACCCACACATCCATCTTTGTAAACACCGCCAATCGGGTCCCTAATCCTCATTTCTTTGTTTGTACTCTTTTAACTTTGTAGCAACAGCTCTCATTGGTTTTGTACACGAATTTCAATCGGTCAGTCGTGGACCCTTCGTTTGTGCCCTTACCCTTTTGTCCTTAGTGCCGGTGTTTACATACTCAGATGTGCATGATTTATGTGAGGTATGCCAATTAAAATTATTCGGAATTTGTTCGCAATGGCTTAATTTCTTTATTTATCACATTTTGCAAGTACTTCTTTGTCTCTCCATTTTTCATTCATCTTTTGTTTCTCCTTTTTGCATGTCCCCTCCTTTTTTCATTTATTAATCCGTTGTGTTATAAATATATACTTTCGGCTGTTTTATTTCATTTTACTTCTAATATAGGTGTTGTTCGTTCTTTTCATGATTATTTAAAACAAAACAAATTACGTATCAGAAAATTAACATTAAATGAAAAACATTGCACAAGTGTCACAGATGCTTGCCTATTCACGAAATTGAAAGCCCGAAACGCTTACCGCGGAGAGTCCGCGCGAATTTGAACGCCTTTTGCATGTTTTTCCAAATTGAATGTTGACTCTTCAATTATGTTTTACAAATGTGTGCAATTATTTGCTCATGAAGTTAAATTGAACGATCCTTTTTGCTCTTTGAATGGAGATCTAGTTCGTCAATCAATTTCGCCCTAAATTGAATGAACCTATCGTTAATTCAGATGCTAAGTTTACGAAGTTGGGCGGGAAAACCTATATTTCCTGAAGTTCATACTCGGCACGGGGTAAAGGATTGCAGGCGTGAAGTTTCAGAGGTTTGAGGAAGAAGGAAGTGTAACGTTTCACAAATGCTGAACTTAAGGATTTTCAAACCCTTGACATTTATACGAGGACATGAATAAAATACGACTTTGTCATATAGATGAAAAGAAGTTCAGTGTTTCGTTTTAACCCTCCGACGCAGAAACTAGCCCTTTTGGGGACCCAATTTGGTTAATTACCTTAATAAAAAAAAAATTTCAAACCAATTCTGGTGATCTTCCATCTAATCCTAGCCAGAGGCACCCGCTACGGATATATGCAGTCACCTTTAGTGTGTGACCCCGGTCAGGCATATCTGAGCCTGACAACCTGGGCTGCCCATATACACGTGCACAAAACAAAGTCACTTGCGGGTAGCCAAGTGCACGACTTGACCACAGACTATGTATACAACATCTGTTTCCTGTCAATGACCTCCTTATTTATAGTCTACAGACATGTCGAGATTGTATACATATATATACAGTGTTGTGTAGCCTCAAACCAAGGCGCTAAATGTCTGGGTCCCCGGAGGGACCCCTTACTGTAAGTGTGTTAGTCAATGGGCCGTCTGCGTCGGAGGGTTAAGGTGCTTAACAAACATTATGAAAAACAAATGTATCCCAAAAATGGGCACACCACAAACTAGTGCAAAATAGTGTGACATTTTGCATTTGTATATATGGTTTAGTGTCGGGAGTAAATGAGTTCTAGAACGACTTGTATTTTACGATAGTCCTACCCTTACTGCAATATTTTTGGGTTCAGGAATAATTGATTGACATATTTTATTGAAAGATGTATATTTCCCATGGTGCGAAGCGGGCTGCAAACAATTGAGTGTAGCGACGTAACATCGAAATTCATTATTTCATTTGTAATTTATATTAAACGAGTGGTTCTGGTTATAAATGCGTGGTTTTTTCCATTGATACATTATAACTGAGAAATCACTACTCATGGATTTTGTTTGTATTTCATTTTCTACAGGCGTTGGAAGAAAAGATACAACATCATCAAGACAATACCATGGCCGACAAAGAAGATGCAGACTCCATCATCATGCGAATGAGGAACTTGGGTGCCAGAAACATACGCTTCGAGATCTCCGACCTCTTCGACCGGTCCCAATCGACAGTTGTCCCCCAGAATAAATACCACGAGTTGGCCACAGAAGGGCTGGAGTTTCCACTCCCGGGAATCTTCCACGACACCGACAGCACCTACAAGAGTGTCTACCACGACAAGATTGGCGTCCTCAAGCCTGATTTTGACAGCACCCTCTTCAGGCTTCCTCTCAGTGATGGGTTGGCCTTGACCCTAGCTGAGCCTCATCTTGATGGCAGTCCCCTGCCCACCTACCCTCGCCACATCGCACGCAAGCAGCTGGATCGCTTGGGAGAGCTGGGCTTCACTCTCAAGTCGGCCTTCCATCTCGAGTTCTACCTGGTGGCGCCAGGAGACAGCATCTCTGCTGAGCTTCTCGCCAGTTTCCTCAACACCCTGCAAGGTATCGGGATGGAGCCGTTGTTCCTCAAAACCGGCAAGCTCCCCAACTACATCGATGGTACGTACAAGGAGGAGCCAGGAATCAAGGGAGCCGACTTCGCTCACCTCTTCAAGACCTTCATGAAGGAGGCAACCGTCGGCCGAGGCGCCGACGTCAGCTTTTTCTCCAAGTATCTTCGCGATCCCCAGTTCCAGAAGAACTGCTTCCTGTATTTCCGCCACTCCCTCTGGGATGCCGAGGGTAAGAAAGACCTGACGCACGACCCGGAGAGCCCCCTCGGCCTGACCGAGACGGCTCAGCACTGGCTGGCCGGGATCCTGGAGCACATGCCGGCCATCACTCGCTTCATGTTCCCCACCGACTTCTGCTGGAAGCACCGCTCGACCAAGACCGAGACCGTGAACGACAAGTGGGAGAAAGACGGCTCCGGGTCCTCGATGCGTCTTCACGCGGGCGGCGAGGGCAAGACCTTCGTGGAGACCCGCCAGGGTACAGGCCGATGCAACCCGTATCTCCTGATGGCGGCGGTGGTGGCGGCCGGAATCGACGGCATCGAAAAGAAGCTGCCTCTGCCAGAGGCTGGTGCCGAAAGCGGGAAAGAGGTGCCGACGTTTCACAGAAAGGCGAGCGAGGCCTTCGAGGCAGATGAGGTCCTGATTAATGCCCTGGGGGCAGGGGAAGATTTCATCAAGCTTTTCAAGGCCAAATACGAGGGCATTGACGAATAAATGTATGAAACACACCTGTTAATGGCAAGTATAAAACGTGTAGAACAAAATCGAATTATGTCTGAGCTATATAGAAGCCTAAAGCCAAACAAGAGAAATGGATGCACGATACGATACTTACAAGGATATTCTTATAGTTTCAAGGAAATCGTGAGGAAGCAAAAAAATGAGCTGATGCATTAAGAGCATACCAACAACTTAAGAGAATACTAAAAGAGTATATTAAAATAATAATAATATCGTCTATAACAATGAGCCGATTTATTTTATACAGGGTGAGTCAAAAAGAAAGTGACCTAATGAGAAAAATATTAACAAACATAATTGGCTCGTTATAAACATAACATAGGGATAAAGTAGTGATATGGAATAGTAACTGTGAAAATTTCAAGTAAATTGCCTACTATGTTCACAACTTATGTCCGATACAAACATCGCAAAATTCATCACAAAATTCCTCATTTACCGTTGAAATACAATGAAACAAGGGCGTTTTCCTGCCTTATGAACAACAATTTGCGCAGGAAAACAGACAAAAAAATCACCATCATTTATTTCAGAAAAAAATATTACATCCAAAACACAAAATCTAACTGTAAAAATGATGTTTCAGTCTCGACAAAAGTTATACAAATCTCATTTGTATCTGAATGCCTGGGTTTTAATCTTTTGGTTCTCACTCAGCTCAATATAGCTTCAAACTTCAAAATTAAAAACTTCTCATAGCGTGGATCAGTTTCAGTAATTCTTCTCTTTTTTATTCAAGTGAGTGGAAGAACATACTTGTTTAATATATACTTCGTTGGTGCGTCAAATTTAGTTAATCAAGGTCACTTTCTTTTGACTCACCCAGTAATGTTAAAAACAAACTAAAAGAAGGCAATGACTAGAATATCTGCACTTATGAACCGTCGGAAAGAAATTTGCACTTGCGTTTGGAATTTGCATGCAAAATAATCCATCTTTTTATGGAGTGTTCCCAAATAGGCCGACATCGCCGAGCAAGCATCACAGAATACACGAGATTTATTCCTCTTGCACACCAAAAAAAAAATATGTTTTCATGGCACTGGCGACACAGCGTAAACAAAATCATAAACTCACGGAGACAATAGGCCTACGCATACACTAGTTTTTTAGTTTTAGAGACATGTGCGCCAGCGCGACGAGAATCGGAAATGCATTTTTGATGCGGTCTCCAAGTCGTGTTGCTTGTGCAAAAAATTCACCTCGAATGCCACAAACACAGTCCGGAACTATACTTATCCAACCACTTTTAAATTCTTTACTGAATTATTTGTACTTGCTGAAAAGAAAATGGTTTGGTTTTGGGTATGAAACTAAGTAACGTAATTATCAACATCATAAGTCCATACCCCATAGTGCAAAGGTGAGTAGTAAGCATTTAGAATAGAAGCATAAACCACTGTATAATATCGTTGTAACAGTTATGGCCGTGACAACAAACTTACCAATAGTTCATCCTCCTCATTTCGTCTGTAACTTTTGTAAGACACCAACAGCAAACAAATATCCATTCGTGTTTGTTTCCCAACTCCGAAACCTTCCAGAAATCAACCACTGCACATGCCACAATCCACTTCTTGTGGTTGAATTCCATGAAATCACGGTCTGCAGACGATAAACTCGGACACATCAAAAAGTTGCGTTCGGCCATTTTGGAATTCGTGTCAAAATTTATTACCACGTTCATGTATGACCTTTCTAAACGTATAATTTTGAAAAGTTATGTCTAGCTACGTGTACCTTGTATTTAATTCATTATATAGAATGCTTATATTAATAACAATGTAAGTACAATATCTTGTTTTGTCGAGAACTTTACGATTTAATAGATTTTCCTATAATGTTACAGAGACATGTCAGACTAAGGTAAAAAGTAAAATAATTTGCATATGAAAGGAGCAGCTCACAACACACCTGTTCGCGCAGTGACTTAAAGGGCACTGTGGCGCAATAAGGGGAGCTGACCATTATCATTTCGTTTAAGCAACAAATAGTTGACGTTATTCATGATTTTAGAAGCTACTCGAACGTAATTCGCAAAAGACGTACGATCAACGTTATTTGTTGCATCTTCAATTATAAGAATATATCACTACCGAGGACTAAAATCATTTTGAGTTTACATTACACAATTGTCTTTAAATAAAAGGGAATGAAAGTAAAATGATGCTACGATTTATTTGCGAAGATCTGAATTAAATTTGGTTGACTTTAATTCATGCTATTTCCTTCACATCTTGGGTATTCATCACTCCAGGCGCCATCTTGGCACGTGATCATGCTTTTTCCAATCAGCTGAAAGCCCTCCAGGCACCTGAAATAGATGACGTCACCATGACCTGTTCCTCCCCTTACACCAGCGTTGGAAGGGGCCTCCACAGCCATACAGTCCGCTGAAAGAAAACGAAGTAGATTGGAACGGAAGGTTTAAAAATTTAAGTATTTGAGCCTCAATCCCACCCCACCCACACACCCACCCACATCCCCAACCACACCCCACCCAACCCCCACCTCAACCCCACTACAGCCCCCCTCTCAACCCCACCCCATCCCAACTCCACCCCCAACCTCACCCCACCCTCAACCTCATCCCATCCTAACCCCACCCCCATCCCACAAAAATAGGCTACACAGGGAAATCTACATGGGCGTCGCCAGGATTTTTTCTAGAGGGGGGGCAAAACATATTTTTCCCAAAAAAAATCTTGTATTTCTCAACAAATTCTCGATTTATCAGTTTTAGAGGGGGGCAGGGACATTCATTGAATAATTATAATGTACCTCGAGTCGAATACAATTGTAATCATGATCACTTTAGCTCAAATCAGTCATAGTTAAGCTGGTATTTTGAAAACAAAATTAGGAAAAAGACTTTGAAAATCGAGTGAACACACCGAAGCAATATGGCACGGGCCGGTTCCACTGCCCGTTATTGCAGGTGATAACGACGGCGCCGACCAAACTGTATCCCGGGTCACAAGTGAAGCGGGCCACGCTGCCGTACTTTCTCCGCGCTGCGTCACGGACGGACACGGCGCCGTTCACAGGCGCAGCTATTCGCGGACAGTCGGCTGTTGGAAAGAAAGGAAAAATGTTTATTTTAAAGGTGAGAATTGTTCAAGATGGAGACGATAATGGGATATGTGATGATGTTGCAAAAGACGACCACGTCGTGAAACTGATGATGGTATGAAACTGATGATGGTATTTAAACAACGCATTATGGAGTGGTGAAAGTGATGATAAATCGTGAAGCGTCTTTTAATTCCAAGAAGGACAGGGCAAGGTTTTCACCTAAGCATATAACTGTTGATGGTAAATTTCAGAGAGAGTCTAATGTCCGGGATGGAAAAAAAATGTTGCAACCTGACGCCACTTTTTTTCTTCATATGTCATCTCAATGAAGGTCATTCAATGCAAAAAAGATGATGAGACATGAATCTGGGACTGAGAAACATTTCCAATTTAGTTAGGAAATACTTAGAAAACTTCATTGACTAACCATGGACTTTTTACACAGAATTGGAAGTGGCGTCATGCAGGTTGCAACATTTTTTCCTCCGGGATATTTGGAAGGTTCTCGCTTTCTGGAGATTTGGGGTTCGTTTGTGGGTGGTTTTATCATAGTTTCAAACTCTATACAAAGTTTTGTTTGCAATTATATTAAAGGGGGGGGGGGACAAGGGGTACATATGGGAACTTGGGAAGGGGCTTACAAAGATGACGATCTTACTTACGGATGCATCGGGGTACAGGTAGGGACCATTCACCGCTGTCCTGACAGACAGACACAGGCGAGCCCACCCTATCATAGCCGACGGGACAATCGAAGCTGAGTTTGCTACCGGGGGTGAAGCGAGACGGGCCCCGTCGTGTGCCTCCGTCGGGCAACCCCGGGTCCGAACATTCAACTAAACAAGAAATCAAAACATCACCAAAAATTATAAACACTCTATTGTTGTAGAGTACTATTTTTAATGTTCTACGCAGCATGACACGAAGGAAGATGCAGTTAAGTGTTTACATGTACATCAAATTTAATGGATGTTGCCGGGTGAGATCCCCCCTCCCTGGACACGCCATCCCCCATCAACTTTTGTTGGATCATCTTAAAAAAAATATATAGCTAACTGCTACCTATAACAACAAGTGTGATGTGAACGTATCAACACGAATAAAGATAGACCCAGCATTACATTCCCTTTTACAAACACAAGATGTAGAGCGGGGAAAATGTTTGAGACGCCATTTTGGTTGAAACAGCCAGATGAAGTACTTACCTTCAGTCGCTGATGCAACCGAAATAATGCCGGACAAAACCGCCACTAAGACAACCACTGTGCCCCTCATAGCTAAATCGAGTCTTCAGTAACCGAGATTGAACGAAAAATTGCCTTTCTTTCATCAGAATCGGTGCAAAACTATTTTTGTCAGATATTTTAATGCAAGATACGATGTTTGGGAGTGCAGGTTCAGAATGACATGGCATAAGGTGGCACATAATACTTTTGTTTGCCGTTGCTTTGTTCATGGACGTCTCCGCCCAAGATGGTCCATTCTATGACGTCTTGGGATGTTTGCTCAAGATATTATAGGAGAAAAGGTTTGCTAAGCGATTCCAACCAGCAGGCTATACAAATACGGAGAGTGGTACGGTGGTATGCGAGAGTTGTGGGTCTTTAGTTTGGGGTCATCCTTAAAATACATTAAGTTTTGTTTTGGGCCGGGGAGATATGCGTCATTTTTTCCTGACAACAATAATGTAAAAATGGGAGGGGCGGGGGTAATTGCTCCTATAAAAGTAGAACCGGTTGTGTGATGCTGGCGCTGTCATCACCTTAAAAAGGGTAAAGAAAAGCAAATTTCGCAAGTCCCCCCCCCCCTCCCCGGACAGTGCACTCTAGAGATGTACAAGACAACAATATCAGCTAATCAAAACAGGTCTGTTTGCTGGTGTGTATATACATGTACATGATGTTGTTTGGTTATTGAGGCATAGGGCCACACACACAATACACATGCTCCTCTATTTTTTTCGTACTCCTCACAAAAATGCAAAAATCAATACACGCACTGTACATTTATTTTCTGTTTATTTTTTAAATGTCCATGTTCTATCACTAATCCACTGACGACTGTCAATTTATAATCCCATGAATATAATTTTAAAACAATATTTACCTTACATTTGGTCAAATATATTTTTTAATTCGTAACATATACTTCCATTGACAACTTCTGTGACGGCATATCTCCCCAGAACAATTGACCGCCCTAACAATTATCAAAAATCCTATAATTGCACGCACTGCTCAAAAATAATTTACAGTTTTATTTACAATTGAGAGCAATTTTGCCTTACACTAAATTCTGCTAATACACTACATGGAGAGGGCAGAAACTGTAGAAGTACACTCACTACCTCCATCTAAGTATTAAAGGGAATATATATCATTTGCTTTTGCTGTTTTCAGAAATGGATGGAATTGGGGGGTTGGAAATATATAGCAAACATAGTTACACTGACTTTTTGAGGTTTTGGGTTCGAAAATGCTAAAAAAAACCCAAGAAAAAACAATCATTTTCCTGTAGTCTGGTTCCCTGACTCCATTTAAGAAGAAACAGTGCAGTTTACATACATTTGGGAATTGTAAGGTCAGGGAACCAGTTTAGCTGGCTTGTACCCGTTCATAGGTGTGTAATCGATTGCAAACAAGTGCGATGGCCAATGGGGGCCAGTATTTGAAAAAAGCCAGTTTTTTTCGACGCTGGTCGGCCGACCAGCATTGGAAATTGATACAAAAATACGACTTTTCTGGAAAATTACAGTATACCAGGTGCCATGATTTTACAGGATGCTTTACACTGTCATTCACTAACAGTCCAGCAAGGTATTTCAAAATGATTTGGTAGTTTTATTTTTTGATGTTTGCAAATGTTGTATTTTCCCTTTAATCTTGGTGAACGGTAAACAAAATATCTATATTCCAAAAAAAACCCAAACATTTTCAATGTTTTCTTTTGAGGACAGTTGTGTGCTCTTTTGCTTCAGACACTAGGCTTGCGCAGTGTACAAAGTTGTTTAATTTCTATTAAACTGGCGTGTTTTCGCTGAACACCACACTTCTGCAAAAAAATACTTGTAAAACACTGAAAAGTTGCAACAGTAACGAAAACACGCTTTTAAATGAAGGCAGTATGTTGTCCTATAATAAACTACCCAATGCAAGAGCTTAGTAGCATTAACATGGTGACCACAATAAAAAAAAAAAAAAATCATTTGGACACTGTATCCAATGCAGCGGCTGTAGACCTTTGGTAGCGGCCATCTTAAAGGGGCATCCCTTGTTTTTTTTTCAATAATTAAGTCACAATGAATGTTCACTCATGCATATCCCAGTAAAACAAAGGCATTGCCCTCTAAGATGGCTGCTACGCATAAAGTCTATAGCTACAGATCCAGTGCCAACCATGGCTACAATTATAGCGAGTTGCTTTACAATTGAAATTTTGGAATTTTTTTTAAAACATTCACAGGAGTTGTGTATGGGTAATTAGCCAACTTTAAACAAATGTTCTGAGACAGACAGCCAGAATTCCAAGAACCCTCCACTATCTTAATGCTTGTGTACAACAAGTGTTCTTTATTGGTCTAGCCGACTTGTATGGATGATCAATCACCTGTTCACTTTAGCCACATCTAAATTATGTGGCTACGGCTAGCAAACACACGTGTCTATGGGAAGTGGCTTCAGCTGCTTCCATAGGCACGTGTGCAATCGCAAGCCGTAGCCTTCTAAAGCAGATGCAGCCTTTCTTCTTCCAGGGCCATGATTGACAGCATGTGTGCTTTATTCTGACCAATCAACACCCTGGCTTGTGGGTGGAGGGATTCGAGGGTGGGGCTTAGCCAGATGTCAATGCACTTTGCTTATAATGTGGAGTGCTGTGGCCTCGTGGTTAAGGGCATTGGATTGTGGTCTGCGGGTAAACCTGCAGGTTGTGGGTTCGAGTCCAGACTGGGGTCATGGTGCGTGTGCCCTTAGGCAAAGGCACTTTGTCACTCATTGCTTCTCCCCACCCAGGAGTAAATGGGTACCTGTGAGGGCAGAGATGGTTATTGTGATTGATTTTAGCTGCTTTGCACCGAAATGGCAGAATTGAGCTGTATACTCCCCAGGGAGCTGAGATGGTGTTAGGAATGTTTCATGGGCCCAATGAACAGGGGTAATAATGATGTAGCGCCTTGAGCACCAGTCCTGGTGGATATGTGCGCTTTATAAATACCCACTATTATCATTACTATTATTATTGTTTAATAATTATTATTTATTATTATTATTGTTTCCCAAGAGCTGACCCAAAATGGCTATGATGACATGATTTGTTTTTAACATTGTTTTTTTTCCCCAATAACTTCTAGAAACAATATCAGCTTTGTAAAAAAAAAAGCATAAAATAAAGAATTAAGTCCAAGAAATTCGCACATAACAAACTCCATGTCCTACATTTGCCTGAAACAATGGTTGTATCTTGTTCACCAAATTCCAAAAATACAAGAAATCTATGAATACGTGCATCCTTAACAATCAGAAATACTGAGAAAAAAACTACAAAAGGCAACAAAATTCCTTCATTACAACCAACCAAAGAGAACAAACATCTGTCTTCAAAGTCATTAAAATTTGAGGCTAGGAATTACATAAAGAAATTGGCAAGTAAATTTCGAAATTCAGAAACGAAAAAGAATAAATAACTGCGTCTGAAGATGAGCTTTCCTTAAAGATACAGCTAAATACAATAAAATGAGGTGTATAAATATAAATATTGTTTCTTACTCGTGTTTTTATTTCTTCAAAATTTTGATCTGCTCAATGTACAAGGATTTGAAAGCATTTTATTGTAAGTTTTCCAGCAACCTTAAGTACTTGTTACGAATGTTTTCTGAGCAAAGAGCATTTTGTTATGCCCTTTAAAACATTTTACAAAGTTGTAATGGGCTCCATGCATGAACAAGAGAGGGCTCTTTTTACCACTTTTGGGAGCCCAGTGGACGGACACCATGTGCTCACACAGTCGTGTTTTACTATACACCCAAGGACAATGCTTTGTTTTTCCCTTTGTCCCTGTCATATAACACTCTCCCATAGACTAAGCACATAAGCATACGATAGAGGACCGTTTTTAACAAAAGACCCAACGCTCAAGGACTGAAAGGATCTTTTGTTCTCCCCTTGTGTGTCTGTCCTCTATCGTAAAGCCATGCATGTACACACACACTTAGCATTTGGGGTTTATGGGGTTGCACTATTGTTCAACCCTAATTCCCTTCTTTTATTCTCCTTTGTCCCGTTAGAAATCTCAAAACCCATAGCGTTACAGTTATGGGGTACTTCAATTTCTGAAGACAGACTTGCGGGGTACCATTGTCTCTATTGTTGCCCTTTGTTCCTGGTACCCCATCAGTGCGGTGAAAACCTTTGTTTCCCTTCTTTTGTTCTCCTTTGTTCGTATTGAAATCTCAAACTCCATAGCATTTCCATTATGGGGTAGATAGATTTCTAAAGGCTTCCTTATGGGGTCTAATGTTCTATAGTGTTTTCTACCCCATACGGAACCCTGTACATGTACGTACTAGTTCATGCATGTATAACACAGAGTGCGCACGGCTTATTTTATTCTGAATGTGCACAAATCCAAAGCGTCTTTGCCTGAGCGTCAGGCGTTGTCGGCAATGCATTTGAATGTCTCTCCCAGTGGTCTTCCCTAAACTCTCCCTTAATTATCGTTGAGGGGGTACTTGTGCCCAGAGGCCATACCAAGGTCAGTTTGAACTAGAAATTTACTCAACATGTGACGCATGTTGCAATTTTGCACAAATTAATTTACACAATTAATTTCGAAATTTTAACTTCCGTGCTGCTAACAATGTCATGCTGACTGATGCTAGCAAATTGTATTCAACACACAGCATTGCAAATTCTTGTGTTTCCAAGGGAAATCCAGCCTTATGTAACACACTCATGGCTGGTCTCAATCTTCATAACCATTGTGAAATCCAACCCACCCCCCAAAACAAAAACCTTCTGGAGGATTTTGTAGGATCCAGGAGTGTTACGGTTAATGTAAATTTGTCAACGTACGGTTATCCACAAAAATGATAAAATTCTGTCAGTTCGTGAAAGTCAGAAAAGAGATTTTACAAATCCAAAGACAGATCGGTACCTTGCATCTGAAAACCCATCTCCCTGTGTTTGTTTTACCACACACTTCAGGACACCAGACCGCAGATTATTAACTAATCCCCTGCGTGGATTCAATTGTGGTTCTCGTTGATTAGGTTGTCCAACCGGGGCTGGAATGTCGACATTGAGGGGGACGTTGGGGGTGACATCGGGGGGGAGGCTGCCTCCGACGACCCCTGCTTGAGTTCCCGGTAGCAGGGCCGGCAGACCGCTACTGGCCGCTCGTAGAAGTGGCCGGGGAGCGTGGTCTGCTTGTCGATGCAACGGATGCAGAATACCTCACCGCACTTCCAGCAGTGGTACTGGAGGGTGGGAAAATGGGGCGACCAGTTAAGATGATGACTAAGACGTGTCGATGTTTTGTTTTAATAGTATCAAATGCTGGCCAGCAACTTTTCCTTAGATCCACTGATTTCTTCATTTTTTCGTTCTCATGAATGCCATTACAAATGGACAAATACTGTAAAAACTCTTGTGTGGTTTGGAGTTTCCTCGTGTTTTTCTAAATTCCAAATTGCATGTCTGCAAATGCAAATTTAAATTTGCGGCCATCAGTTTTGAGTCAACTACGATATGCAACAGTTTTTTCGAAAATAGTACATTTACACCCTTTGGTATTTTTAAGAAAGGAAGGCATCTTCATTTAGTTTTCAGGATTTTCTGTTAATATTTAGTGTGTTTCTTTAATTTTTATTTTGACTAGTATTTTTTTAAACGTTGATAAATCATTTTCGTAAATATATTAATTTATTTTGCAACGAATGAGTATCCAAATATAAACGTAGCCAAATATAAAGTAAAAGTAAAGTCTGTCCCGAGCCAATGTGGCTCATCTTTGGTTTCAGTACCATGAAACGACTGAGAATATTTCTACTCCCCCTAGATGGGATGCTAGTCCATCGCAGGTTACTCCCCAGCTAATGCCGGTACCCATTTATACTCCTGGGTGGAGAGGGGCAAGTGGGGGTGAAGTGCCTTGCCCAAGGACACAATATATGACCAGCGGCTGGATTCGAACCCCGGACCCTCTGATCTTGAGTCACGAACCCTAACCACTAGGCCACACACTCCCCTTTATCAATATAAACAGGTCCAAAATGACATCAAAAAACCTCTTGCATGTTTTCTACAACCATTTAAATAACACAGATTATAGCAAATTTCATTGCAAATTTCACTGCAGGACTGAAAATTGAGCATGTGATGAAATGCAAAGCAGGAGAAATACAGTAAATCAGGCTTTCAAAAAATGCCCAAGATAAAAGAACTGAAACAGATTCCAGGTCTCACCTTCCGACTGAAATGATCAAACGGCGACGAACACACACACTGACGGATGTTCCGAAACCCGCGCCAGTTCAGGCTGACAGACTCCACCGCCTCGGCCAGCAGGGAAGCCGACAGAATGTCCCCACTGTCCTCCCTCTGGATGTGGATGGGCTTGTTGGGAGAATTGGGCATCATCCCCCGCCCCACTCGGTTGTTGTCAATCATTGCACTTTGATTCTGTTGGTGGTTTTCCAGAGTTTTGTTGTCGGGCGGCGTGGAGGTGTCCAGCTCTTTCTCCGAGCTGTCCTCCGAGCTGCTCTCCAGGGAGTTGATTTCGGGTAACGAGGAGGCTTTGCCGTCGGACAAATCCGACACGTCCTCGTCCTCGCTCATGCCCAGAACATCCTTCAAGTTTGAAACTTTCTGTTTGCAAGCAACACGAAGAGTTGGTTATTTCTCAAAGTGAAATACTTCTATGAACGCCTTTATCAGAAAACAACATTTAGAGACAAACTTGCAGGAAGAGATACAAGGGACATAGTGCTTGTGTTCTTGGGCAAGACATTTTATTACAATTGCCTCTCTCCACCCAGGATGTATAATAGTGTACCTGTGAAGGCAGAGACCAGAATGCGCTGATCTCGAGCTGCTACAATGGCCTGATGAACAGGGGTACTGAGCGGTTTTGAGACCATTAGAATAAAGGGTTTTATAAGCACAGCTGTATTATTATTATAATATACATATTATGCTGAATTCAACTTCGCTAATTTGTCCCTCGGTCCCTCCTTGTACTTTAGTTTTCTAGTCCTACATTTTTTTTATAGCTAAAAATTTAATGAAAATTATGGAATGGCATTCCTCAGTCACACAGAACCAAAAAGTATAAGGCCTCAGGGCCAACCAAATAAACTTTGGGTTCAGAGAGGCAAACTTTGCCATTGCTAGACTCAGTCATCCGTAGTCCTTCAATTTCAAAAGAGAACTTAAAAATCTTGGAAATTAATTAGGAGTGGCACGGCTCTAGAATGACAGTCCGAGAATGCCAGTGTAAGGTTGGAAGGTTCAGCCACTCACATTTTCTAGGAATCGGACGTGGTCAGTGAGTGAGGAGGTGTGGTCCTTCATGGCGTTCAGTATATCAGCTATTGGCTCGCGTGGATGCACGCCGTTGTCGTAGCGATTGTACATCCCCCTCCAGAATCTGAATACCACAAAGAGAATTTAAAAAGTACTTTCAGTAAACTTTGTATTCAGCCAATAAAAAGAGAAAGAGACAAAACTGATTGTTGCTACATCTCGTCTTGCATACTGTAATGTCGTTAATCTAGAAAGGTCAAAGGCTATGTTTACACAAACATCATTTACTTCACTCGAATAGTGTCTTGTATATCATAACAAAGGCATAGGGCATGGCACAACACGTCAGATTGTAAGACTTACCGGTGACAGAACATTTTATTCATTTTTTTTTTGGAGTTAGTTGCAACTTGCCTTACTTCGGTTATCCCTGTACTGCCTCAAACTGCCCTGTCTGTTATTCCCTGCACTGCACCAAACCACCCTGCCTGTTAATCCCTGTACTGCCCCAAACCACCCTGCCTGCTACTCCCTGTACTGCCCCAAACCACCCTGCCTGCTACTCCCTGTACTGCCCCAAACTTCCCTGACTGTTACTCCCTGTACTGTCCTAAACTGCCCTGCCTGTTACTCCCTACACAACCCCAAACTTCCCTGACTGTTCCTCCCTGTACTGCCCCGAAATGCCCTGCCTGTTGTACTGCCCCAAATGTCTGTGCCTGTTACTCTCTGTACTGCCCCAAACTGCCCTGCCTGTAATGCCAACAAATTGTCTTGCCTGTTACTCCCTGTACAGCCCCAAACCACCCTGCCTGTTACTCCCTGTAATGCCCCTAAGCACCCTGCCTGTTACTCCCTGTACTGCCCCAAACCACCCTGCCTGTTACTCCCTGTACTGCCCCAAACCACCCTACCTGTTACTCCCTGTACTGCCCCAAACCACCCTGCCTGTTACTCCCTGTACTGCCCCAAACCACCCTGCCTGTTACTCCCTGTACTGCCCCAAACCACCCTGCCTGTTACTCCCTGTACTGCCCCAAACCACCCTGCCTGTTACTCCCTGTACTGCCCTAAACCACCCTGCCTGTTACTCCCTGTACCACCCAAAACCACCCTGCCTGTTACTCCCTGTACTGCCCCAAACCACCCTGCCTGTTACTCCCTGTACTGCATCAAACCACCCTGCCTGCTACTCCCTGTACTGCCCCAAACCACCCTGCCTGTTACTCCCTGTACTGCCCCAAACCACCCTGCCTGTTACTCCCTGTACTGCCCCAAACCACCCTGCCTGTTACTCCCTGTACAGCCCCAAACCACCCTGCCTGTTACTCCCAGTACTGCCCCAAACCACCCTGCCTGTTACTCCCTGTACTGCCCCAAACCACCCTGCCTGTTACTCCCTGTACTGCATCAAACCACCCTGCCTGCTACTCCCTGTACTGCCCCAAACCACCCTGTCTGCTACTCCCTGTACTGCCCGAAACCACCCTGCCTGCTACTCCCTGTACTGCCCCAAACCACCCTGCCTGCTACTCCCTGTACTGCCCCAAACCACCCTGTCTGCTACTCTCTGTACCGCCCCAAACCACCCTGCCTGCTACTCCCTGTACTGCCCCAAACCACCCTTCCTGTTACCCCCTGCACTGCCCAAAACTGCCCTGCCTGTTACTCCCTGTACTGCCCCAAACTGCCCTGCCTATTACTCCCTATACTGCCCCAAAACTGCCCTGCCTGTTACTCCCTGTACCGCCCCAAACCACCCTGCCTGTTACTCCCTGTACTGTCCCAAACTTCCCTGCCAGTTACTTCCTGTACGCGTCAAACCTCCCTGCCTGTTACTCCCTGTACTGTCCCAAACCATCCTGCCTGCCCCAGCACTATGGTTTTATGAATTTTTCACGGAATAAGTAAAATATAATTCAATTTAGTACGGGTGCTAATGAGAGGATCTTCTACTCGTGGGATTGATGTCTGTCTACGGTACTCACCTGAACATCTGTGGGCTGAGGTTCGGCCTAAGAATACCCCCGGTGGCTGGGGAGTTTGCCTTGTAGAGTGGGTTGTAGTAGTCAGCCATCCGGCCCTGCATGTAGGCCCACAGGGAATAGGTCCTCTCTGATATGCTGTGTAGAGAATACATGGGCAATATAATGCTTCAATTATCAGGCTTTAGGCAATAATGTTCATTTGTTCATTGTTATTTTCTTTTGGCCCCTCGTGAATTTCCAAAATAAAATAGTTCACTCAGTATATTAGGCCAAAAGATAAAGTCTCTGGTTCTGGTACGCGCGTGCGTCGCCATAGCCATGCGCGTCGGCAAAATGAAAAGTTTTTTTTCCAATGTAAGATGATGTCTCAAAACCGCCAAACTCACTGGTTTGACTGGAATCCTGCTGCTGCACAATTTTAACGTGTTTTGAGATGGGGTTACGATCGAGTATAAGCTTTATGTGGCCTCTCTGGACTCCCATATATTTTGCACTAAATTTAGTCTGGCACCATTTGCAGTCATCAGCCGACATTTGAAAAAAAAAAATTAAAAAAAAACTCCGTCGCCGCACCACTTTTGGGGCAAGCTCCATACCAGAAACCGGAGACTTTTTTTTTGGCCTTAGACTAATGACTCATACAAGCCGAAAGTAAAATAAATGGTGTCTTACCCTCCAGCACACAATCCTTCAAAATTAAACAAAGCCAGTGGCTGGATTTTGGAATATATTGCGAGGTTGGTGTTAAAGGGAATATACAACATTTGCTTTTGCTGTAATTTTTAGAAATGGATGGATTTGGGGGATAAGTATTTGATAGCAAATGTTGTTAGACTGACTTGTTTGAAGTTTCGCGTTCGTATATGCTGGAAAAACTATGAAAAACAATCATACTCTGGTAGTCTGGTTCCCTGACCCCACTTAAATTGAAATGGAGCATTTTATAGACGTAGGGGAACCCACTTAAATTGAAATGGAGCATTTTATAGACGTAGGGGAAATGTAATGTCAGGGAACCAGTCTAGAAGGCTTGTATCCGTTCACAGATTTGTAATCGATTACAAACAAAATTCAGAGTAACTAAATATGGCAAATTGGGTGCAGTATTTGAAGGGAAAAAAGCCATTTTCTTTCAATACTGGTCAGCCGACCAGCATTGGAAATTGATACAAAAATACCACTTTTCTTTAAAATGTCAGCACACCAGGTGCCTTGATTTTAGAGGAGGATGCTTTAGACTGTCATTCACTAACAGTCCAATAAGGTATTTCATAATAATTTGGTGGTTTTGTTTTTTGATGTTTGCAAATGTTGTATATTCCCTTGAAAAGAGAGCAGTAAATGACAGCCGAACGTTCACCTGTTGTCCACGCGATCCTTCTCGCAGTTGCCCAGGAAGTTGCCAAACTGGCAGGAGAAGACGTGGTCGTGCAGCTCCAGCAGGAAGCGCTCGTTGAACTGGAACGCGCAGGGGAACTGCTGCGTGAGCTGCCAGGCGCAGTCCACGAACTGGGTGAATACCGGGGAGAACTCGCGGGAGTCGTAAGACACCAGGCCGCACCTGTTTCCAATCGCGAAGGGAGAATAATAATAATAATAATAGTGGGTATTTATGAAGCGCATGTATCGACTAGGTAATGGCGCTCACCGCGCTACATCAATATTACCCTTGCTCATTGGGCCCATGAAGCATTACAAATACAATCTCAGCTCCCTGGGGAGTATCCGCTCCGTTCACAAGTACCCCTTCACCGGCAAAGGAAGTACAGTTGGGGGTGACCGACCGACGCCATCTTGCCTGACTGCAATTCATTTGCCGCGAAGCATGGCCACTGCATGTAAATAGAGCAAATCCCCTGGTGTACGTGCGTCACACACAAGGAGTGGTGCGCGTCAACCAGCGAAATGTCCCGCCCATGGGACGTCGTTGCTAGGTAAAAGGGCGCCCTCTTTTCGTAGCGCACGGAGCTCATACAGCTCGATGCTGAGATTTTCCGCGCTAAAATCAACCACACTGACCATCTCTACCCTCACAGGTACCCATTTGCTCCTGGGTGGAGAGAAGCAATGAGTGACAAAGTGCCTTGCCCAAGGGCACACGCACCATGACCCCAGGCTGGACTCGAACCCACAACCTGCAGCTTTACCCGCAGACCACGAATCCAATGCCCTTAACCACGAGGTCACAGCACTCCACGTAATGGAGTACCGAAGTGTGACGTCATTTAGAACCAGAAAGTGTAGTGCAAACGAATGGAGTACGCGCGCATGTTGGTTCACGGGCCGAATCACGCGCTAATGTCTTTTACACACATTTTGTGCGCGTGACGTATTAACTTCAGTACTCCATATTTGGAGGTCAATGAGATGAGCGTAGAAGTAATTAAAAATATGACTGTATCTAGTTGTTAATTTTGCTCAAGCCGGTAAACCCTTTCAAAAGAGTGCTTATGTGATTATCTTTTTGTAATGAACTGCAAATGAGATGAGCCTTTTTTTTTAATATTGGAAGTCAATAAGCTGAGAAGCAATTAAAAAAAGATGACAGCTACTTTTAATTTTGCTCGGTCGTTAAAGTCGTAACAACAGGACATCTTTTTGGGGGTTATGTGGTGTGAAATATATATGGCATACCTGTCAAGAAACTTGTGCCCAAATGCCAGCCACTCTTTCTCTATTAAAACCTGGAAAATCAAAAAGAGAAACATGGTTGAATTACAAAAAAATCCAGCTGCAGAATTTCTATTTATATTTATGTCCTCCAAGACAAATCAGGGAATGGAGTTTGATACACAGAACGTTTATTTCAGTTAGTGGCAAGTACACCATTGGCAACAAGCAGCAACTGCGCAAGGTTGGGTGCGTGATTTGAAACGACCCAAATCGACCAATATTCCAAATTTTGTTTTGCACTGCTTTCTTTATAGATTCGGGACTATAAACTTCAGCAACAATTTCATTACACTTTAAACATGATTTAATTGAAGTACAAACAATGTCCTTCTGGTTTACTGCATTCCGTTTGATTTTGAAGCATTATTAAAGAAGCTATCTCATAGAAGATGTACAGGGGTTTTAATAGTGGGTTTTGACTTATAAGCTCTCGGAAGCAAATAAGTAACATCAAACAGGACAAAGCCTGATATTAAATTTAGATCTCCCTCACACAATTTTTTTTATGTTTTAATGCACCGAGACTTAAGGTTAAAACTACATGTTTTGAAATGTTGAGTTTTGGATAGAGCACCAACCTGAAAGCCCTGTATGGTTCTGTAGTATGAATCGAGTATTAAACTAGCCAGTGAGCATGTCTGTGCGGTCCGGTCCCAGCCGTCCGAGCAGTGGACTAACACACTAACACCCTCATCAGAGAGAGCCTGCAAACGACAAGAAATTTCAAGTTACGATGATGGAGATACTTAAGCACAGAAAAGAAATGGTTTCAATTTTTGAGGTAAAGAACAAGCTTTTTTAATTTACTGATACAAATGGCTGTTTATGGGTCATCAAGGTCATTTAAATTTCTACTTTTCTTTACCAATGCCTGGAACACTACACAATAGCTTATACACAATAATGTTGTGCAATCCAAACCTGAAACCGAAACCGACCCGGCCCAAAACCAACTTTGGGACTGGTCTCGTCGGTTTGTCCATCATTTCAGTCGAGTCATGTCAGTTTTGGTTTTTCATTTACGATTTTCGAGTCGGGTAGGTTAAGCAATTTTGGGAAAACCTGAAATAAACTGAAAAAAAAAAAAAAGTTTGGAAATGCACACGGTGCAATATTTATGGCAGAGACACTGTGCCCGGTACAACCAAATGTGGTTTGCTGTCTATCAGGCACGGTTTATAACATATAGGCCAACCAGTACGTCACGTTATGAGTACCGTACGGTATGATTCAGTTACTGAGAGATGAGAATTTTCACGCGATGCATGTAAGTTCAGGCACAAAATAGCAGACCCAGTTGCCCTAGCCAGATATTCTGAATTTTTGGGGTCGGTTCGATTTCGGGTCCTTGAATTTTTGTCGGGTCGGGTCGGTTTTAGGGAGTTCAAATGGTTTGGGGTGTGGATTCAGTTCGTATGTATAATGTTTCAGGTCGGTTTGGCCTGGTCAACCCGACCCGATAACAACCCTTTTGAAATACGACCAAAATGAGCAATTTATTTTATTTTATTTTTTTGAGGGGAGGGAGGCTGGTGGGTTTACCTTGGCAATGAAGATTGAGGTATCCATGATGGCCTTGATGTGTCTGAGCCAGCCGCTGTTCTCTAGACCGCTGAGAAAGGCTTCCATGGAAGGATTCTTCAACTCACACACTGGAAAAAAATATTATCATTTATTTCTGGTAATGAAACCAAGGATTCCTCAAAAGAGCCTTAGGCACTGTAGCTCGCAAGCCTAAAGAAACCTGTACCTCAGGAGACAATGAAAAGAAATTAAAGTTTTAGAAGTGGGAGGAAAACCCCAAAAGTTTATTCTGGGAAAACCCACGGAATCAGGTAGAGACTGAAAACCCAATCCACATGTTGGTCCAGGCGGGATTCAAACCCGGGTCACAGCGGTGGAAGGCAAGGAAAGTACCGCTACCCGACTCCCAATCAAGTGTTACCAATTTTTTTTTTTCATTCGTTTTCTTTTTTCATTCGTTTAATTCATTAAGTCTATTAATTTTAACACTTATCCTCTGAAGGTTGATGTAGTTTTGGCCTACCCTGTTTTGGAAAACAAAATGCTACAGCTGGGGTATTTTTGGTGCTAAAATGCTCAGTAACAAACCCTGTAATATGATGCCATTACAAAATACAGCCCTTGCACGCTGTTGTAAATGTTATGGACCACAATTTGCAAAGTAATAATGGAAATTATGAGAGTGTGAGACGTACAAGAAAATATTTTTCTCATCAACATCTATTTACAATATCCCTTCTTACCGTCTGTAAGTTTTTGCAGACTGTTTCGCATCACGTGGATGTTTTCGATGCCTAGGAACTTAAACTTGATGTTGGTGTAGAAATCGGTGCTTTCGTAGCCCTTCCCTGAGGCTTTGTTGACCATGGCATTAATCTAGATGTAAAAAAAAACAAAAAAAACACGGGGTTGGAACCACTGCATATGCCATGAGTACAGGGGGAAGGGGGTCTTAAAAGTCGGCATTTCATCCGTACATGTACATACATGTACTTCCGGGACGGCCCCTTACAACAATCGGACACCTTGTTTTTAGCCATATCTATTGAGCTTAATGTCCCAGTGTTGTTCAAGTACAGATAACTACGGTTTCTGTCCATTCCAGGCCGTTCAAAAATCCAGGATTTGGAGGATTTTGTCAGGGTTTGCGAAAAGAAAATTTACAGGGGAAATGTGTCCTAGCCGATAGGGATTGTGGCTCATGATCAGAGGGTCAGGGGTTCGAATCCAGCTGCTGGCCATATGTTGTGTCCTTGGGCAAGCCACTTCATCCCCACTTGCTTCTCCACCCAGGAGTATAAATGGGTACCGGCATTAGCTGGGAAGTTATCTGCGATGGACTGGCATCCCATCCAGGGGGAATAGACATACATTGTATTCTCAGTCGTTTCATGCCACTGAAACCGGAGACAAACGCCGGCCTGATGGGCCAAATTGGCTCGGGACGGACTTTACTTTTGTGAATGGTACAGTACAGCCACCATTACAACACATGTTGGCTTGATGCCAAAAGGAAATTTTAATTTCAAAGAATTTGCTTTTAGTAGTTTCCTGAAGACTGGCGGACTTTTGACAATTCAAGAATTTCCAAGCAAAAACATTTCCCGAGGAAACAGGACAACACATTCACTTCCAACAAATGGATGACACAGTGTAGCTGATTTCTCAAAAAATTGAAAATATTTCAACTTGTATTTATACATTTATTATTTTTGTAATTATTTGGCAGTTGGTCAGTTAGCACTTGAAAGTTTTTGACTTATTTCCAGTGGGGCCCCTTGGTAGAAGATGTGGAAGGAAATTACAGTTTTGGTGGTGGGAGGAAAAAACCCAGAATGATATTCTGGGGGGAAACCCACGGAATCAGGAATCAGACTAAAAACCCGATCCACATAATGGCCCAGGCGGGATTCGAACCCGGGTCACAGCGGTGGAAGGCGAGGAAAGTACTGCCTCGCCAACCATGTACATGTCAATGTAATATGTTGCATTACAAATTTTGCTTGGAACTTTCATCATGTAAAGTATGAACTAACTGTATGCGTGGATAGCTGGATGGTATTGACCTGATTGACAGATAGCAAGCAAGCCATAAGATAGACAACGTACATAGCTAAAAATCCGAAGGAGAAAAAAAAATGGAAAAACAATAACGTTTGTTTACCTTTGGCCTCGTATCCACAATGTACATGAAATTGCTCTTAGGGTTGGTGTTTAGGATAGCCTGTAACATCTGCTCGTCCTCAAGACAGCGTGCACTGAAGCCTGCCAAAGGCTGGCTGCAGCGAGACATCGATGCCTGATGGGGTATGACAAAAAACAAAAATGTTTGAAATACAATATGTAGCAGTAAGTCAAGCCTTGCTATGCTATACCCTATTACTTGAATACTTCAATATATTGATTACAGAAAAAACATCTGAGCGTCCTACATTGGCCTCTTCTGACAAACCACCATACAAGCTGGTGTCCCTTCCTCCACTCACATTGTTTCCTTTATGGAGGTAGGACAGCACTGGTAGCCTGCCCCTGCTGCGGAACCGGGCGCTGCCTACCAAGACTGGAGTACTGGCTGAGACCGGCACGTAAATCATCTTGGGGTAGGTGTCACAAATCTGAACCAAGAAAAAAAGAGTTCAAAACGATCATAAACAAGTCCCAAAGCAATTTTTTGTATAATAGATTAAAGGGAAGATACAACATTTGCAAACATCAAAAAACAAAAATGATAAAATTACCACGAAATATCTCACTGGATTGTTAGGGAATGACAGCCTACAGCATCCTTTAAAGTTGTGGCTCCTGGTGTGCTGACATTTTCAAGAAAAAGTGTATTTTTCCAACACTGGTCGGCCGACCAGCGTTGGAGAAAACTCTGTTATTTTTCAAAAAGTGCTCCTTATTTTTGATATTTAGTTCGTCTGTGTTTTCTTTGCAATTGATTACACACCTGTAAGACTACAAGCTGACAAGCCTGCTAGACTGATTTTCATGAACTTACAATTCCCCAAAGTCTACAAATTGCTTCGGTTCAGGGAACCAGACTACAAGAAGATGATTGGTTTTCTTGGTTTTTCCAGCATCTACGAACCCAAAACGTGAAACAAGTCAGTGTAACAATATTTGCTATAACATACTAATCCTCCAAATCCATTTATTTCTGAAAATTGCAGCAAAAGCAAATGTTGTACATTCCCTTTAAGGTTCTGTTCCTAAATTTACGTACAATGCATACTTGTATGGAAGAAAGCAATTTTCGAGCATCGAAAGAAAATGGCATTTAAAAATCTTTCATGACGTCTTTGGATCAAATTTATCCGTCACGAGGCGAGAAAACGGCAATTGACTGTGCCTCGGTAAAATTCTCCATGGACAGTTTTGTGGACAGGACTTAACGCTAGGCCAACCAACCGCGGCATCTCTCACGGTTTAATTTCAGTTGACTACCGTTGCATGTAACCCCAGGAGGGCTATCTGTTCTCAGTCACACTGGTGCCCTTTCCCCCTTTTGTAACCTAACTCTCTTGGCCTGTTTGCTAAACTGCATCGACAATCCTTCAACATCCTCAACCTGCCTCCATGTAAAAACTGGATACAGCCTCAATCCTCCAAAATCATCCCTTATTCCTTGAATTTGTTCGTTGGAGGGGTGACCACTGCCTCGATCCTGCAAAATCCTCCACAATCACTGTTAATACGTTCAGACGGTGCTGATGATATCCAGAAGCAATACGGATGATTTCAAGTATAATCTAGGCCTAAATTTACTAATGGCAAAGCATAAACAACACATATAGAGCCTAAAACCTTGACACAATGCATCCTCTAAAATCAACTACTTAAACATTTTGGCAATATAGCCTCAATCCTTTGAAATCCTTCACAAAGATGATTTTGGAGGATTTGGGAAGGTTAAAGGGCCAGACAATGTAATTTTCTTAATGCAATCCTTGAAAATGCACATCTGTGTCCCATTTCACCTTATTTTCAATTTTCGTTTTGCCATTTCAAGATTACTTTGATCCCATTTTTGGTGTTTATGCTGATGCAAATTTCCATATTCATGAGCAAAAGTGTGGCTTTATTTCAGGCAGAAACCTCAATGTTACAGTTATTTCACCACAAAAAGTTACAAGAATTCTGGATATTTTGCTGATATTGTAAAAAAATTCTTGTCTTTGGTGATTCGTTGTTTCAGTGCGTGGCAGTGAGCCCATGAGCAAACTTTTCTCGCACTTGTTTTCAATGAGCACATTTTTGGGTTCACAATTTGAACACCAAAACCCCTAAACTGAATAGTGTCTTCCTGAAATGACAGCACAGCAACAGCGCCCTCAGTTGTCCAGAAAAGCATGGACAATTTTTTTAATGTTTAAAGGAATGCCCTTTTCAATAAAATTAACAAAAAAGGGACAACAAATAGTTTTAAAAATGTACATCTAAGAGGAGGAGAAAGTTGCACAGAATATGTCCCTAAGAAAAAAAATCATTGAATGAACCCTTTAAATGTATCTTGTAGGGTTTTGTTGACGGAAGTTGTTTGTGTTGGTGGATGCCATATCTGTAACAGTTTCATTGTAATTGAGGCGCATAAGCTCAGGAAGCTAGTCGGTAATCCATCACACCAGTGTCCGGCCCTCATATTAATACCTCATATTTCCTGTTGACAGTTAAAGTTGGGGACCCCCATGCATGCGTATATCTGTCACAGTTTAATTTTAATTGACTACCGAGGCGCATAAACTCAGGAGGCTGGTCGGTACTCCGTCACACTGGTGCCCTGCCCAATGATATTTACCTCATAGTTCTTGTTGACGGACGTGGCACACCAGTTTGAGTTGGGGACCCCCATGCGGGCGTAGTCGGCCGTGAGATCGAACGGGTCCCAGTGGGGTGGCAGGCCGGGCTGAAAACTGGCCGACTTGTAGTGAAACGCGTAGACCTCATTTAAAGTTGCTAAAGAGGAAAAATACCCACAAAGTGTAATAATAATACCGAAGTCTTATATAGCGCACGTATCTACCAACAATTAGGTACTCAAGGCACTGGAAATTATGTCTATTATTAGAGACAGGTAAATGTAGTACATGAGAAATATGAGAACCATTATGTAGCACCTTTTATAATGGTTTACAAGGTGCTGCGGCGCATATTGCAACCACTGCCAGAAACACTGGGGCAAACCCCTTCTCTTAGCGATAAGTGTTACTGGGTTCTTTAACGTGCACGGGACCTATGGCTTTACGTCCCATCCGAAGGACGAAGCAATAATGGTAAAGCGCCTTGCTCAGGAGCACAGGCACCATGTTCCCACGGTCAGGATTCGAACCCATGTACCACGATACACGAGTTGAACACCGTAACCATTGGACCACAGCACCCCAATCAGAGGGAAAAGGCAAGCCGAGGGGAAAGGAAAAGTCTAGATTTTACCGAGCGATAATATTCCTCCCATTTCACAATTTAAAGTCACTCAATGTTTGTTTCATATACATGTAATTCACATATCAGCTAAAATGAAATTGGTGGGAAATGTATTTCTCTCTTCCAAACCACCCCTTCATGAAATGTTTGAACCCAACTTTGTGGCTACTGGCTACTTTTGCAACACCCATGTATCAAGGAGTTTTAACCCTCACTTAGAGTAGCGGTAGATAAGCTTCCTGAATCCTACAAAATTCTCGAAGGCCTCCCTGTGGCTTTTGAAGGATCTTGGAGGGCAACTGAACTTTCATCGCTGGCTGTTGCTTACACGTACCTGGCTTGGAAAGTTTCTGCAGTGATATATACAACTCTTGGCAGCTTTTGTCTCGGGGGATAACGAACGTGGCCGCTTGGAACGTCTTGCAGCGGATCTGCAGCGGTGAGCCGGACGTAGTCAGTGGCAGCTTCTCGACTGAGGATATGTGCATGTGCTGGATCTGGGAAACGGAATAAAGGAGAAATCAGCTGAAAATAAAATCTTACACATTTTGATCAAGATTAGGGTTTAATATAATTGGCTTTTGCCCCTCACCGAATTCTACAAATACTGTTTAGTATTTAGTATGGTATGAAGGCTTGCGAGAAAAATTCACAAGTTTACTTAGGTAGGACTTGAACCCACGACTGACGACCTCCTTCTCTCTCATGGGTGTCAGTCGGTGGGGGACGCCCCCCCCCCCCCCCCCCCACTTTTTAAAGTAGTGTTTATTTTTAGATGGCCTTTGAAATTCTTAATCAGGGTATATACTTTTTTAAAAAAAATACGCTTTTGAAAAGCCATTTATTCATCATCATTTTTATTTACGTGAATGCAATTTTTTTTTAATTTCAGCATCAGATTAAAATGAGTTGTCAAAAAATCAATTTAATTGGCTGATTTTTTTTTTAAATATAAAACACAAACAATATGATCAAGAATTTGTCAAGACACATGTATGATAGAAGTAGAATTATTTTACTTAGTAAAAAAGTAAACAATTTTTAAAGTGTACACAAAACAAATGATATAGTCCTCATAATATGCCTTTTTTTTCATTTTAAATTTTTTTTTTTTTCATGTTTCAATTTAAACCTATATATTGTATGCAAGCATCTTCTCAATAAGCCCTCGTGAAACTTCTTAGAGTGTCCCTTTAAGTTAATCCTCCTTTTTACTGCTAATACCTCCAGGCATAATCCAGGAAAAGCTAATTATGTCAATGGTTATGATTCAGACATGTACAGCATGTACAGTGTCCCCGTACATGTTTGTTTCGCTATTATTGCATGAATATACATGTACATGTACACCCATACACGCATGTTTGATTATGGTGTATATCGAGGATTTTCTATTGTTCCTCTTCCCTTTTCCTTTGTTTATACACTAACTTTGTTTGCAACAGCTCTCACTGGTTTTGTTCACGTTTTCTAATCGGGGTCTTCCTCGATTTGGTTCCTGTCCTCGATTCACCGATGATGCTGCACGTGTGTGTCCTCGATTTACACCATAAACAAACGCAAGTGCACGCATACATGTACATGTACAATGTACATACACATGCAGCACATGTTTTGAACATGTACTTAGTTCCTGTTTCTGTCTCTGTTTTGAATGGAATTTATAGGCACAGAGCAATCATTGTATTGTCTTCACATGTACAACAATGCACATGTATAGACCATAGACTACAGTAGGACTAGATTAAAGAGGTTGTGGAATGCTCGAAGACATTTCTGTCATTTTTCGGGTATACATGTATGTAGCCTAAGGTGTGATGAAATAAAAACGACTATTGTGTCTGTCATGAAATGAGTACAAAAGGTACTTTTGAGAGGTCCTGTTTCGACCCGAACGTGCAATTTGTGTAAAAGTCGTCGTTGGGGGCAGCATACAAAACATAGTAAATCGTGACGTACATGTAATAAACAGGACTCCCGATGCAGCGTAGTATAAACGAGTCCTGTTTATAACGTCACGATTTACTATGTTTTGTTTGCTGCCCCCAACGACGACTGTTACACAAATTGCACGTTCGGGTCGAAAAAGGACCTGAAAAACAACTCTCAAAAGTACCTTTTGTACTCATTTCATGACGGACACAATGGTCGTTTTTATTTCATCACACCTTAGGCTACATATACCCGAAAAATGACGGAAAAGTCTTCGAGCATTCCACAACCTCTTTAAAAAAAAAGTGATGAATGAAAAAAAAAAAAATATTAATATTCATTATTAACAAAAGAAGATTAAAACATATCAACACTGATCAATTATATTGCCTGCATGTAAGGACAGAAACAACCAAACTTTTCAGAAATATGAGAGATGAAATATGTACGTACATAAAAAAGGCTTTTCCCCCATATTCAACACAGTCATGACAGTATACATGTACATAAATGTACACTGTACTTAACAAATTACACATGTGCATGAACTTTCCAATTTATGCACAGTTTAGCACATGTCATTTTCCATTTTAATCAAATTGGTAAACCATAAAGGCCTATATTCCCACTGCATTTTCAGTTCAAGTCTGATAACATCTGGCTTAATAGTGGTACCATGCAACCTGGGGCCCACTTCTCAATGAAGCTGAACAACAAATATTGCCTACAGCACCCTTGGCTCATATGTTCCCACACTTGGCAATTTTTGGGATTACATGGGAATATGATTTCATTACAGAGCGGTTATTGGCATCTGCGGGCGTGACATTTCCGCGGGCAGGTGTTGGTCAGTCGCTGTGGTTAGAATAAAATTATATTCCAACTTGATGACGGAGTAAAACTAAAGTGGTACGTCATCAGATATATTGTATACATGTGCTTTGTAGAACAATTTAAGTTATTTAGGGCCATGTGCCATTTGTGTATACATTTTTCTTTCATTTGAAGCAGAGACATTTCTCAAAATCTTGCGTAACAACTACATACATGTAAATTTGTTCAAGTTTCAACTCAGTGGATACAGTGGAACGCCGCTATTTAACAAACATCGCGGGATCCACATAAATTGGTCGTAATAGCAATCGTTCGGTATAGCGATTTTAAGCTGCTGGTGCTCTGGTTCTCACTTTTCAATAAATAATGCCCTTCAGAACTTCACCCTGCAGGCCCTGGTAGTTACTGAAATCCGCTTTTTGAAAACGTGCCGACTATTGAATTATGTTTACACAGTTTTTGAGCTCTTGTACCTACAGCAATGGGTGGCTTTCCCCTTTCTATTCCTTTGAGAAATAATAGCCACTTGTCACTGTTCTGTTGACATTTTTCCACAACAATGTTCGGTATGTTTTGTACACAAAGATTGGGAGCCAAGCATGATGATGTTCGGTATAGCCGAATGTTCGGTATAGCAGTGTTCGGTATAGCGACGTTCCACATTTTGTCTCAATATCTTTGCATAGTTTACAATCCATACATGTATACTGTATTGTCTGTATATAAGAATGTGCCACTAATCCTGGGCAAGGGAGTACATGTACATGTACATGTAAAAAATAGGAACAAGACGTTATGCCAATTTGTCAGTATTAAAAGCATGTTATTCCTCAGACAGGGCTCTGGAGTGCTTTGAAACGTGCAAAACTAAATCAGGCCCACTTAACTCACAGTTTAGCCAGCAAATTTCTCCAAAAATTCCACTGGGGCAAAGAAAATGTCCTCAGTATTTCACCAACCAAGTTTGCAGACTCAATTCAATTTTAAAGAAGATTTTCTTCAATATTTTGCACATGAGAGGGAAGTCAAGTGATTTCAAAATGAGGCTAAAGACTAGACTGGTACATGTCCAACCATGGTCCAACTATTTGAAAAGACTGACCTCTTCATTCAGTGTCAATAGTCTGGTGGCTTGACTATGGAGAAATGTGTAGTAAATTGACTAGTTCCCGCTTCATGCCACATGTTTCTTTAATCTTTTGGCATGGTTGATTGATGCAGTACTGAAGCTGTGTTGGGCTGGTTCGTTTAGGTGCCAGTCTATTTTTCTTGTTTTGCGTGTTTTCAATACCTTAAGTTTTGGGACTCTCATACACAGTGTTGAGAGTCCCAAATTTTCGTACTAGAACTGGTCCCAGATTATGAAATTGGATTTCTTTACCAACTTTACAAATTAAAGAAGGGTTTTGAATGTCATCCCGTACTACCCGGCATGTTTATTCAAGGAAAGAATGTAGTATCCAGACGCCACTTCAGCGGGTTGTGTATAAAGTCTATGGAGAGTCAAGAAAAGAACTATTTCCTAACAAAATTGGAAGTGTTTCTCAGTCCCAGATTCATGTCTTTTTGACATTTTTGCAATGACTGACCTTTACTGAGATGATATATAGAGAAGAAAGTGGCATCAGGTTGCAACACTCTTTCCCTTTTCAATAGAAAAGGTCAATTTCTAGATGATCAAATCATTTGTATTTCTCTGAAACAAATTAAGACCGAGCTTCTGTAGAAACTGTATCGTAAAGATCAACTGGACTTTTTTGGAAAACTGGCCTCACCCATGTTTCTCTCTTGCCGGCTGGGTCCACAAAGATGAGATGTGTCGCGGTCAGGTACAGGTTGCCCAACGCCGGCTTGCGAGTGTTAAATCGATCCAGCAATCGCACATCCTCTATCTGTACAATACAGCGTGTGTAAATAAAAATGCAAACAAAATATAACAGAATGCAAGACGTCGAATCGAATGTGTAACTAACATAGATAATATAGACCTGGTTTGAAAGATACGCCTTTCCACTTTAAAATGAGACATCAAACATCCAAATCTGAAAATTTTTTGACAGAGTTATGAGTAATTTTAAAAAGTGAGGTCGAATTGACCGTGGGACCAAGTTTTCAATTTTAGGCATTGGGACAAACGTAGCCTAATTGCCTAAGTGTGGATACATGCATTTGCCTGGCCTACAAAAATGTATTTAGCGAGTTAACACAATTCTAAACACTTTCTTGCTATCACCTAATGCTAATGTTAAGCATGTTAGCATGTTGACAAACAGATAGCAAGAAAGTGTTTGGAAGTGTGTTTTCAACAACAACAAAAATCTTTCCGATCAGGTAAATATTTGTTGAGTTATGGCCAACTGAAAACAAGTGCTGCTTTACGTTACAAACATGCATGGGTTTGGCCTTGCTGTACGCTATGCCCAACACGTCACGTTTGATTATCCAATTTATCCCACAATTCATTGTCCCAGAATTCATTGTGCGCCCGAGACTTTGATAAGGCTTATTCAAAAGTTGCTGAGTCAATCATATTTTGAATTGAAGAAAACAAAACGTTTATTATTTTAGTGAATATTCATAGCGATCGTGTAATGTAGGGCACATGTTTAGTTTCGATTAAATTAGAGTCAAGGGTGTTTTCATTACTAAAAAATGACCTTTTCAACACAAAGTAGACTTCTCTCAACAGGATGGCACATTTTTTTGGTAATTTTTAAAGTTTCTTGGGGTAGAAATTATGATTGTCCTACGCGGTTTACGATTGGTGCAATGCGATTCAGTGCACCTTGCGCATTCATGGTTCATCATTTACATCTCGCGGTGATCGGCATCTTTATTTTCGTGTTGCGTTTTGCCTACCCCCAAATTTCCGAATTCAAAACCCTGCCCTTTATCTATGACATACCTGCATGGGCACAATTGCAGAATACCCCGCCACTCACCTATCCCACCTCGTATCCGGATACGCGGATACGGAGTCACGCTTGGATGCTCAACCAAAACCACACGCGTGCACCACCCCATATCCGCGTATCCACTTCCTGGCACCTACTTTGGACTTAGACATTTTTCCCCTGCTCCCCATTCAACTCACGTTGTCTCTGCCTTCGTTATTTTCCAACATGGATATGGATGCCTCATTCTCAAAAATATTTTCCTCCGCTAAAGTCCACCCCGTATCCGCGTATCCACCTACTTTGGATTTAGATTTATTTAACTCCTGCTCCCCATTCAATTCACGTTGTCCCTGCTGGCCGCATTTCTTATTACAGGGAAATAGCGCCCTCTTTAGCATGTTTAGACCCTCCACCGCTCGAATCCACCCCGTCGTATCCGCGTATCCACTTCGTTTCCCGACACGTACTTTGGACATTTCTGCAACATTTTCCGACTCCGTAGCCATTTATTTTTAGGGGGTAGGCCTAATTTCCGCGTGGCGGGGTATTCTGCAATTACTCCCCCTGCGTATTCTTAATGTCACCAACTAGTTTGGTAGGTCAAACAATGGAGCAACTATAGAATGCAGGGCCACGCCGAAGCAAGGTTTTTTATTTTGCCTGGAGGCGTGGATGGAATAGGAGTAATAGATATGCAAACCTGCAAAAAAGTGCTAAGTACAGCGAAGGAATGCACTGCACTTGTCTTCAAAGCTTCTCATGAAGGATCGGAAGGGAGGGCGTGCTTGTAAATGTGTTGGGGGCACTGTCTGGAGCGGCGGAGGCGCGGAGTCTTGGAGTCGCAGAATCGCGGAGACGCGGGGCACTGGAGTGGCGGAGGCGCGGAGTCGCGGAGTCGCAGAGACGCGTACCGATAGAGGGCGCAATTCTCGGCGGAATCTTTTTGAGAACGAAGCATCCATATCCATTTTAAATGGGCGGGCCAATTAGGAAGGGAGGAGGGCGACGGGGCACTGTCTGGAGTCGCGGAGGCGCGGAGTCGGGGAGTCGCAGAGTCACTTTAATTGGGCGGGCCAATTAGGAAGGGGGGGGAGGGCGACGGGGCACTGTCTGGAGTCGCGGAGGCGCGGAGTCGGGGAGTCGCAGAGTCACTTTAATTGGGCGGGCCAATTAGGAAGGGGGGGGGAGGGCGACGGGGCACTGTCTGGAGTCGCGGAGGCGCGGAGTCGGGGAGTCGCAGAGTCACTTTAATTGGGCGGGCCAATTAGGAAGGGGGGGGGGAGGGCGACGGGGCACTGTCTGGAGTCGCGGAGGCGCGGAGTCGGGGAGTCGCAGAGTCACTTTAATTGGGCGGGCCAATTAGGAAGGGGGGAGGGCGACGGGGCACTGTCTGGAGTCGCGGAGGCGCGGAGTCGCGGAGTCGCAGAGTCGCTTTAATTGGGCGCGCAAATTAGTAAGGGGGGGGGAGGGCGACGGGGCACTGTCTCTCAGTGGTGGAGGCGCGGAGTCGCGGAGTCGCAGAGACGCGCACCAATAGAGGGCGCAATTTTCTGCGGCTCCACGACTCCACGATCGATTTTCAGAGGAAGGTCGACTGCGGTTCCACGCCTCCACGCAGCCGTACGGAGGCGCGGATGTAGAGTAAAGTGGCCCTGCATTCTATAGTTGTACCCAAACAATTTAAAAGTGGATTTTGTTCCATTACCAGGATCAGGAACCGGGCCCGTAGATACACGACCCCCCCCCCCCCCCCGCCCCCGTCTGACAACTGAACTGAGCTGAGTGAATGAAAAATGCACCGCACTCAGTCATCAGTGCAGTCTGTCACTCAGTGCTCAAGTTGTTCAATTTTATTTTTCCCCCAAGATCAGAAACGAAAATGTCGGTTCAGATGGCTTGTAATTATCGAATTATTACTCAAATTTTTTCATACAAACCTTGGGTGTTGTGATGTGTTCCATCTGGAGTGAAAAACGAGGACTTTTTATGCAAAAAAATTAGCTCCCTCTTTTGCCACGATATCGTTCGGCCTCCATGACACACTTCCGGTTGATTTTTTAGTCAGTGAATTTAAATAAGAAACTCTACTTTGTGTGTCAAATAAAATGCAAAAATTTCGATTATTTTTTGCACTAATCAAATACATGTAAATAATTTTTATATTCTTTTGTTTTTACAAAATGTTTGTATCCTATGTTATTCTAAAAATGTGTTTTTGAAAGTCAAATAATTTACATATTTTTTTCAAAGGTCAGTGATTCTTGACCTCAAGAAAAATGGCGGTCACCGGTGGTTTTTCTTTTGGCGGCACTGGCTCACTTTCAACGACAAAACCCACAGGAATTGCATTTGGAACGCCATCGTAAGTTGCACATCACAGATCGGAAATTAGTGTGATTTAGGGAAATATGTTTTTAATGTAAATTGTGCAGTACATTTCTTTAAAAAGGAGTTTATTTCTCGATGATCCGCAAACAAAGTTGAATCACAAATGCTGGCCTTTTTCTTCCACTAGAGGGCGCCCTAGTAATTTACTGAGGAGGCAATTTTTGAACTTCAATCTTACTTAATTATTAATTTAATTATAATACTAGCCTATGTTATTTTGATAACGCTAAATAGCTAAAAGTTAATTACATTGCTCAGCATGCTGATCAAAAGTAATTAATTCCTCCTTCTTGAATTTGTTATCTACCCTGATTTCGAAATGTTGCGATTGTCATTTAAAAATTTAGATTTTTTTTTTAATTCTCCAAAAGAGCGAGGGTGGTTTTCTTTTTAAGTTTTATTGTTTTAAATCGAATCGTACCTTTAATTGCCAAATGTTTCATCCTCTAATTCGTGGCTCTTTTTGTAAAGAAAGGGAAATAAAGTCTGAAAAATGTGTAGCCTTACTAGCCTATACTGTCTGATTCCCATCTGGCATCTCCTTAACGTGAAGTCACAACGACAATGTTAGCACGGAACCAGACCGAGATTTACACGGTGAAGATTTCTAAGTTCCCCCCAAAACACTCACTGCACATGGTCAGTGCCATTCTGCCGGTACAATGCTGATTACTATTGGGGACCGTTTCACAATCACAGTCAAATTAGAATACACCGCCTACAATTTACATGACAAAATGTAATGTAAATCATGGCAATCAAACATTAACCCTTACCCTACTTGACCCTCCAACGCATGCCAATATGTGCCTCAAGAAAATCTCCTATGTTTTTTGCATGGCCCTCCAATATCTGCCATGTCATTTCAAGGGTAACTGGACAGGCACTCCAATACATGCCACAGAGAACAATGAGAGTCCTCTGATAACAAAGTGTGTGCCCCCAGCTGGTCAGTATCAGGCACCCTCCAGGGCCTCCAACTCCTGCCAATTGGAGCCTTCACTGTCAAGATAGTTTATCTGCCAATATACTGCAGCTGGAGGGCATTGGCATAACCAACTGACATGCAGTAAACTACCCTCAGAGAGTAAGGGTTAAAAGGAAGTCAGAATTTATATTTTATTTTATTTTTTACATTTTTGTCAGTTTACATTTAAAAACAGTAAAACAGTTTCGATTTGTCATTGCTGTCTTTAAAAGACGTTCTGTTTGTCAGTTGTGTGATTTTTTTAATATGTTGACGCTATTCTTTGACTTAGAGCAACAACGAGTGCATCAAGTCTGGGCTTCGGCACACCGTCTACCGCAGCATCCTCCGGCTTCTCGCTGGGCGGAGCCAAGACGGGTGGATTCAGCCTGGGTGGAATAGGCACCACAAGCACTGGTAATGCTAGAACATTGATGCTTAGCAAGTTCGTATGCTATGAAAGCAAATTGTTAATGAGAACCAGTTGCAAGCAGTACGCATCATATGAAATTTGTGGTTGGTAACCTGTGTTGCCAACCAAAGATTTCTGTGCTTACATGTAGCAGTTTCTTCTGTGCTAAGCATATTCATGCAGCCTGCCCACAAATGATCTCTATAAATATTGTATAGCGTATGCCTATTTACGCTGTACATTGACTTATTTTCGGTTTTTGACCAGTTTGCCCCGGTCCTCCAAAACTGGCCGGCGATATACGAACGTTTCATGCCTAAAAACAGCACGCGCTGTATCAAGAGTTGATGCGCATTTTGTTCACGCGCAGGTACTGTGAGTTTCTAAAGGGGGCAAGTTTCCGACGTGATTATATTCCCAAACGTCGCAAAAAATGGACTGGGCATTCAAAAAAGTGAACCACGACGTTGGAAAAACTGTGAACCATGGTCAGTAGTGGTGGTGGACAAAAGGTAAACCCGGTGAACAACGATGTTACAAAAGTGGACACAACTGCCCAAGACGGCAAGTTGTCCTTTATAGAACACCCAACCGGTCTCCCCAATATGGCTTCAAAGGGCTTTCTCCTGCGGTTTTCTGTATGCTATCCAGTCTTTATATAGAGATCAGTTAGCCTGCTCCGTGTTGAATAACCAAGAGTAGTAGTCAGCAAAATTGTATCTCAAGTCCGTATTTTGTCGTCACAAGTCAATTTCAGCTTATGCATTGAAGAAACTGAAGACTGTGCAGCCTGTACAGCTCATTATAATTGTTACTAATCAAAAAGGAATTGAAAATTGTATGTACTCTTTCACATTCTTTAATACCAAAGTTGGTGTACTGACTAGCAGTATTGCATGGGTATTATGGCTTTGTGTAGTTAATCCAAATCTTATTGTGAGAATGCTGCTGAAAGTCGGTATGGTTTTGGAACCTGGGCTGTTTAAACATGTGTTATGCGCTCTTTGTATTCATTACCTAGGAGGCGGACTTCTAGGCACAACAGCAACTACTGCTAGTGGTTTGGCACTGAGTCTGGGTCTGAAGACGACCACCACAGCTTCAGGTTTGAGCTTTGGAACAAGCACTACATCCAAACCGAGCGGTCTGTTTGGCGCCACGCCGGCAACAGGAACAACGGGGGGATTTTCCCTCGGAGGCACTGCAGCATCAGGTACATTTACTCTCTGAAAGTTTGGTCATTTCTGGCTTCTGCTAAATGCATTTTTTAATGGAAGACACCAAAGGTTGAAACTTAAAAGCATGCGGAAACATTTGAAGCAAAAGTAGGACATTGCATGTACATCCTGACATTATTGCTCAGTCCGTTAATAGTTAGTCAAGCAGTCGGTGGACAGTAGTCTTGTTGTTATTGGTCGAACCAAAACTACTCAGAGAAAATAAAACCAAATCATCAAAATCCACTTTGAGCTGTCGTGTGGATAGTGAAAAATTCTTTCACTAAACTTAAGAGTGAAACAGTACAGAACGTTAGTTGTCATTGGTGAGCACGTCTGTTTTTAATTATATTCCAAATATTCAAAGTCTGATGGTAATTTCACCAATGTTTGATAATATCACATGATATGAATTGAATTCCCTGAAAATTATTTCAAGTGAAGGGCTCCTATTTATTTACTGAATGAAAGGTTTTTTTTGGCTTGAATCATATCAGGGGGGCTCAGCCTAGGTCTCGGCACTACCACCACCCCATCCACAGGGCTGTCTCTAGGGGGCTTATCGGGAACCACAGCCACCGGTTTAGGCCTAGGGGGTGGCGCCCTAGCCGCCTCCACAGCGTCAGGTATCAGCAAGGGGCTGGGAGGGGTGGACCCTTCTTCCCTGTTGGCTACGTCCAGCACGACTGGAACGACCGGCACTACGTCATTGGGGACCAGGTAACGTGCCATCCTGAGAATGTCCAGTGAAATTTCCACTCCTCTTAATGTTCTGTCCGGCTCCCAGTCGCCGAAGGCATTCAGTTTCGCACACTGGTTCACACTTACAAGTCACTTAGACACTCTGCACCAGATTATCTCTCCTCTCTTCTCAAAATCCAAAAGAGTTCTTACTCCCTTTGTTCTTCTGCCTGTGAGTCTCTTGTCATCCCCAAGTCACGTAAACTGGCTGGTGACAGGGCCTTCTCTGTTGCTGCCCCTCGGCTATGGAACAACCTGCCCATCTCCATCAGAAACTCAGGCAGTGTCTTTTCCCTTCAAAAAGGCTCTCGAGACCTACCTTTTCCCCAAGACGTAGCTGGATGTCCTTCTTTTGTTGTTTTTTGTCTTCTATTCCTCTTTCTTCTTTTCTAGCACTTTGTATCCTTTGGAAATTTGGCGCTTTACAAATCCAGTTAATATTATTATACAGCCTGTCTCAAAAAAAATGGTACAATCAGAAAAAAAATTGGTTAAATATGAAATTTCAAAATAAGTCATTCTTACTTGGCATAATATTAAAGAACAAAGACTGGGCTTTCCAATAGTGTTTGTTTGATCTTATTTGCTTTTGTCAATTCAGAGATATAATCAATTGAGTGCGATACACCAAAATCGATTTTGTGCCACTTTTATACATGGGCAGAGTTGTTTCCGAGTACTGTGCCATGCTGTCTTGAAGCTCACAAAAGATTGCAACTTGGCAAAAGAAACAAACTCGATTTGTGTGTTCCGCAGTAAACTGGAGTTATCTCTGGATTGACAAAAGCAAATGAGATGAAACAAAAAGTATTGGAAAGCCTGGTCTTTTTTCTTTAATGTGATGCTCAAAACGACTTACTTATGTTGAGATTTAATATTGAAAAAAAATCGTTCTCGATTGTACCATTTTTTTGGAGACAGGCTGTAAACACCTCCCTATTCTGTCAGTATTTCATAAAAGCTGCATGTTAGATCGTATCTTCTTGAGAAAAGATGACTGTGCGTTACAAAGAATTACACAATATGTACATGTACGCGAGAGTACCGAAGTTTCATCCGAGACATTGTGAAATCCAGTGAATAATAAAAAATGATTCCACAGGAATTTTGAAAGAAAACTGAAGAAAAGCTTGTTTGGGCCTATTTTCAACGTGTTTACAGGTGCGATTTTAATAGCTCATTTTTTATTGATTTGTGGGGTTTTTTTAACAACAGTTTAATTGACGTTTGAAAATATGTTTGTTTTCCTGTCCATAATGTATGTGTGTGTAACTTTATTTCCACAGTGATAACAAGGCGATCAAGGAGACCTTCCTTCCCCCAGAAATCAACGAAACGGTCACATCTTTCAAGTAAGTTAATTGATTAACCCTAACTGCTCTGAATCCTTCAAAATCTTCTTTGCCAAAGTGGAGGAATTTGGAGGATTGAGGTTACATGGCAAAAGGACGTTACTGATTTGGTAGGATGCACTTTGTCAAGGTCTTGGGCCGGACCTTGTGTTGTTTTTGCTCAGCCATGCATAAACATAGGCCTGGATTATGCTTGAAATCCTCCGTACTGCTCCAGGATGTCACTGACCAAGCCTCAACATATTGACAGTCACTGCCGCAGGATTTTTCAGGATTCAGGCTGTGGTCACCCCTCCACGGACCATTTTCCAGAAATAATGGAGGAATTTGCAGGATTGAGGCTAAATGTTATTTTCCATGAGGCCAATTAGAGGATTTTGCAGGATTGAGGTTACATCCTAGCAAAAAAGCCTAGGGAGTTAGGGTTAATGTCCGTTTTACCCATTTCAAGTTTTTATTTTTGAGTGTTTGTCTCACCAGTCCAATTGAGTAATCCCACTTTGGAGTGTAAGCATTTAAACTTCCATCTTTAAAGCGCACAATTCCATTATACCATAAAACAAGTGGAGTGCCATGGCCTTGTGGTCTGGAGCATTGAATTCTGCGGGTAATTCTGTAGGTTGTGGGTTCGAGTCCAGCCTGGGGTCTTGGTGCGTGTGCCCTTGGGCAAGGCACTTTGTCACTCACTGCTTCTCCCCACCCAGGAGTAAATGAGTACCTGTTAGGGCAGAGATGGTTATAGTGGCTGATTTAAGCTTCTTTGCGCCGAAATGGCAGTATCCAGCTGCATACTCCCCAGGGAGCTGAGATGGTCTTTGGAATGTTTCATTGACCCAATGAGCAGGGTAATAATGATGTAGCGCCTTGAGCACCAATACTGTTGGATATGTGTGCCTTAAAAATACACATTAATATTATTACCCTTCTTTACAGGCAATATGTCAAGAAGCAAAAAGCCCTCCGTGAGGACATCCAGGGCTTCTCGGTCAAGCCCTACCACCGCGTTCGTGAGGAGATCACGGCCCTCAAGCAGCTGCTGGCCGTGGTGTCCAACGGCCTGCAGCGCAACGCCGGGGCCATCCACAAGCTCAAGGTGGAGTCGGCCCAGGAGCTGAAGAACGCCGAGGTGGCGCACCGGACCCAGGAGATTCCACCGGCGCTGCAGCTGGAGAACTACGCTCCAACCGAGTAAGCAAGATTATCCAATTTCATGGAACTGCAAAGCTTTGCTTATAAAATGTTCTTGTTCCGCAAAAACCAGTTGGGAACCAGTTAAACAGGATAACATGACATGACATTTCGGCCGGTGACCTAATGTTTTTGAGCAGAACATTTCGGCCTACCAAGTAAGAAAATAAAGCATTAACCCTAACCTTCCAGGGTTAGTGATCACCCCAAAATGTGGTCACATGACCGGAGTGGTTTAATTCACAACGGTGAATGAAGATGTCGCGATAACATCGAAAGCTACCTTGCTGCAATATTTCTGATTGCAAGGTATGTTTGCTAGAACCCTGCCAAACGTAGCAACATGCAACACTTGTCTAAGTGACAAGCCTGCCAAATGTAGCAAGATCCATCAGGGGAAAAGTCTGAAGGCCACACTGCCTCAGAGTCCGTGGTCACCGCACGCAGCAGGATAAGTCACAATTAAGGGACAAATTTCATGTAGCTGCATAGTAGATATTGGCTATCAAATTTTCTTAATCAGCAAAAAACAGTTGGGAACCAGTTAAACAGGATTACATGACATGACATGACATTTTGGCTGGTCACCTATGTTTTTCTGAGCAAAACATTTTGGCCTACCAAGTAAGAAAATAAATCATCAAGCTGATAAACCCTTATCTTCCTGAAGTCTCCAAACTCCTCTCTCTTGCAAAAAACCCAAAAGCACATTTTTTTTGGTGGTTTGAGCTTCTGCAAAAGTTGGTTCTGAAATTATGATGAAAATGTGAGAAATAAAAAATTGTGTTTTTAAATTTGTTATAAACCTGAGGCATCTTTCCCATTGCCCCCACCCACTTAAAAAAAAGCGCACGCCTTTCTTACTGTAATGTCATAAGCACAAAAACCACCTAGATTTCTTATTCTGATTTTGAGAATGTCTACAAAACTCATAATATCTATGTCTGCTTTGGTCAGTCATTGGCCCATATTAGGCCATCAGCCTCTTTCCAAGATTATGGCCACCGGTATCAAATGAGGGGAATAATTGTCATAGTGATTTTTAGCAAGGTATACACCTCCAGAGTTGGAAAATATGTGATAGCATTGCAGCGGTGACAGCTTTTTGGGTGTTTTCACTTTTTTTCAAAATGTCCATCAAAATGCTTGTTACCACTCTATGAGGCGGTATACCTTGCGCATGCGCACTATAATAATTTATGCCCTGATTTGAAACTGACCAAACCCAGGCTGATGGCCTATATACATGTACTCTGTCTTTCCATGTATGTCTGTCACTTGTCTGTCTGTCCATTGGCTGGGGAACAAAAGCTGATGCTTCACCCTGGACCTAGTTGTTGCCATTTAGTTAATGTTCACTATTGTAAATATATCTAGTATGTATTTTGAATATATAACATTATGTATTATGTATCATCCTTATGCAGCATCAAAATAAATGTATCGAATTGATATTGCTTTTGCATTTTCAAAGCTGAGGTATATACACGGAGCTTATGGCCCCTTAATTTCTCCAATACCAAGGTATTTTCAGAGATTGACGGAGCAGTTTGAGGAGCAGATGCATTTATGCAGACAGCAGATTGAACAGATGGAGAGCTTCATGGCTGCCCTGGCACAACCAAATGTCTACACGCCACAAGGTAGGACAGACACTGTCATACAGAGTGTGACACACAGGACACAAGGCATGACAGACACTGACACACACACACCCAGCTTTGTAAACACCGGTGATCTGATCGTGGACCCCTATTGTCCCTATTCCTCATTCCTTTGTTTGTAGCAACAGCAACTTTTTAGCAACAGCTCTCATTTCAATCGTGGACTTTCAGTCAATTGTGGATGTATTGTTTGTGCCCTAACCCTTTTGTCCTAGGTCCACGGTTACCGGTGTTTACACACTCACCCAGACACATGAGCTGGGAAGGCAACTCGTAAGAGAAAACATGTGAATATGTATCGTTTCGGTTTGCGGTAACACCATGTGGTTATAACTACTGCTTAGAAGATATTTAGTTCTGAAAAGAACTTGTCCTGCTTATTATCAACTTTCACTAAGTAGTTTTTGTTCTGATAAGAACAGTCCTGCTTTAAGTTCTATTAAAAAGAACTTGTCTTTGGTCTCAACGTTTCGACTAGCCTGCTCTCGTCATCGTCAGGAGACTGAAGAGAGTTGTGAGATGTGAATATGGACTTTAGACAACTAAATGCGTATTGCCACAAGATATGACAGACACTGACACACTGTGTTACGAACAGGCTCTGAATGAACTAATGATATAACATGTGAATATGTATCAAGAGAACCAAACACAATGCCACATGGTATGACAGACACTGACCCACACAGTGTTAGGCATAGGCTGGGGATGAAACTAGCAAGATAAAAACGGTCAAGTCATGTCCATCCTAGTTTTATAAAGATGAGGATAGTCACCATATTGTTTCATACTATTTTTGTCTTTTGCAGAATTGGCTACAATTATGGTGAAGCTTAACGACACCTTCATTGCCCTCGCTGCTCAGCTGCAGTCAGTTCACGAAGCCGTCAGGGTGAGAATAACACTGACATTAACTGACTGCTTTTAAATAATAGCTTCAAACAGTCTTAAAAGTTTTCAAGATGACAGCCAAGCATAATGCAAAAGCAATATAATTTGAGTTTGCAATGGTTGATTCATTGTGATTTTCACTAGTACATGTGAAAATGTACATGTACATCATGTGACATGTACATCACATGACATTCATTTTTACTTCCATTCATGCCGGGGCTCAAAAAGTCCCATGGGGAATGGGAAATTACTATTCAACAGTTAGGATCATTCTTGTTCCATGACGGGGTATGTGTGCAAATGCATGCTGGTGTGCGCATTCAGCGTATTGTTCCAAAGAGCCAGCGCTACAGAGTTTGATTCAAACATTTTCGTGATGGGGTGGTTTGGAAGAGAGAAATACATTTTCCACCAATTCTGTATTGAAATAAAAGTTCAAATATATCAAATGAAAAGGATCTATATGTCAGTTATATAAAATAAATATTGAGTGGCTTTAAATTGTGAAATGGGAGGAATATTATCGCTCGGTTAAATCTGGACTTTTCCAGTTCACTCAGCAAAGTCCAGATTTTACCTTGCGATAATATTCCTTCCATTTCACTCTGAGCCGCTCAATATTTGTACATGTTTGAATTCATGTATGTGTGTCAGCTTTCCCGATGAAGTGGTAGCATCAGACCCAACGGAATACGGGCCACGGAATACTTTATTGGACAAATGAGCAGGGGTAATGATCTAGCATCGAAGGTGGCGATATAGCCGATATGTGTATTTAATAGATATTCATAAAAACCTGAGACAGTTTACCCATTCCTATTGGCCGAGAGCCTGTCACGTGACCAGTCTTAAACGGTTGATGAAATACTGGCTGGCTGATCTTAAACAGTTTTCCAGTGTCACATGAAATTTGGACTCTATGAAATCCGGTCCCTTTTACCCTTTTATTGGTTAACATTCACAATCCTCTATTACGCATGTGCAATACTACCAATGAGTCCGTATTACATAGTCCTAAAATTCACATTACACCGGCACAGCTGCGTTCCTTGGCACATCACGCATAACGTGCCAAATCCCCATATAAGGAGTTGTTTACGGCTACTCACGAGAGGCACATACCATAACGTTAGAAATATATAATTTTTTACTTGTTTCGACTGTTTGACCGAAAAGGTATCTATGAAAGGGAATAAATGTGTGCTTGGCCAGTTTTAAACAATATGTTTAAGATCAGTTTGGAGTCTGGATGCTGATAATGACACTCGCCTACGGCTTGGATCATTATCAGTGTCTAGACTCCAACCCGGTCTTAAACATAGTGTTTAAAACTGGCCAAGCACACATTTATTCCCTTACTTTATAACACTGCTATTGTTATTATAGGCCCAGAAGGATCAATACCTCAACTACCGCAGAGTCTACCACGGCGAAATCGACAACGTGTTTGCCAGTCAGAAGAAAGTGGCTGAGCGAGAACAGAGACTGGCGACTCTCCCTACCGGACCACAAGCCTTTGATAACATCTCCAACGCCGCTGCCATTGCCATGGCAACCGCACTTCAGACCGCTCAGAGACCAACTGGTGAGCATCTTGCAATTTTGAAGAAAACTTCACGAATATCTTTAGAAAACTTCACGAATATTTAGTTTGGAAAAACTGAGTAGAAAACAGAAACGACTATTGAAAATAGGGCTCGTTCAATGACCGACGTGACCCGTAAAGTCAGTGCGCCATTGTAGTTGGCAAAGATCGTATAGCATAGCACACAGTATGTAGTTGGCAAGCCTTTAAATTTGTGATGGATGACAGAAACTGAGAAAAATGCAGAGCCAACACCCAGTGCTGGGCCGGCACGATTTTGACAACCGTACACGGCACAGGGGCCAATTTCATAGAGCTGCTTAAGCAGAAATTTGCTTAAGCACAAAAACGTCTTGCTTAATAAAATCAGGTTACCGGCCAAAACTCCATGTGATTGTTATGCTAAGTAAACAACAGCTAAATACCAGTCACAAGCAATGTACATCACATGTAGTTTTGGCCGGTAACCTAATTTTACTAAGCAATGTTTTTTCGTGCTTAAGCACATTTTCTGCTTAAGCAGCTCTATGAAATTGGGCCCAGGTTGTGACCATTATGCCATTTGATAAAGAATTTGTTGTTATTTTACGTGAAAATTAACCCTACTCTCTAGCTTACAATGCACGACGTGGTTGCTTACCAAATGCTTGCCTACTGCAATGGTGGCCGATGGTGGGGAAACCAGATGGTCACATGGTTCTTTGATGTCACATGATAGGACCCTACTGCTGTGTATGGGGTTCCATTTTAGGATTGATGGATTGACCACAATGATACCCGTCTTTCCAAATCACGGATAGGCATATTTAGGGAGCTTTGGGTTTGTTAGGTTGTAAACTTTGTCTAAAGCGAGCCTCAAGAGCTACGGCTACATCTTTTGTCAGCAATTCCCCAGTTCGTTTTAATTGTCGAAGACCTAAACAAAAAGCTCCAGACAAACATTTCAGATGGAGATTATTTTTACCAATGGTATTACACCAAACTTTAATTTTTTCACTGGTCTAAAGTAAGGGGTTTGTGCGAAGAATTTTTGAATTGAATTGAAGGTTTTTTTTATTGTTCGTACCATTCTCGCAGTCCGAAGACTGAATTGCGATGGTTTACAATTTACAATTAACAGAAATCATTAAAAAAAAAAACATTTATACATATGTTCGACATTAAAGTATTCTAAAAAGACCATTTTTTTATGCATAATGTTAAAACATAGAAATATTCTAAACAGACTCTTATACAAACATGTGGATTAAAAAATGTTAAAATGCTACCCAGACTAGATAAAAAAAAGAACCTTGTTTTGTACAACACCACATTTTCTTATCGACACATTTTCTTAACGACACATTTTGAATTTATGCCCCTGATCGCATTTGTGCATTGCCTTCAGTTCTAGTGTACTTGTTGTGGTACCTAGCTTTTGCTAATAACAAAAGCCTTGTATTTGAGGGATAAGTAAAGTTTAAAATTTCTCACAGCGTTTACCATATTTTTCTTTGAAATCAGGAATACAAGGTGCAGGACTGACAGGCCCCTTCCAAGGTGGCCTAGGGGGTGCCACAACCGGCCTCGGCACGGGAGGATTTGGAACTGGTACCCTGGGCCTGGGAGCCGGCACCACCGGCCTGGGCGGTGGTCTAGGTGGTGGTCTGGGTGGTGGTCTGGGTACCGGTCTGGGTACCGGACTGGGCACAGGACTGGGTACCAGCGGGCTCGGCGCCGGGGGTTTTGGCACCGGAGGGTTTGGTACCCAGACTACAGGGCTTGGCACTCAGACCAGCGGACTGGGCACCGGGCTCGGCGGCGGGACAGCTGGGTTTGGCACGGGCGCCACTGGGTTCGGGTTTGGAACCACGAAACCCACTGGTACCGCCGCAAGCTTTGGCGGTAGCTTGAGCGCGGGACCAACCGTCGGGGGCAGCAGCTTTGGATTCGGGGGCGGAACAGGTTAGGGTCCTTTCACCTAAAACAGAAACCTTTTCTTCTTCCTCGTGTCATTTTCTTTATTGATGTTGAAAATGCTTGTGTTTCTAGCATGTTAGTGTGTAATGGTATAAGTGCACACAGTGAGCATAGTAAGTAGATTGCAAATTTCTGCCCTGTCTAACACCCGTACTTTAATAAACGTCTGTGTAAAACCTCATTGTTAGATGGTTCAAGTAAGAAACTTTGAAAGCGGTATCCATGCACGCAATTTGGGCGATTCACAATGCAGTGCGCCACCAAGAGTTGGCCATGGAGAGATCATTTTTCAAGTTTACGGTTGACAAATCATGGCCCATTTGAATGAGTGTCAGTAGACAACTTGAGCTAATTTGTCATAGATTGGGCCATAGCGTTCTGCTGCCTTACAAAAAAACACCATATTGATAACAAGAAAAGAAAAGGGCAAACAGATCCTCGAATCATACGCTTCCGAAACTACTGACCGGAAAATATAACAATTTCAAATGTCCCGGGCTGCAAATTTGTCCACCATCACCCACAATGCACTGGGAAAAATGAACTCTCTGTGGCAAACTCTTGGTGGCGCACTGCATTGTGAATCACCCGAATTCGGAGCTATCCACCTTACTGTGCACTGCATGTTCTTTTCTTCATTAACCATCTCATTTCATACATGGCTCATTCCGTAAATTTTGATGCCCATTTTTTGTGCTGGCCCTGATACATCTCATATAAGATTTTGTAAATTCAGGACGCATTCTTTAACCCTAGCCGAACTCAACCCATCAAAGTTCAACAGCAGGTTTTGTTTAAATCTGTTGGGATAGGTACAGTACCCCTATTAAAACAGATGGTCTTTTACATTGGGTTTGGCGTACCTCCAGAAACTAGGTCCAACAGTGTGTGTGTGTACGATTTCCCATGTGGGTGTTGGAATTTGCCTGAATGGGTACGGTTCCTAGTAAATTATGCTGGGGAGTTAGGGTTAATGGGGGAGTTTGTGGCCTAGTGGTTAGGGTTCATGACTCATGATCAGAGGGTCCGGGGTTCGAATCCATCCTCTGGTCATATATTGTGTCCTTGGGCAAGGCACTTCACCCCCACTTGCCCCTCTCCACCCAGGAGTATAAATGGGTACCGGCATTAGCTGGGGAGTAACCTGCGATGGACTAGCATCCCATCCAGGGGGAGTAGAAATATTCTCAGTCGTTTCATGCTACTGAAACCGGAGATAAACGCCGGCCTGATGAGCCACACTGGCTCGGGACAGACTTTAATTTTACCATCTCCAAAAGTGATTATGTAACAGCAAACTACCTGCCAAACAAATTACAAAGATAGTTTAAAGTCCATTTTAATGATACTTGCATGGCAAATTACACATGTCAGGTGTAACGGGGACACACACAAAATGTTTCACACTTTTGGACCCAAATTTGTGAAATGACCATATATATTCATGACATTATGTAATTTTATCCTCCCGCATATGAAAATTGCATGATGTACATATATAAGGAATGTTCTTCGCTTTTCACTCAACCCCCACCATCAAAAAATATTTCTCCCTTACTATCTGCACAGGAAAATGATAAGGATGTGACGTCTAAACGAAGAAAAACAATTCTAAATCCGTTTACAAATTTTCCAAAACGTTTTAGCAAAACCCGAATTATAAAACAGGGACCTAAGGCCAAAAAAAAAAAAAACTTGGTCTCTGGTCAGACCAAAGTTCCGGAATTGATGCGGCGACGCGGCTTTTTTTGGGGGGGGGGGCTTTTTTTTTTTTTTTCAAGCTTGGATTGTACAGACAAGGTGGGGTACTATTTTGCTTTTTTTTTGGTGTTCTCATGTACATTGGTGTCCTGCATAATTTGCCTTTAGTGCCCTCAATTTTTTGCCTTGGTGCAATTTCCCATTCCTTGGTGCTCTTTGGTAAAAAAAATTGAGGAGGTGCGGCAATAGAGGGCGCTGTTGGAGCTACCGCGGAACATTTTGGGAAAAAAAAGAAGATATACGCGCATGGTTAAAATGGACGCGCGCGCTGACCAGAGACTGGCTTATTTTACTGGCTTATTTTCAGTGACTACCAGCTATTTATTATGTCCATCATTGTTGATTTATCATGCCAACCACTCAAGTCTGCAGACATAATGGGCAGGCGTCAGCCTTTGTGAATTTGCTAAATGGTTTGAATGTTTAAACGGTTCTTAAAATATTGGCTAAACGTATACAAAATGAAACACAAAGTCACACCCTTATAGAAAATGAATTTCTCACTTTTCAAAATCCCATCGCCCTAGCCTCTCAGATCTGTCCAAATTCAACTCTTTGTTTTGCAAAATATCGACAGATACAGTATTTACGCAAAGCCCAGCCATTAATACCCTACACAGGATTTGATGCCCAAATGTCGTTTAAGTTTGAAAATTAACATATTTCATCTTGTGCACGTTGTTCAAAACTTCCTTGCACCAATACCATACACAGGATTTGATGGCCAAATGTCATTAAGTTTGAAAAATGAACATTTTCATTTTTTTTGCACGTTGTTCAAAAACTTCCTTGCATAAAGTGGCCTCTCGCCTACTATTAATAAGCACAGTTGTTGTCTGTTAAGTGGAAAATCATGCTTTGCCGTGTTATTGTGTTCTGTGTATGCAATTATTCATTCTCATTCTAATTCATTTCCTTTCCCAAACTCCTTCAGTTCATCTCTTTCATTTTCTGAATATTCCTTCTTTATTTCAATTTTCAAATGGTTTATTCCACCTTTTTCCCTGCCAATGATTTTTGTTTTTTTGCCAATTTGTGCATCAGCCTGTCATTTTGATATCATTTCTTTTTCTATATCATTTCTCATTTATTTCCTGTCTCCTATTAGTTAACCTACTGCAGTAGAACGCACCAAACCATATTCATAACCAATTCAGTATTGAGACTCTAGTCATTTCATGACATTTTGCCCAAAAGGGATTTTTGTTTTCTTCCACAGAAAACTTGCAAGAAAGAAAAAATACTGAAATTTCACTCTCCAAAAAAAAAAAATGCTACCATTTTGAATTCCAAAAAGTAAACACGCACCGCATGGCTTCTCTAACTGTTTTATAACTGGCTTTAAAAAAAAAATTGTAACGACACTCAATACCACATTATGTCCCTCTTTCTTTAATAGATTTAATTTTGTACGTGTTGAAAATTTATCGAATCTGATTTTGTGAATTGACGGCGCTTTTTTTTCCCCTTCATCCATATTTCCTCTGTCCGTTACTCCTTTAGCTTTCAAGTTTTAGGTGTTCCTCTAAAAACCGCTTGAAAGCCTCACCTCGGTGAGTGACAGACTTGCTTGTTTTCCCTCTTTTTTTCTTTTTTTTCTTTTTTTTTTCATCGCTTTGCTCATCCTCCCTCACCACCGATCACTCACTTCCATGATCATTAACACCTTCCCATCTTCATTCATTAATTCATTATTTAAAGCAGTGAGCTGATTTCCTTGGTCTTAATTAGTGTGTCTTTTTTTTATTTCTATGGTTCTCATAACTGTTTTGGCACCGAACTTTCTGAAGTAGAATAAATAAACAAAAAGTACATCATTTGTAATGCTGATATAGCACTTTCCATCGTATCAACAATCTCAATTCGAGATGGGGTCGGCGGTAATAAAAAAAAACATGTTATTTTCCTTGGGTTGGGAGCCCAGAATGGGGTCGGGAGCCTAGAATAGGGTCGGGAGCCCAGAATAGGGTCGGGAGCCCAGAATAGGGTCGGGAGACCAGAATAGGGTCGGGAGCCCAGAATAGGGTCGGGAGCCCAGAATAGGGTCGGGAGACCAGAATAGGGTCGGGAGCTCAGAATAGGGTCAGGAGCCCAGAATAGGGTCGGGAGCCCAGAATAGGGTCGGGAGCCCAGAATAGGGTCGGGAGCCCAGAATAGGGTCGGGAGGCCAGAATAGGGTCGGGAGACCAGAATAGGGTCGGTCGGAAATAAGAATTAAAGAAATATAAAGGGATGCCCCTTACTCTGAAAAAAAATAAATATAAAGTAAACTCAAAAGTGAGCATGCTTGTGTATGACTTATAGCTTCTAACTCTATCTTCAGTGGCTTGTTATGATTTTGTGAGCTTTGTGTGGGGGATAAGTTTTATAGCCTAGGCTATATAATTGATGGGTATCTTAGGTGCGGGCGCAAGAAATGTTAGGGACGCTGTGTTGCTCACTCATGAGATCTATGTAAGTGAGGGATCCTTGACGAGGCAGAAGCTACGCACAGTTTGGGTGACTATTTGCAAACTGATGAACACGCTGTGTGTAAATGCATTCTCCAATCCAGCATTGCACATTACTCAGGGGAAAAAATCTATTCAGACTATTATCATGCATCTGGCCTATTGAAGAATTGAAAACTGCTTTAACCCAAACTCCCTGTTTTTGCTAGGATGCAACCTCAATCCTGCAAAATCCTGTAACTGCCTCCTCCTAAAAATTACATACAGCCTCAATCGTGCAAAATCCTCTGTTATTTCTTGAATGAGGTCCTTGGAGGGTGACCATTGCCTCAATCCAGCAAAATCCTCCAGCAGTCACTGTTGATATGTCAAGGCAGAGCCAGTGACATCCTGGAGCAGTGCGGTGGATTTCAAGTGTAATCTAGGCCTAAATTTATGCACGGCTGAGCATAAACAACACAAAGTCCGGCCCAAGACCTTGGCACAGTGCATCCTCCAAAATCAGCCTCACATTGTTGCCATATAGTCTCAATCCTACAAAGTACTTCATTTTACAAAGAGGATTTGGGAGGATTTGGGAAGGTTAGGGTTAATAATGCCAAAAAAAATTGAAAATACTTCACCCACTCATACTCATAGCATAACATGTGTTCTGTAAATTTCTAGCAATTTGCATGTAATTCCAATTCTACCTGTTCCTGTAGAATGTAGCTTGCTGGTACCAAAAAAACATAAAGTTTGTCTTGGCTGATGGTTGAAAGTTTTGAGGCTGTTTAATCAAAAACAAAAAGAAAAATTTGAAATATTTTAAAATGGCTGCATCATACTGTACTTTAAAGGTAATATACAAACATCAAAAAAGCAAAACTACCAAATTATCATGAAATACCTTCCTTGACTGTTGGTGAATGATAGTCTCAAGCATCCTGTGAAATCTTGGCACCTGGTGTGCTGTCATTTCAAGAAAAGTGGAATTTTTGTATCAATTTCCAACGATAGTCGGCTGACCATCGTTGGATAGAAAATGCCTTTTTTTAATACTGCCCCCAATCTACCAAATTTTGTCCACATTCATGACATTTTGTTTGCAGTCAATTAACACATCCTTGAATGGGTGCAAGCCAGCTAGTCTGGTTCCCTGACCTGACTTTTCCCCGACATCTATAAATTGCTCTGTTTTGTCAGAAGTGGGGTCAGGGAACCAGTCTACAAGAACAGCATTTTTTTACTTGGTTTTTCCAGCATCTATGAACACAAAATTTTAAACAGGTCAGTGTAACAATCTTCGCTATAAAATACTAACCCCGGAATCCATCCGTTTCTGAAAATTACAGCAAAACTAAATGTTGTATATCACCTTTAACCATGTTTTACATGCATTTCATTTGAACCTCATTGCATACATGTCTGTATCCATGATGGCATGAAAAGTGTTTGCATTTAATATCAATGTACATTTTGCCACTTTTTGCTAGTTTTCTACTACCTGCAACTCCTATTTGTTCTTCTTGTAAAAACAGCTCTTTTAATAAGTTTTTGCATCTCAAAAAAAAAGAAGAGTCTAGCATTACTTTATATTTGGTCAGTTAAAATGATGCCCCTTTGTAACATTTCAAAACATACTACATGTACATGTACATTTGTGCGTACACTGTTGCTTCACCCATTTTCTGTCTCATTCCTTTCGTTTGCTAAATCTGTTAGGCTCATTAAACCATTTCGTGGTCATATTTGCAAGGCGTTCTGGCAAATTGAGATGGAACTGGGCACAGGCTGTTGTGGAGAAAAATGCAAGAAAATGAATGGGGAAGATTTTTTTTTCAATTTTCAGATATACACATTTATTGATATTTGGAAATCTTTGATATGTCTACTACACATAATTTAAATAATAATTTATAAAATTCATGAAATAAAAGTGTTTTTAAGGTAAACAATAGGCATCTGTCATTTTCATGACTACAAAACTCAAACATGACTACAAAACTCGAACCTTTAAAGGCCTTTCTCTCAGTGTTTTACTTTTTTGACATGTCGATAAATGCAAACTTGAAACAGCCAACGAAACTTGTCCACAGAAACTTGTCAACGAAACCTCTGATTGAAGTGCAACAAACAGTATTTCAAGGAGAATTTTATTCTCTTTCTTAATACCCACAAACCCTCATTTCAACCGCTGCCCAGTTCTGTCTCATTTTGCCAGAAAGCCTCACATTTTCTTAACATAAAAGTCAAGTTTGTTTTTTCCTGAAGTTTTAATCAACTTTTATGTAACAATCTCTATATTATTTTTATGGAGCATTTTCTGACTTGCATATCATAAAGTGAAAAAAGACTTCTTTGTATAGGGGTTTCATGTAGAAAGTTCACAAACATGTTTGTTTTTTTACATGAAATGTGAAATGAACCCAGACAAATTTCTCACAATACATTTAACTTTTGATAACTTTTTTTCTTTTCTATTGTTTCCTTTTTTTCTACAGGGAGCTTGGGCATGACTAATTTTGGATCGGCAACCACAGGCAAGCCACTTCAGCTCCAGAAGCCTCCCAGCAAGTTCAGGAAGGGAGCCAGGTAGACAGGGAACCAGCCAAATCAAGCCTTCATACTCGACGTCCTCAGTTGACAACCTCATAAATGTATCAGGAAGGGGACCAGGTAGACGAGGAACCAACCAAGTCAAGTCAAGCTTTCACATTTGATGTCCTCAGTTAATGTCCTCTACAAATCAACAAGGCAGGGAACCAGTTACATGGGAACCAACTGAGTTAAGCCTTCGAGTTTGATGTCCTCAGTTAGTGTCCTCAAAAGTTAAATCAGGAAGGGGACCAGGTAGACGAGTATCCAACTGAGTCAAGTCAAGCCTTCAGGTTCCTCTACAATTATTAAAGGAAGGGAACCAGTAGCATGGGAACCAACTGAGTTAAGCCTTGGAGTTTGATGTCCTCAGTTAGTGTCCTCATAAGTTAATCAGGAAGGGGACAAGGTACCGGTTAGTTGAGGAACCAACCAAGTAAAAGTCAAGCCTACAACGTCCTCGGTTAACGTCCTCACCAATTATTAAGGGAGGACAACAGGTACATGGGAATCGATCAAGTCAAGCCTTTATGTTGACGACCTTCATGTTGACGGTCAAGCCTGCTCAGTGTGAGGTCGTCAATTCAGGGTCCTCACAAGTTGATCAGGGGCCTCGGTATTTCCTTAGTCATGTTTTGGACGAATAGCTGTGATATTATTTTTTTTGGCTGTTTCCCAAACCTTGGCTGCGCATGTTGTTTTTTCGGCTACATCTCGGCTCCCAAAGCATGAAGCATCATAAAACAATAGGCCGATCCATTTTCCAAGAGTGTTCCAACCAATCACAACTGTGAATAATGTCCTACATGCGTGCACCAAAGTCGGACATGCGTGCTTACGCATTTGACGTGCGAGGCTGGAACATGCAGTTCACATTTTGAACCTTTAAGTGAATATTGTCACGTGTTATATGTTCGTTTATTTGTAATTTGTGTAACAGCTTTTTGGGTTCATTTCGTTTTGGTTTTGTGACATCACATTTTGTTTACCATATTCTGTGGATTACACATTCACGTGTGGAGAGCCACACGAACGAACATCTGATATATCCTAGCATTCAAATTTTATGCGATCCCGCGCGCCAGCCCATCGGAGACGACTTTAGAAACTGTGACGTCATTTTGATCAGAAATGTGGACTAAGCTGTTGATTGGTCAATTTGGATGTCATGTTTTTGTAAAACAACGGGTTAAGGAAGACCTGATTGTAGACGCCCGCTGAATGGTCACAATCTGGATGTAACAATGCAGTGTTGTTTTGCATAAGTATGCCGAATATGCACAGACATCACAGATGCTTGTATGCAAGCAGCTATTCCATAGACTAAGTTTACCACTGCGAATTAGCAAAAGTTTAATACCTTTGAACTCTGGCGAATTTCGATTGGGATGTTTTGTGAAGTCAAATCCGATTCACATTTGCATTTTACAGGAAGTATGAACCGAGCCTTTAAGGTGTCATTGTGCCGTTATCATTTGTTTTTATCATCAGCTCAGCACTAGACTGTCGGAGATAGCAAATCTTATTTTATATTTAAAAAAAATCATTCTTAAAAAAAGTATCTTGGAATCTTTTCAATAAAAATGAGAATTTTGAAGTATCTCTGCAGTCCACTTTCTTCCTCAACCCCTTAACACTAGCTGACAGGCCTGGTATGTTGTAAGCCGTGCCATGCCATGGAATGCAGCCTGTGGGCCATGCAGCTGTCACCAGACAAAGGCTGCTGTGCAGTCATGTGTGTAAGTTGGTAAAGTGAGGCATGATAATCCCAGCGTCAAGGGGTTAATTAACAAAATATTAACACAGTGACCGTCCTGTACTGAGCTGATGTCTATGTCGTCATATGGATTGTGTTTTAGGTGGACTCTTTAATGTATTCGTATTATGAAGTCTCCAGATTATATTTGTACAAATAAAAAATTCTGAATCTTGAACAAGAGTGATATGAATTGTTCCTTTATTATGACGACATAACTTGGATGTGGCATTCATAGCATTGGGAGTGGAGACACCAGTACTCGGATCATCACAAGTCATCCATGCTTAAGTCCTGCGACAAGCTTTTCAAATGAACTGTAAAAAAGGCATTATTTGGTCATTGTTCATTGTTTGTACATGTATGTCGGTGAAGGGCAAAACCTAATTTGATTTACATCACCACGACGCACAAATTCCATCTTATGAATAGTTTATGCGGTACCCGCTGCTATGTACATCAGATTCGAACCAGGCAACCGATCCCGTTAGCTTGGTGATCGAGTGGTAAGACATCTGCACTAGAAAGCAGGTCGTGGGTTCGATTCCCACCCAAGTGATTTTTTTCCAACTTTCACTCGGGAGGTAACACACCGAGTATACAGTGTTTATATGTCAGCGAAGGGCAAAACATAATTTGATTCATTGTTCATTCTGTTACTTTGTTACTTTGTTACTTCATACCTTACTTTTTCATTTATATTATGATGGTCTTGACTTCAATACATCTCTTACTATCAAATGACAAACGCTTTGATTTCTACAGACACGTACAAAACAAATTTGGCTTCAATGGTATTATGAGTCACTGCAGTTTGCTTTATTGCAAGTTAAATAAGTTAGCTCGACACAAATCATAGAGCAAGTCACGAATATCATACATTATGTAAAAAATCATGATATGTAAAGTTCCAAAACTTCTACCCATAACACAACAATACTGGACCACACTTTAACAATACACAATGTACTAGCTTGCACATGTGGACCCATTTTAGTACAAGAAATCTGGGAATGTTGTTATTTTGTTGATAGTTGAAAATCCGCATAAGAATTTAAAGGGAAAATACATCATTTGCAAACATCAAAAAACGAAATGATCGTATTATCATGAAATACGTTACTGAATGTTAGGGACTGACATTCTAAAGCAGCCTTTAAAATCGTGGCTCCTGGTGGGCTGACATTTTCAAGAAAAACTGTATTTTTCCAACTGGCTGAAAATTGCAGCAAAAGCAAATGTACATTCCCTTTAATGAAACTCTATTTACATGGAGATGAACATAGCCAGACTGCAAGAATAACCACAGGTACAATGTACATGTTTGTATATGAGAGACATAGAGACCCCAAAAGTGACTGCACATTAGCTTAAAACAGTACCAATGCGGCATATCATGCATTAGTTAAAAAAAAAAAAAAAAGTCCCAAAAGTCCCAAACCAATGAGCTGGGAATGATGCTTTCCTGCTACCCACGATATTTTCTGTATTGAGGACTTAACCTCAATCAGACTAGCAGCAGTTACATGAACAATTTACCATTTAAAACAAAGCCTTTGTTCACTCGGTTAAATATGGACTCTGTTCAGGAACAGGGACAGTGACATTGTGTGACCAGTCCCATGCACTGGTTCACACACACATTTGTCACAGAGTATGCACGGCTCATTTCATCAAAATATGCTCAAACCAGTACATTAAATACATAGGCGCTGGGCTTACGGTGACAAAAGAGTTGAGAGAGTCTGCCTTTCAACTCACTTTGTCACCAAAGAGGGGTACGTATGCACAGATTTCATACTGCAATAAAAACGCTTGTCGTCAAATTTAGCCAGAAGGGAGTCTGTATTGGTATCGGTATAGATTTCCCCCAGCAAAACAGCTACATGTACAGCCCCATCCCGCTAGAGTCTGGGTGTTTTTAGACTCTTAAGCTTTTTTAATTTTAGACTCGAAGGTTTTTTAAACTCCCCGTTTGTTATGGTAGTGTATGTAAAATCATACAGTTGGAGCAACTCCGATGCCCTGTTTTAAAATAATACAAACCACATTGAGCTCTGTATTATAAAGCATCAACTGTTGTCCGTGATACACAGGGGTGGCAGTTTGTGCAGTAGAATTAACTGCACTATATGCAAGACATATGGGGATAAAAACAAAACTGTTCCATCTATTCAAGATCTGAGTCCGAGTCGTCATCGAAGCCGCCTCTGATGGTCTTTTTCTTCTGAGGTCCTAGGAGCGATTTCTTGCTGCTGGAGCTGCCTGCAACGGGAGGCTCTGACAGGTTGCCGTTGTACCTGATCACATCGGCACAGCCCAGACGCCATTCCAGCATCTCTGTAGGGAAGTCGTCTTTACCTCCTAGATCGTCAAAACTGAAAAGGAAAAGAAAGAATAATGTGTGACAGTGTTGTCGTCAAGTATATTAACAGATGTTCTTGCAAGTCCATCACTAAGTCCATTGACAAATTGGGTGTTACAGAACTTGGAAGTAATGACATCCAGAAGACTTAAGTTATCCGTGTGCTTTCTTATGTGTACTAAGTGTTGTCAAGTTGCATCATCCGCACTTGGCTCCCACAATAAAGTACTAAAGTCTGCATTACGTGTAGGGGGTTATTGATTGAATCCTGAAAAAGGCACACCCACCCAACAATGTAGTCTTTGGTCTTGCCGCCGATCACCAGAGCTATAGTCGGGATGACGACGATCCTCAGCCTCTCGGCCAGGAAGGGGCTCTTCTCGGCATTGATCTTCAGAAAGCGCGTCTCCAGATGCTTTGGAGCCAAGAGCCCCAGGTGCTTGTCCACAATCTTGCACCGGAAGGCGCCGTCCCGGTAAAAGTGACACACGACCTTCTCGCTCTTCTTGCACTGGTCGAAGAAGGCCTTCTCGTCGGGGAGCTCCTGGTAGGTGCCGTGGTCCGCAGCGAGCCACTCCTGCCGTCGCTGCTGCTCTTTCTTCATGGCGTCCAGGCGTCGCTGGCGCAGAAGCTCCACCTCATCGGCGTCCATGTTGTCCAGACGGTGCAGCTCCGCGTCCACCTGGTCTTCCACTATCTCAGCCGCCTTGAGGACTTGCTGTTGCACCGCTTGCTCCATGATTGGGGAGTTAAATACCTCTTGATGACTACTGATCTGGAATTTAAGCAAAATTCATTCCCTCAATTACATGTTTGATGGCAGGTACACTGTCTCCCTAGGTTATCTTCTTTGGGCATATCAGATGCCATAAGCTGAGTAAGCCCCAGCCTACAAGCTGTTGATATCATTATCATCTGCCCTGTAAGTGAAACAGGCCCCATCCCTGGAGCATTATAAATTTTCGAATGCATTTTCTACTTTTGTTTTTGTTGTAGGCCTATAGATAGACTGGTTTATTCAAAATCATCGCGGCGGCACATGCCGAATTAAGATGACAATACAATATTAAACCATTACAAACAGAAATCAATTAATACGAAATTAACACAAAAATGCAATAAGGTGTTTCACGGCAAAAAAGAACATGCATTGCTAGACGCAGGCGCATTTTAGAATGAATGCATGATGCCTTTGAAGCACAAAAGTGTTCCATGATGATGCGTACACAGCAACGCATGTAAAATTGCCCCGCTGGCCAGATGGCACATATTATTATTACCATGAAACACCTTCGGTAATTAGATACGATCCCCATTTAAATTTAAAAATTTTTTTTTTAAAGTGTTAGGCTAAAGTTTAAAATACGATTGATAATGATATTCAAATAAAAGGTCAGTTTATTCTGTAATCTGGAAGAATTCCAAACTGGGCCACCACTCATAATCATATTCCTTAATAATAATATGACCTGAAAAGTACCAAAACTTGCAAAAGTTGTAAATCTGATGCACAATTAACACTTTAATTTAAAGGGAATATACAACATTTGCAAACATCGAAAAAAAAAACTACCCAGTTTTTGCGAAATACCTTAATAGGATGTTGGTAAATGACAGTCTAAAGCATCCTGTAAAATTATGGCACCTGGTATACTGTCATTTTCAAGAAAAGTTGTATTTTTATATCAATTTCCAACGCTGATCGGCCGATCAGCGTTGGAAACAACTGGCTTTTTTTCAAATACTGGCCCCAATTGACCATTGCACTTGTTTGTAATCGATTACAAACCGATGAACGGGTACGAGCCAGCTAGACTGGTTCCCTGACCTTACAATTCCCCAATGTATGTAAACTGCTCTGTTTCTTCTTATATGGAGTCAGGGAACCAGACTACAGGAAAATGATCGTTTTTCTTGGTTTTTATAGCATTTTTGAACCCAAAACCTCCAAAAAGTCAGTGTAACTATATTTGCTTTATATTTCCAACCCCCCAATTCCATCCATTTCTGAAAATTACAGCAAAAGCAAATGATGTATATTCCCTTTAAGGAGTGCAAAAATTATATTATTATACTTTAACCTTTGTTGTTTGTGCAGGTCTGAGACTGAGCTGGTGGCCCAGTATGGAATTCTTTCCACAACGGATTCTGTAGAACATCCAATTCCAAGATGCATTCCATTGCGAATATCGAAAGGTTTATTGAACATATTGAATCAACAACATCAACTCAACTGTCCGAAAACTGGGCAGTCATAAATGATAAAATTGAATTTCAAATGGAAACATGTTGCAAACTAAACAAAGGGCATAAGTTACATGGTTAAGTGTAATTCTAGCTACATGTATACTATTACTACTCTCACATGAATTTAGAAGCTTACCATAAACGATAAATACTAATACTAGCTTGCTGCCTTTCCGTCGTCAATTTACCGGTACCGTAACCAAGATTAGTTTACAAACACTAGTTTTGATTGGTTAATGCCTGAACTAGGACCCTTCGTTATCCAATCAAATAAATGCTTGTAATATTGAAGAAATCGTCTGGTTCCCCAGCAGTATCTGTAATGGAGGTACATAGTGAAGTCAGTTGAACCAGACTGATCAAAAGAGGGCGCTATTTAATTTTACCGGTCCGCATCGGGGTGCATACCTGCAAATAAACTCCCATAGACACTAGTGCTAAATGCCCATACTTCAAAATTCTTTTAAAAATACTCAAAACTCTCACAGGTATTCAAGCTGCACAGAAAAATGATGATCAATGTGTCATCTTTCAATTTCTTTTCAATTTATGGTGGGTTGACCATTGACTTTTCGAGATATTATCACGCAAAGAAGACGACCCCTATTTTCCCCAAAGCGGAAAAGTAGCCATCTTGAAAAACGATCCCTCCACAACATGGCAAACTAGCGCCACTTTCGAGCCCAATATCATCCAAAATGCTCAGAATTGGAAGCCCCAAGTCCGGGCCAGAGGTTCACTACCATATCTCTTCAATTCCCCAATTTTACGGCGCTCAGAACTCTCTAATATAGAATATTTTGAGGGTATAACTTTTATTCATGAGCTTGGCGGATCGATTTACCGGTGTGCACCCATCGGGTGGTGGCATGGGTGGTGGGTGTACATTGTCCCAATATCAAACTCGCCGAAACGTTTATTTTTTTTACCCCTATAAAAGAATATACACGTACTGCAGTCCTTAAAGCAGTGGTTAAATGATACCTCAAAATAATCAAGAGATATTGGGGAACAAATTTATTAGGATCGATGAAAGATTATGGCCAAGGGCGGATCCAGAACACAATGGGGGGGGGGGGGCAAAAAAAAGGGGGGGGACCAAAAAGTGTGTCCACAAAATTACGGTGTAAATTTTGTTTGATTCTAAATGCTCAGTGGAGCGATCTGATGCAATTTCTGACCACTTGAACAATTTTTTTTGAGGAAAAGTTGGGGTGTATACGCAGTGCCTGCCTTTAGTATAAAGAATGGGTTCGTTGGGGGGGGGGGGGGGGGCGCTCCCTGGATCCGCCCTTGATTATGGCAACCACACTTTGCGCCGTTCCCGGCATGCTTCTAATATACAGCCAAACGCCACAAAATTTCAGTGTGGCGTCACTTGGCTGTGTATCAGGAGTTGGCTGGGAAATTGTACCTTTTGAACATTTCGACAGTATTTTGTACGATATGGGTGCACACTGGATGGAGCATAGGCCTACGCACGTACACAACAATTAACGGCGCACATCATGGGCGTCGCCAGGATTTTTCCGGGAGGGGGGGGGGGCAAAGCACATTTTCCCAAAAAAATTCTTAACTTTTTTAACATGCATGTATTCTCAATTTAACATATTTCCGAGAGTGGTGGGCAGGGGAACATTTGCCCTACCCCCCCCCCCCTCCCCCAATCAAATAAACAGCAATATGGCTTTGCATCTCTTTTCCCTTTTTGTTTTCCTCTTTCTCTTTTTTCTCCCCCCCCCCCCTTTTTTTTCCAGGGGCAAGCGCACCCCTGCCCCTTTGCCCCACCTCGCGTCGCGTCGCCCATGGCGGCATGGCCCACATACCGTTCCGCCTCCACAGACTACACGGACTTTGTGTGTGTACAAAAGGCACGAGGGATTAACGTGTTTAGACGTCACCCGGAGGCGAGGCAATCTTGACGTCTTTACCCGTCAGCCGTGCATGTGCACAAAAAAATAGCCAAGTGCGTGTTATCACGGCCTCCGGCGCGAACTGCTTCCTAAGTTAGGTTCAATTTTTTTTAATAACTTCTAGTTTATTTTTTTCCAAAATAATACATTCCAGTCAAAACATTATGGTTTTGGGTTAAATTGACCACTGCTGCATTTTTACAAGATCCTTAAAACTGTAGTTTGGCAAATCTGCGACTCTGCCAGTTTCCGTGGTCGAGTACTTTCTTGTTGTCATGGGACGCTTGGTGGCGCTATCTACTCTTGCAACAGGGGGCAGACGAGAAAACTTGGGCAACTTCAGTCCAGTGGCTTTTGCGATGGCCGCGCCCGTAGAATCGTCCATTTCACTGTTAAGGCCGTCAATTCTTTTCACCTCCGGACTTGGTGACCGCTTAGGCTGCCTGGTGTCGCAAACGAAAACTACAGACGCCGTCTTTCGCACCTCAAAGTGAGTTTCGTTTTGTGACGATGACAAAGTTTGAAGTTCCCGCGCTTTTTTGCCATCTTCGTTGGTGACGGCGGCTTCGTCTGGTACCGCGTCGCACAGAACGTCTTGACATCGTAGGCACAGTCGACATTTGTGGCACCAGCCTTCGAGTCCGATGATTGGGTCGTCTGCTACATAAACTTTGCGCCGACACTGCAGGCACGTGGCACGGAATAGAGCAGGAACTGCAACAAAGGAAAACAAAGTACGAAGAGAAATTAATTGGAAGAAATTAAAGGTAAATTTGATTTTGCTTTTCCTTTTTGTTGTTGAGGTTTTACTTTTTCTGTAGGCCACTGTGCGTGTCGGCCGGCGTGCATTATCAGGAAGGCCGACTTCCTGTAAAGTAGGCCTAATGGTCACGCTTACCAAACCAAATACATATGCCTATTACTATAAGGCGAGAATTAATAAAAACAATTTTCTGTCAATTTTCTGTGGAGGCTAAAAAGTGCTAAGATGTGATTACTTTTATATTATTATGGAAAGGATTTCAAGTTAAATTCTGAGGGAAATGAACATTTGAGGATTATCACTTTTATGTATAAAGGCTCACTCACTAACTAAAAAAAAATATCTCATGAAAAGTGGTTCTCCAATTAACTTGTAGACATTTCCGTACCTTTGGCTTCTTTTTATTTAAATAAAAAGACTCACATTTGGAATGTGGCATTTCGTAGACGAACAAGTGACCCACGTCACGGTAGCACGTTCCGCTCCTGGGAACCTTGGTGTAACAGCAGATGTTACTCCCCCTGATGACGTCGTACACGTTGTGATGCAAGCGGCCCTTGTCCATAGCCATCTCGGTGATGGTCACCGTCTCGACTCTCACCGAGTTGGGCCCGAGCCGCTTCGCCTCGAAAAACTCCCTGACGGCCCGCTCGACCTCCGCGTGCATCCGGTAGAATCGGATCTCGGAGAGGAGGAACGCCTCGGTGATGTGCTCGGGCACCGCGACCACTTGACCGTAGCGGCCGTAGTTGAGAAGCACTCGCAGGGCGTCGGCGTCCCGGTCGATGCGGTAAATGCCGTCGGAGGGAGCATGACTCCCCGTACAAACATCCTCATCGTCGGGGTCCAACAGAAGGGAGAGGAACTCGCTCTTGAGCCGCTCCAGGCTGGCTCGGGTCGTCTCCAGCATGGTGCCTCCCAGGTTGAGCTTGACCCACTGGGTTTTGTCGATGATATTCTCGGCGGGATAATGCTTGGAGTACGCTGGGAGTTCTCCTTGACTGCTATGTGCCATTGCCGTCACGAAGTATCAAACAATGTCACTTTGAATAAGAACATTATTGAGTGTTAATTCAGCAAAAATGGTATGGCTTGATACGGAGTTTTAAAATGAGCTCAACATTGAGCGAGATATCGATATCGTACAACTTGCGCAAACGTTCTGTTTGGCTAGTCGTGAGCCATTGCAATCACGGACAATCTCAAAGGCAGTGTCCCGTTTAATTAATTCTTACACGCAGCATATTTTAGCCAAATCAGTATACTGTTTGGTACGTGTATTATTTATTTCGTTCAAGTGCGACATTGAATTGAATTTTCAGTTAATGATGTCGTTACACAAAGAAAACCAATGGCCTTTGTGAATCGAAGTGAAAAACTGGAATGTCGTATGCCTTCATCAATTCATGCATGAGTTATTATTTCGAATTCAAAACTCACTTGGCCCTTATGATAACGATAGTCACAAACACAGTACCGGTAGCTGTCAAGCATACGACACATACTTAACCGCTACAATCAACCATCGTTACTTACAACAGATACTCGATCGTCTACAGCCGTCAGTCTAGTATCTAGCTTGATATGATCAACTAAGATATTCTATTGCAAATGTGTGTTGCCGGCTCAGTCCATATCTAACAACCAACAAATTGGGAAACTCTTTATTAATAGCTGTCACATACCATGAACGGTCCTATTTATATAAAAGATCATTAATCATTCATAGGTCCGTGCCACTTGTGGGGCCAACACGAAGAGCAATATTAGATGCGATCGATAGGGATGAAAAGAACGATCTTAAGGGGGGAGTTTAGTCCACAAAAGGCCTGATCAATTATGAGAGTGACAAATGCCCCCCCCCCCGAAACTTTGCTGGCAAAAAAACTGGCGCATGTATGGAGCGTATCGTGGTCTTCCAGAGGGCCAGCCTATAGGGTTGCAGACCGAGTAAATAAACTGCCATAGATCCCAATGATAAATGCCCCCACTCAAAAATTCAGGAAAAATACTCACAACTCTCCAAGGTATCCCAGACACAGGTTAACTGATTACTTTTAGGAGAAATATCCATCCGAAGATGATCACCCCTTAAAAGGGTCCTGAAGCCCATCGCCATTTTGAAAAACGACGCCTACACTCCATTGCAAAATAGAGCGCTTTTAGGGCTCCAATTTCATCCAAATTGCACAGAACTACAGGCTCACAGTCCTGTGCACGGCTTCCACCCATATTTTTTAAAAACCCTCAAGCTCACGGCCCACAATATGCTCAAATAGCGAAGAATTTGAGGGCATGCAAATCGTGATTTAGCCGGCGTAGGCGATTTCGGACCGATTTACTGGCCTGCAACCCTATATATAGTGTCTGAATGACTTTTGACTTATACTGATTGTAAACCCGGGCAGTGCTATCGAATAGGCTTACCCCGTAACGCAAATAGGAGTAAATCCAGCCCATCGTGTAGATAGACCAGATTAATGAGAAAAAACCTTGTAGTAAATAACCATTCTGAGTTGTTGAATAATACTTCGTGTAAGCGCTCTCCGAACAGCTTTACAACTTGTCTTATCTTGTCTTGTTCAAAAATATATTTCACCCTTATATCGCACTTCTTTTTCACAAGTGTACAAAGAGGCACGGGAAATCATTGCAGTAAAAATTTAAATTATACCTTTCAAGTTTCGCATTTGAATACTTCCCCTATATAACCGGATTAATTATAGGAATATCCGAGGATATTTTGTTTGCTTCGTGCATGAAATAAATTTGGGGTCAATCAATTTCGTAAAGTTACAAGTAATTATGTTCAACATGTTAATCGATTTATTGTCAAACTTCCGATTCATTCTTAAATTGCGATAAGACATTTTCTATAAGCGGGAAATTTGTACACAACTCGTTTACAGAAAAGGGCGTGACATTGACAGAGTTGTATAGGCTATATGAGGACAGTGGTGGAACTAATTCTTCACAAGTTTTAAAACAAAACAAGACAAAATGAAAGTTTGTTATAGATTCAAAATATTATATTAAAAAATTAGCTTCATGTTATTTCAATTTCTCAGCATATTAACTTAGCACATGATTTTGTTAACTTACGACTGTGCGTTTGATGTTGTGTCTTATAACCAGCAAATACTCAAAATGTTAATTGATTTATTCACAAACTTGTGTGTTTCATTCCCAAATTTGCGATAAGACATTCCGATAAGACATTAATTAGACATTATTAACAAGTAGGCCTACACTGCGTCCGGCCCAACCCAGTTTCCACTGGTGACAGTGTGCAACTTTAAGCGATACTAGTAACAGCATGTTACATATTGCACCTGTAATAACTAAGGTTAAGGGCATTGGATTTGTGATCTGCTGGTAAAGCTGCAGGTTGTGGATTCGAGTCCAACCCTGGGGTCATGATGCGTGTGCCCTTGGGCAAGGCACTTTGTCACTCATTGCTTCTCTCCACCCAGGAGTAAATGGTATACCTGTGAGGGCAGAGATGGTTAGTGTGGTTGATTTAGCTGCTTGGCACCAAAATGGCAGCATCGAGCTGTATACTCCCCGGGGAGCTGAGATGGTGTTTGGAATGTTTGATGGGCCCAATGAGCAGGGGTAATAATGATGTAGCGCCTTGAGCACCAGTCCTGGTGGATACGTGCGCTTTATTATATATTTATATAACTGAGTGATCGTCGACTTATTAGATTGTGCGTTTCAACTACTCTGCGTTTGATTCAATGCTTTACCACTATAAAATTAGCACTTTCGCATCAGTGACACAAGATATAAACCCATTTTAATTTCCCAAATGTTTATTCCTTAAAATAAACGCGGAATATAACATGTTCTATCCGTTGATCGGTTAAGGTAATTTCCCTTTGACGAACAGGCCGTAGGTCACCAGGCCGGCGAGCGTCTCTGTCCCCGAGGGTATGATCTGATCGGGCGGCAGGAGGAAGCCGTATTTCCCGGCGTCACGCAATTCCACGCCGTACGAATAGGTGATGTTCAGCTTGATGTACGTGAAATCGGCACTTGATCCAGACGACAAGTCTGAACAAGATAAAAGTCAAGAAAAACACAAAATAAACAAAAACGATGAAAACGTATGACCAACATTTTTGAAAGCGAAAGGTTTTCGAAACATTTGAAAAAAAAGGAAAAGTACAGTATACAAAAATCGGCACTTGATCCACATGACAATTGTGAACAAGATAAAAGTCAAGAAGACATAAAATAAACAAAAAAGATGAAAACGTAGGTGAAAGCGAATTGCTTTCGAAAAAATGGTATTTATGGATAGAATTATATGGTCTTGCATGGTTAGCTGCATTACATTGAATTTGTAACACTTTTTGGATTCTAGGGCTATATTACTTTGCCAAAAAGTAATGCATTTGTTTGGGTGTGAGACACTTCCTTTGACGTTTCTTTATACATTTGTCATTTTTTTCTTTGGAAAACATAATTGGTAGTAATTTTCGTATGACAATTTTGAACCCCCTCCCCCAAATGATTTCATTTTTTGGCAAAAGAACTTGAGGGGCTGTCATTTTTTTATCGACAGCTTTGTACTCACAGTTGATGACATTCGCTATAGATCCACACTGATATTCGGTTCCATATACTGCCTTCAGCGATGCGATACTTTCGTTACATCCTTCCAACTAAAGCAAAAGTTATTATAAAAATATAACCATCGAAATTTCAATATCAAAAAACAGGTAAGGCCCTCATGAAATGTTTGTTTCTTATGCTTTATACGCATGCGTGGCAGTCGGTCAATGAAAACAAACTTACGAATTGCAACGGTGACATTAATAATTTGAATTGAAATTCCCAAAATTTGAAAGTCACGTCTCGCAGTGACATCACAGCAACAGCGCCCTCGGGCATTGGTAAACAGCCAATTAATGTGCAGGTTGTTGGGGTGTTTGTTTGTTTGTTTGTTTGTTTGTTTGTTTGTTGTTTCTATAAAATAAGCTCCACGTTTTTTCCTTCGTCGACCAAGCAATCAATGCAAGATACACGTTAACATAAACAGAACTGGAGCATGAAAGTTCGTTTCCAGTCCCATTATTATAATGATACGAGCTCTGTAACTCAAGTCCCCAAAAGGTATATATTTTATTTGGGGTCTACCCGATGTTCCCCAATATATGTTCCCCAAAATCCTTAGGGTTAGGGTTAGGGTTAGGTGGTTAGGGTTAGTGTTAGGGTTGGGGAACATAGGTATTGGGGAACATAGGTATGCACCCCTTTTATTTACTTCACCGTACAGAACTGTTAACACGGGGAAAAACAGAAAGCGTGCATGGAGTCTGCTCCCTGTTTAAAGTTACTTACCTGGGCTTTGTAGTCCGGTGGTAATTCCTTCGTGTAGCCGTAAGGCGTCATCCACAGCTGACTGTAGCTGTGGAAGTCAATGAATCCCTTGATGGAGACCCCCGGCTGGGAGACCAGGAACTGGGCCACGTTATACACCTCCACGGCGAAGAACGGGAAGGGACCGCAATACTGGTCGCTGCACGGGTCCTGACTGGCACCCTCATCTGATATTTCACGGACAAAAATAAGATTGCACTGATCAATCCGGTGTGGACTTCAAAAGTTTTCACGTATTCGTCGAAAGCAAGACCGGTTTATTATAAGCCCCCACTATGCGCACCACTTGGGAAAAACACGTGGGCCTCTTGACTCAGTCACTCTAAGTCAATTCAACTGTATAGGCATATACTTACCGGCAAATTTGACGGCAAAGTTCCGGTTGGGATCGACACCGACACAATCCGACCCCGTGTTGTTCGTTCTTGTCTTCCGCCACGCTCTTGCCTATTGAAATCAGGATCAACATACTATTGATCATCGTCGGTACCAAAAAACGTAATACCAGAGTTGTATTGGATTCCACCACAAGTCCAATCACAAGTTAAGTCAGGAGAAACAGGGGATGAACAATGATAACAAATTCTTTTCTCACAGTTAATTTCAAGTAGTGTGTCACTTCGCTTGAGACGGGATTAGAAAGGTCAGCCTATAGTCAAGTTTATCGCAAGTCCATCACAAGTCAGAGCGCAAGTCGGATCGTAAGTCCGTCAGAAGTCAAAATGCATTTGTAACTGGAAAGCACTCAGAGAGCGCAAACTTCGCCAAGCTGCTAAACAATTACCCGCCATATTGTCAGTACACCCAAAAGAAATGTTCGCCTATCCACTGGACTTCCATCTCCCCATAGTACCAAATGGTTGAGTCCATTGACCTGTTGGTTTTTTGTGTGCGCGCTATGCGCTCTTAGACTGCACGATGCGTTAACCACACACGTGTCCCGTTCGCGATTTTTTTCCCAAACGAGATCGGATAATATCAGAAAGGCGCTCTCACACTGCGTTATGCATATTCATGATGTCCAGGGATTTTATAAGCTGTATAACAAGGAATAATGGTGTTTGAATCACTGACGATTGGCAGCTGATTCGTGGACTGGTTGAAAGTAGTCCTGACTTCTAATCAGGTGATCCGAGTTCGATCATGTGTGCGCTTTGTTCATGAATTTGCAGAACACTCCTCAAGGCTCAAAGATGGTATTTATCAAAGATGGCGGCTGCATGCAATCGGTCTATACGCCTACATTTGGTTCGGAGGTCCATGTGTAGGCGTAACCGTCTGCGTTCACCAAGGGCACGATGAACACGTCGAACGTGTCCAGGAGAGTGGTTACGTCCTTGTCCGTGCCGTATTGATCCAAGAGCTGCAAGAGAAAGCATTGGGATTAGATTAGATTAGGATCAGGATTAGATTAGACGAGATTCAGTTTGCGTCAACGTATAGGCCTAGAGTTCAGTCATTTGCTTTCCAATATCATCACCACTCACAGAATGTTCAAAACCCAACCTGTTATTGGTTCACCTCAGTAGATATTACACTTTTCGAGAAAACAATGAAAAATCATGGTCAACCTTTGGCTTACGAATCGCGCTTTTGTCTAGATATATAATGCTATTCAATTGACTGATCTTTGAAAATTACCTACATTTCTTGATTTCTTCGATAATAAATTCGATAGGTTACTTTTGGGATAGATATACAAATGATTCTATACTCTCTAAATTCCAAAGAGTGAAATTAGGGACCAGACGTTTTAGAGTGAAAATCACTCTCATTTTCGATTGACATAGTCTGAAAAATGAACCACTTCAGTCGAAGCTCGAGTGAAACCTCGATCTTTACGATTGAAGAAATTTCACTCTAAAACGTCTAGTCCCTAGTTTCCGACCGTGGGAGTGAATCTTCACTCGAATGGAGTGAATTTTCACTCTTTGGAATTTAGAGAGTATATATAATGCTATTCAATTGACTGATTTTTCGGAAATGACCTACATTTTTTCTTGATTTCTTCGCATAATAATTCGATAGGGCTCTTTTGGGATAGATGCAAATGATTCTATATGCCTTTAAGGTTACTAACAAAGAGTAGATCATTAGACTAGGATTAGATAAGATTCAGTTTGCATCAATATTAATGTACAGTTAGACAAAATCGCACTTGATCCTTTTATCCGCTGCAGTCCTTCCGTTCAGCGTATAACTTCAAGTTACACACTTTTCAGACAAATTATTAACACCTTTAGAACTCCAAATAATTATTCGTCAGTTTTGCGAAGAATTTCAGAGTGATCTTATTCAAAGCAATTGAAATATGACTGCAAATCAAATTTCATTTGAGAAAAAAAGTACAATGTAATTAGGAAAAAAGGACCTTAATGATAATACGTGAACGGTGAACTAACTTATAGAGACGCAAAACTGAACTCAGGTTACGAATTTCAAATTAAAAGGTAAAACTTAGTTAATGAAAAATAATAATAAAATTCAATACGTTATTATAGGTTTTCCCGGCCAATTTCCTGAAATGTTCTAAAAATCAGTCTTTCATTTTCGTCTGAATATTAATGCACGTCTTGAATCCTATTTCAATTCAACGAAAGTTCGATCGTTTTCATTGTCCGAGCAGTCGGTTTTGAGAAACAGACGGCCAATTCCGTTTACCTGTGCATTCATTTTCGCAAGCGCACCTTTTCGCGCAGAGTTCTGGAATACAATTTCGTGAATGTGCAATCAAAAGTACATTTTTGTCATTCAAAATAGCAGATTGTATCACATAACATTTAACTAAAAAAGAAATAGAATGGCCAATATTTGAAATCGCCCCCTAAAAGCGAAAAGGAATCTGAATGAGGATAAACGAAAAGTGCTGCTCAATCACGTAGTTGATTGAACTGAAATGGAATCGAATGCTCTGGTAGCGAAAATGAAACGCGTGTTCAGAGCGATTCTCAAATTCAGACGAAAATGAATGACCAATTTCCAGAAGTGAATGAACGTTTTAGGAAATTGGCCGGGAAAACCTATATTATTTTTTTAAACCGTACGCTGGCCGTCATGAACATTATAGTTGCCGGTCCGATCCATTCCCTTGCATGCATACCGGCTTGAAAGTACAAGGCTGGGCGGAGTGCTGCATTAGATGTGTCTCTTTGCAAAGCAGTGCTGATCTGGTAGCAAAATACAAATAACACGGTCAGAGAATATAAGACGATTTAGCATAGAAGTTTGTTTAATTACTTTATAGACCTCATGCGTAGCAGCCATCTTAGATGACAATGCCTTTGTTTTGCTGGGATATGCATGAGAGAGCCTTTTGTGCATTCATTGGTAGTGAATTAACATTAAAAAAAAATATGCCTTCTAAGATGGCCGGTACGTATGAGGTCCGTAATATTACACTTGGTAAAATGTTTTGGTCCAACGTGTGATATTTTTCCTATCGCCTGTACCTCTGCATTTTGTAATTTGCGATTCAACTATCAATTGTGATGCGATCAAGCTACAGGGTCGTTTGTCGACCCTGGTCAATTTTTTTTATTACAGATTTGAAAAGAGCACAATCTCAGCATTACTGCTGTGAAAACCGCATGCTGGTACCATCGTTAGTTAAAAAATTATGGAAGTTGGAACACCAAGAGATGTGATGAAGTGATGTGATGACAAAGGGACAAGGGCGGATCCAGGGGGGGGGGGGGCCAAAGGGGGGCCATGGCGCCCCCCCCCCAAAAAAAAAACGAAACCATTTTTTTTTTTTTAATGTGACATCGCAATAAAGGCAGGCAATGAGTACACCACCATCTTTTCCTCAAAAAAGCATTGGTTAAAGTGGTCAGAAATTGCCTCAGATCGCACCACAGAGCATCTAGAATCCCAAAAAAATTTGGGGCCCTTAAGCGGGCCCCGAACCCCACGCCGTAATTTTTTTGACCCACTTTTTTGGGGGACCAAAATATTTTTTTACCCCCCCCCCAAAAATTGTGTTCTGGATCCGCCCTTGTGTGATGAAGTGGCCTTATTTTGGCCTGAATCTCCAAATAAAAATTCCCGACAAACGACTCATATAGCTTGATCGCATTGTGAAGAACTTCACACGAATGGTGTTTATTTGGTAGGTAGTTTGCTATTCATAACCACTGGCTGAGGATGACTGCATTAAAGAGTGTATCAGAGTTATAAATCATAGATGTCAGATATGTAACAGGGACAGGAAAAAAGTTGACCTCAACTTTAAAGAATGACCCATAAGAATTTTTGAGTCATGAAAAAGTTACTTCTTGTTTCCCCATTTTTATTTCCTAATCGGATTCGTACAAGTTATGTATCCTGGCCCAATATTTTGCTTACTTACTTCACATATAAATGCGTTTGATTTTGTCTTAGTCCAATAAGCAACTAACGCAAATGTTAGGAAAGTATCTGAGCATTGTTAATTTGTGAAGCAAATAACAACAAACCAAATTGTTCAATGTGTACTAGTAGAAACTTTATTTCGTTATTTGTTTCACAAATTGAAGTGCTTCTGATTATTTTTAACATGTCGCTTTGTGAAGCTGTTTGAACTAAAGAACAAAGTTATTACATGTTTAGTGTTTGAAAAATGTGCATTTTAGGTAACCAGATTCAGTGATTCTCATTCAAAATCGCAGATCAGATTTTGGTTGTTTTGGGAGGAAGAATACCTGAATTCCATGAATCCATCTTCCCTCAAACGTCATCCCAAGGTGGTGCAGCCTTGTCATCTTGCGATAAGCGTCAGTGATGTTTCTTGTCCAATAAAAAATCTGGAGGGGGAGAAACTCATGGTTTTCGAATAAAGGCATCGATTTATCCTACTTCGCCTGATGCACAGATCCTAATTCAAACTGGTACAAAATGCCTTGTTTTGAGAGTTGAGACCAACACGAATTCAAAAGTCCTGCACTTGACTTATCACCGCCGAAGAACTGAATAAGGCTAGCACGTGAAAAGCCAAAGTCCAAATCATTCTTTTTCATTGCAATTTGAAGACTTATTTTGATCTCGTATGAAATCTGCTGATTTAAATGACTTTCTACGAGACCCCTGAGCTGCCCACCCCTACCTCAAACCCCGCCCCGCCCCCCTCGGTCAGACAGAACGCACGAACTTGTCCCCGATAAAAAAAAAATCCAGGATGTACCAAAAAAGACAAGTTTAAACTCGTCAAAGATAGGTTAAACTATCTTTGTCATGATCATGACGAGTTCAACCCTGATCGTTGTAAGACACTCCATAAAAGTTGTCGAAAGTTCACCACAACTTTGTTTGATTTCCGTGCAGAAATCGCCCTTAATCTACGACACATGTTGGAATCTGGCCGATAAATGTCCTGTGTCTATAAAATTTGGATGTTTATCTTTCTTGATATGATGAGTTTAATCGTTTGATCTCGTAAAGCGCGTATCACAACTCTTTCGTTTTCTAAGCTAAAGTAGTCTGCAATCTGCGAGAAATATTGGAATTTGGCCGAGAGATGCTATGTCGGCCGACACATGACCTGTGACATAGTTTTACCACCGCAAGGTACTTTAAAAAAATCAGAAGAGATAAATTTGTTTATTAAAGCCTGAAATGTGCACATTGTACCTCTTGGTAAGTGTGGTATTTGCCGTAGTCGAAACCGGTGGGTTGCAGACCGAGCGATGCGATCTCACTCGGCCGGGAGCTTCCTGCCATCTGCTGCCTCGCCAGCTCCTCCACATTCTCGATTTTGACCTGAAATTTTCAAAACGGAAGATGATTTGGGAGGATAAATGAAGTCACAACTTGTATCATTCTTGAAATTTTGGCAAAATCAAAAATTCGAAGGAATAATCAAGTCACAATTTTCCGTCCTTTGTTTGACATGTTATCAATGTAACATCTTTTACTGGAGATCAATTTATATAAATCTAAAGAGCCTGCTCTTTTTTTTAACCCCCCCCCCAAGCATTATCAAATCCCGTCCCAGATGTCTGGTGCTAAAATGGGACAAAAGCAGGAAATGTAGGCTCTTATCATTCAGAAACTTCAAAGCACTCAGAGAGCGCGAACCTCCGCCTAGGCTAAACAATAATTTCCCCGCCATATTGTCAGTACACCCAAAAGAACTACTCGCAAAAATCCTTAATAAAAATCCTGGATCCAGACCCAGATCCGGATCACTTCCAAAATCTAATCGATTTGTACTTGTGCCAAGAACTACCCCTAAACATGTCATGCACATCAGTCCATAACTTTTTGAGTTATCTTGCTAACAGACAAACCAACCAACCAAACCAAACAACCGACAAATTCCGATGAAAACATCTCTTAATTATTATGCTTATACCTCCGTTGTGAAATTCCCCTTTTCAAGGTGTTTCTGAAGTTGTTTGAGGCGACTGGATGACACCATCAGATCGACTGCTTGGCCCGCGGCTCCTGGGTAAGTCCAGAACGAAACCTGAACAACGAGGTGCAAGAGTTTAATGCAATATTCTATAATCAATTTAACGGGAGCAATTAAAGGGTTACATCAGCCTTTAACACGACTGTTTCATTCCTACCTCGAGATTTGGATTCGTCTTGATGAGGTGGAGCGTCTGAACATCGTCCTCTGTCTGTGGCGTTACCGTCAGTACTTGGTATCTGATGAGAAAAAAATGGTCTAAAGTTTACTGACTGCTTTCTCAAGGTCCTTAGAACCGGAAGCCTAGTCGTGACGGAAGACACACTTAAGCTTTTTAATTTTCGTAATTGTTGAGTTTATATTCAGTGATCTAGTGAAAGAAATAATATTTGGACCGATTTTCAGTCGCTGTCAGCTGACCCTTAGTGTGATCATCTGGAGTCCAAATTTGATTGTTTTCTCGTCAAATCTGGCTAATAAAACTAGTTATCCAAGTTGATATAGGTCACTAGGTGTCATTAAAATGCTTTCAACTGTAGGAGAACATAAAGGATAACCATTTGTTGCTTTTAAAGATACTTGGTACTTGGTGGTTATCCTCTTCAGAACTCCTCGAGGAAGTCTAACTAAGAGGCTTATTTTATTTTTGTGTGTGTAAATAATGGCGCAAACAAGCTGAATTCCCTTATCAAAGGGATTCGGACCCCAAAAACAGCACACAAAAAAGAAGCATTTATGTTTAAAAAAAAAAACAAATAAATTGAAAATTCACGAGAAAATTATTGAATTCGTAAGAATTTAAAGGAGTGAAATGATTACCTTTCTGATGTCCCCGAGGGCGCACCAACCACGTCCAACGGTAGCAGAGCGCCGATCACTCCCACCAAGAGCAGCATGTGCGTTAGCCCGGCCATCGTTCTTGTATATCTGAGTGCCGCGTTTACTCACTCGGTTCCCACGACAAACTGTTGCAAGGGTCCTATATACCGGCACTTTTATACCAAAGGGTTCGCGTGACAGGAAATATTTAGCTAAAAATAAAAACCATTGTGTAAGTAAATAGAAAGAAGCACGTGCTTTACAAATGTCGAGATTACGCCACGAGTGCGCTCTTGTAAAGCCCATACAAACAGTCTCGTGACCCATCTTAATTTAACCTCTATACTCCACAAAACGCTACATACACAATTTTATTATTGAGAGAATTTGTACGAGTGACAAAGCACAATATTGAACCATAGAGCAAGGACCTTGTTTTCGTTTCCTGTGGCAGGGGCGGTGCCAGGTTCGCGGACCAAGAGGGGCCGAGGGGGGGGGGGGTTGTTTGTTTGTTTGTGCAGTGTATTCATTTTTGTGCCACCCAATAAGGCAAGGGGGGGGGGATAGTTTAGAACCCGTATACCCCCCGACATTGGCGTAGCACGGTCATTTTTATTGGGGGGGGGGGTGCTGGTACCATCTGTCGATGGGGGCGCTGTTCAAAACCGACGATTATGCACACTAACGGACAATATATGGTGCTTTTCAGGGCGATACATGCGCGAAATTCACAAAAAAGTCACTCGAAGAGCCGATGACTCCAAAAAGGGCACCACTTATTTTTTTTAAAGGGCACTTGCTCAGAAAAAAAGGCAATTGTTCAGAAAATAAGGGCACTTGTTACAAAAAAGGGCACTCTTTACAAAATATTGGGAGGGGGGAAGCGCTGGTGAAAAAAGGGCATTTGAATAGAAAAGGGCAGTCTTTACAAAATATTGGGGGGTAAATATCCCCCTTAACCCCCCCCCCCCCCCCACCCCACCCCCGCTGGCTACGCCTATGCCCGAGCTGTAGATACGTCCGTACCCAGTTATATTTGACCAATGTTTTCGAGTAACTGAACATTTTTGCACCTTCCTTTTGAAAGGACTTCATGTAACTTTGCAGAAAAAAATCCCTAACCGTTTTGTAAAATAGTCATATCAACACTCGTCTCTGCAATTTCCGGAAGACAAAATCCATTTATTTTTACAAACTTTACCTCCAGTTTACAGTTATTTCGAAAACCAAGACCAACACTAATTATCAATTTACAGCGAAAATGCAAATTGCTGTGTACCAAGTCCCTCAAGGTATTTTTTGTTTAAACGTTTTTGCCTTCCCACAAAGGCACGTTTTTGCTCCAAATCCCGACCATTATTTCATCAGCAGCTAGTTGCCAAAAATGCGCCCGTCAGCAGATCATGCCGCCCACATTTCATATTTCATCATCATTGTCGGTCGTCACAGTATAGCGCCGCAAGAGCCAAGTTCAGTTCAACTGTTGATCCGCAGACTGCCTCATTATCAGGCAAATCATATCACGAGACACTAAACAAACACACAGACATAGACTTGCTGTTGGATGTGTCAAGGTTGTGCACTCGATGGTGAACAGGCGATATAACAGATGATGAAATTTAGCGCTCGCCCTTTTTATGTATATACTAAAAGCAGAGAAATAACTGTGAAATGTTGGTGATGCAATCGAGTTCAAGAGCCTATCTGTATAAATATTTGTACAAGGGGGCACTGAACCGATTTGAAGGGTAGTTTTTTTTTAGGGGGGGGGGGTAGGGCGCGCATCGGATTTGGGACACATTTTATTTACAAAGTAAGAACTCTTTGTTAATTATTGCGCATTTTTTGATAAATTGAGAGACATTTTAATGACTAATCGGATGTCAGGGCCTTTTTTTCGGGGTCGGGGTGAGGAGGGGAAAGCCTAGCGTGGACTGGGGCTGAGGGGGGGGGGGGAACTAAATTTTAGGCCAAGGGCTCCTACATCTTAACCCCAAGAACTGCCTTTTTGTATAACTCCTTGCAATAGCTGAATGCAGAGAAGTACAAGTGGTATGAAATGGCGCTAAAACAAATTAGGCGGAGCTGTAATGGGGGGGGGGGGGTAAAGTAAAATTTAAGGTACCTAACGTAACTATGTAAGGTGCACACAAACAAAAAAAAGGAGGGGAATAACGATCGTCTTTAATGTTTTAACACACATTGGAAACTAACCTTAAAAATATACAAATATGATAGGGTTGGGAATTCGGGCATTAGTGTTACATATCTATTTTCAAACTTTTTCCTCTAAAGTATTCAAGGAAAATTGCATTGTACCTGCCCCCTGCCCCCTTTCCTTGAAAAAAAAAAGAAACTAGTCTTTCAAAAACAAGTTTTAAAATGTGAATAAAAACTTAAAGAAAACAGTACCAGCATTCTATGTTCAACAATTATCCAGTTTATTTTCACTCAGAAAATAAAAAAAAATCTATTTACACTGAAAATACCACCTGTTTTGGTGTGAACAACTTATTAACCGCAACAAACTGTATTTCCAGATGTCTGAAAAATAAGGGTTGCTTCCTGACAGTGTCTTTGTCTCTCATAGATGGATTGTTCATGATGTCATAATCACTGCATATGCCAAATTACACATGTATTTGGTATCAGGTTTGTCATGAAGGGTATATTTCCAAAACGTGACATATCCTTGTGTCTTTTTTTCTTACAAACAAACGCACATGGTATATCTGCGTACCCGTGCAATGAACATGGCAGAGCCCACACGTCTGGAAAGTGTGAGTTGAGAGTTCAAATTTGTTTTCTATCAAAAACGACTGCAATTTCTTAATAAACTTCATGAATAATGGGAGTCATTACACCTCTTTATGCCAAGACAAAAGTTAATTTTTTTTTTAAGCGAGCTGATACTTATTATTACCGTTTAGAATGGACTAGTTTTACGGGTTTCCAGGTGGATTCCCTACGCACGGGAATGCCAGTGGGCAGTATTGTTGGTAAGGTACCATATACGGACTGCAGCTGCATTCCGCCGTCACTGAACTGGACATTCGTTATGTTTTTCATTGAATGGAAAATCAATATTTTAAGATCGAAAATTGGAGTGGGTGGGTGGGTCAAAACAATTTTGATAAAAAAAATTCGAAATTTAAAAACATCAAAAATTTTGAATGGCCCCCTTTACTGTCCCTGCTGCCTGAATTTACTTATGTTGCTCATTTATTACGTCCTTCTTGTCTCACATTTGAACTTGTATCTTAAATGATATTCATCCTGGCGGTGTGCTACGTGCTCGTTTTGTCGTCTTTGTCCGTCGAACCCCGTCCGAAAATTCTGCTGATGAGAGGCCTTGATCTGAAGTGCGGAAAACAAAAATAAACAAAACCAAAAACAAAACGCATTAACAAGTATTCTTTGTCCTAAATTTGCAGCTTCTCTTCAATGTCAACTGACCTTGAAATGGAAATGTGTCATCCTATTTGCAAAATCGAGGAATGTGGAGCCAAGACACAAATATTTTTAAAGTGCGTTAACCCTCCTATGCAAACATACACTCTGTGCAAAGTTTTCCTAATAATTATAGTCGCAGTACTTACATAGCGCTTTCCATCGTATCAACAATCTCAAAGCGCTTTACAATTATTATCCCAAACATCACGCCATGAGACCACGCGACAGCCGATATCAGGCCGATATCAGCACTCAATATCGGTCTTCGACCCTCACGGGTACCCATTTATACTCCTGGGTGGAGAGAGGCAATTGTGGTTAAGTGTCTTACCCAAGGGCACAAACACCATGTCTCTGGAAGGATTCGAACCCACGCACCATCGTGCGTGAGTCAAACACCGTTACCACTGGACCATGGCATCAAAATCAGTCAAGTGACTGTTTTAGAGCTTACATAAAGTAGGATTGACTGGCTGTGACCGTTTATGTCAATTGATTCAGCTACTGGTATGCTTTGACTGTTCAGGTACAGGTAACTGATAGGCCAGCTGTTCCTTGCCTGCTTTTGTATGTTGACTGAATTTGACTAGTCACAGTGCTTGCTTGAAATATGATCTGACTGTTGGTGACCGGCCTGTGTAAAAGGCACGGCAGGGGAAGAGGATTCTTCTTTTTTGACTGTCTGTGACTGTTCAAACAGCAGGAGGGTTAAATAGTGAAGTCGAAAATGCCGAAAAAACAGTTTTCCAAATGTTAAACTATACTCACTTGTGCTGCAAACCTTCTGCAAATTCATAGCTTGTTTCCGGTTGCTCCTCTGTATGGAAGGACACAGTGAAACAAAATATGGTAACAAGGCACCCACAATAATTTGACAAAAGGTTGTACAGTAAAATTGGTGTGAATTGTGAGTTTACATTTATATGAATAGAAAGTTGTGTTGATTCGCTCTTCTCAAAATCACAAATCTTTTGTCAAGCCATTGCAAAGGATATCAAATGTGAATATCACAATATTGGCTTGAATGTAACTATTATCATTGATTATTTCGTAAAAATTAGTTATTAAAAATGTACAGTATGGCAACCGGTAGGTTGAATTGCACGACACATTCGCACGTGTAAATAGTTATTAATAATGGAGTCAACTTAATACATGTATTAAAAAATATCGAGTTATGTATAACTTTACAACATGTGTGTGTGTGACAAACTATACATAATGCCTTGGCTGAGGGTTTCTATTGTCTGGGAAATTCGGACTGAGGACTTTCTATTGTCCCAAACAAAGTTTTGGGTCCCCATAAAACCTACATGTGTATTGTGCAGTGTTAGTCCCCACACCTACAGAACAATATTCTTGTAGTCTAGGGGCTAGATGTTGTTATGGTTTGACACGTTTGACACGCGAGAGGGCGTTATCACGACCAACCAATATCAACCACGAACTGCCAATAACAATGTCTAGGGAAATCCTGTAGCAGTTGTGTAATGCGCACACCTGTTTGGCCTATAGGCAGCGTGCATTCAAACATTTCATAGTGGTTCCGAACCAAACTCTTAAATTTCTTCCAGTTGCATACAAGATGCAGCAAGACTTTTGTGCAACTTCACTGGTCAGCTCTTTTGTGGTATGTAGCATGCGTGGGACTGAAAAATGGACCGTAATTGCCTGCAGATGTGCACCAATTTTCCCCCTTTTTCGGGGGGAGGTTTGACAAGATTCCCTGGTACATACCTTTCAATTCTGCAATAAGCTGCTCTGTGAATACTTCCTGCAGTGGCCGTACAAACGCCGGAGATTCCCGCAGTGGACGTAGGGATGTCTGTGAATCCTGCTTGCTCTCAATCCGGCGCTGTTTAGCGATGGCCTGGTATCTGGTAAGCCCCACCCACTCTGCCTCTTCCTTCTGCGGTTGAAACACATGAATATTCATATGCATAAATAATTAACATATATGAATAGTAATTGTCATTTACATTTAGTCAAAGACACGAGCTGGGGATATGAATAGAATGCTACAGAACTTAGTGCGTGCTCTGTAGTGATAGCCTAAAGCCCGGTTCATACTTCACGCGAAGGTGAAAGCAAAGCGAAATTCGTGATGTCAACGATACGTCTGAAGTGCGTTCACCATTATTGACAACATGAATTTCGTCTCGCACTTACTTTCGCGTGAAGTGTGAACCGGGCTTAAGTCATTTTTATTGTTAAAATACATCAATATTCATACACTGAGATTTAAACATATGAATATTAAAATATTTTGTAAGTTAAAGCGACAGCACTCAGATTTGAATAATAAAATTCTACAATGATCAAGTTTTCAACCAAAATGTCATAATTTTCCTCAAGTTTCCATCAAACAGTAGTACTAAAACAATGGTCCCGACATTTGGGTTTCATTTTTATTGACTCACCCTATATTGTGTTTCTTGTCAAATATATTTTTCACATGTTAAATGCAAAGTCTACATATGTACTCACTGGTATGACAAAGTCCTTGTATCGCTTGTAGATTGTGTCCCTCTTATCCGGATCGTTCGGGTAGACTTTCTCTTTCTCCGCCAGTCGGAGTAGCATGTGCCTCTTGAGTGCCATGCCTAATAACGAATTGAGTACTTCAGGTGGAGTCTGGAAACAAGATGTAAAGGAAAGCAAATTTACTGCAAAAACCCATCAAAACTTCAAGCTAGTCCTTGGTTTTCCCAAATCTCAATGAACTGCATCCATAACATTACAAAACTTGACACAACTTGTCAAAAGGGGCCTTATTCCCTAGGCATTTTTGCTAGGATGCAACCTCAATCCTGCAAAATCCTCCGTTATGTCTTGAATGTGGTCCTTGGAGGGGTGACCACTGCCTCAATCCTGCATAATCCTCCAGCAATCACTGTCAATTATGTTGGGCAGTGTACAGGATTTCAAGTATAATACAGGCCTAAACAATACAAGTTCCGGCCCAAGACCTTGACACATTGCATCCTCCCAAATCAGCAATACACTTTTGCCATATAGCCTCAATCCTGCAAAATCCTCCATTTGCAAAGAGGATTTTGGAGGATTTGGGAAGGTTTAAGGGTTAATGTTGATAACGTAACAATTGTTTTTTAAATTTTGAGTATTTATGAAAGTCACCCACACAATGCAAATCAAGTCTAAGAATCCCAGATTCTAAAGAGACTTTGGGTTTCTCTTGAGAGAAAGCAGATCATATCTTGACAGATAAAGAGAAACATTTTAGGAAATGCCATTGGCATGCATGCAGTTTGCTACTACGTGCATGTAGTCCGTAATGAAGTCCCTAATGGACAATTCCAACTTTTTGAAATATCAGAAGTCATCATAACTTAACATCGATGCACTTCAAATATACCTTGAGAATGTAGAAGTCAAAGCCGTAAGCCTCATCAATGAGATCCAGCGTTCTCAAACTGACAGTGATGGTGAAACTTTGATCCAAGATCTCGCTGTACAACTCCTTTTTCTGTAGAAGGGGCTTCCAACACTTCCTGACCCTACATTTATAAAATAAAAACATTTTACTTCTTAAAATTGTTTGGTAGGCAACGGAAATCAAATTATATCCCTGGTGTTTGAAATCTGTTTGAAAATATATCTTTAAAAATTGTCGGATAATGACTGTGCTGTGTCTGTATTAACCCTAACCTTCCCAAATCCTCCAAAATCCTCTTTGCAAAACGGAGGATTTTGCAGCATTGAGGGCATATGGCAAAAGTGTTTGGCTGATTTTGGAGGATGCACTGTGTCAAGGTCTTAGGCCGGATCTTGTGTTGTTTATGCTCAGCCGTGCATAAATTCAGGCCTATTTTATACTTGAAATCCTCCTCACTGCTCCAGGATGTCACTGGCTCTGCCTCAACATATTGACAGTGATTGCCGGAGGATTTTGCAGGATTGAGGCAGTGGTCACCCCTCCCAGGACCACATTCAAGAAATAACGTATGATTCTGAAGGATTCAAGCTGTATGCTATTTTTTACATAGAGGCAGTTAGATAAGTTTGCAGGATTGAGGTTGCATCCTAGCAAAAATGCCCAGGGAGTTAGGGTTAAGCTCTAGCATATGCTTCAGTCAGCATTGGAAAAATTGGTTAGTCCACGTTTGCCATAAAGAGAAAAGAGTTTGCAGAATTTGAAGTTGTAGAACTTGAAATTGGGAACCAAAATAGACGAAAGGGTAACCGAGAGATGCTGAGGCTCCCCTTGGACTAAAACCTTAGCTAATATTTTCCATCTGTGCTTATCACAAGCCGTCTCGACATACTCCTTTCTAGCATGATGCCGACACAGCTGCAGATACTGTCGAGCACAGCATAGCATGCATACCTGACTCCCTTGGTTATATTGGCTTTTCGGAAGCCCGGCACGTATCCCTCCCCACTCCACAGACCCAGCTGGCTGTGCTTCGGATAGATGACGTTCAGCGGTACCCTGTTGGTGCGGACTCGCTCCCCCGTCCTTGGGTGCTTCGCCCAGTCAGCTGAAATTCAACAACAAAATTTAAGTGGATGTCTGGTCAAGGAAAATTTGAACCTTCAGAAAATATATATTTTTTTTTTTTAATTTAACTCTAACTCCCTAGGCATTTTTGCTGGGATGCAACCTCAATCCTGCAAAATCCTCCAACTGCCTCCATGTAAAAATTGCATACAGCTTTAATCCTGCAAAACCCTGCGTTATTTCTTGAATGTGGTCCTTGGAGGGGTGACCACTGCCTCAATCCTGCAAAATTCTCCGGCAATCACTGTCAAGGTGTTGAGGCAGAGCCAGTGACATCCTGGAGCATCGCGGGGGATGAAAAGTATAATCTAGGCCTAAATTTGTGTATGGCTGGGCATAAACAACACAAGGTCCGGCCCAAGACCTTGACACAGTGCATCCTCCGAAATCAGCCACACTTTTTTGCCAGATAGCCTCAATCCTGCAAAATTCTCCATTTTGCAAAGAGGATTTTGGAGGATTAGGGTAAATTTCATGTAGCTAAGCCGAAAAAGATATTAAACGTAAATAAACACAAATCCATTTCTTAGGCTGTATCAGAACTACCTGACTATGGATGGAAATAACACACGCAACTGTGCGAAGTGGCTTCAGCCACTTTTCATAGGTGTGTGTGTAATTTCTAGCCGTAGCCACGTAATTCGGACATGGCCTTACTTCCTGGATCGTTCCAGTACAGCACAGGTGGCTTGGCGCCTGGTTGTCTTTTCCATTTGAAATAGGCTGGTGGGAGCCTGGATGCTATACCTTCGCTGTAAAACCCCTGTTCAAAAACAAGATGACAATCAGATTTTAATGGTTGATTTGAATGGTTTCCAAAGAGAATACACGATATAATGTCTATGGACAAGAGTCTGGCACATCTAGTTGCAGAGTAATTTTGCAAAATACTGTGAAGTGATGTATGAAACCCTCTCCCTTCCTTCCAAGGCTTGATGAAAAGAATGTAGTATCCTGATACCACTCTGGTGATTGCATGCAAAGTCTACGAAGAGTGATTACAATCTTTGACACATTGGCTTACAAAAGTAGACATGTTTCTCGCTCAAAAACTTATCCTTTTGAACTTGATGAAAAATGCCATCATTCGTATCGCATTCAACCTGTTTAAGTGACAGCCTGTAATTCGTAAACGCCAAAACGACCATGAACATGAGTTCATTGACAACAAAACCATCTTGTGAAAGGAAAGGGGTTAAGGAAAAAGGGAGGGAAAAGGAGCAAATTGATTGGGTACATAATAACAATAAAAACATACAAACAAAACATAAACTAGCATGACTAGAAATAGAAAAGAAAAAAACAACAACCCCCAAAAAGTCACCCTGAACTAGGCTGAAGGTAGCCCGACTGCGTCTGGCCGTACAGTACTATCGCAAGCTCTGTAGTACAGCCAGACGCCCGATGCTTCCACAGAGACTGAATTTTTTGGGCCGCCGATGTAGCGATATTGCTACATCTTTCGATCGCGATTATCTTTTCATCCAGGACACAAATTTCCAAAGTTACGGTTCGTAGTCGTAGAGCAACTCATACCTTTTCGAAAAATCGTTGTTTGGTCTCAATATTTTCATCCATCTGGCCACAAGACGAATTTCAGTAATCAGAATCCGCAAATATCGTCCTCCATGCGATTTCCCATGCGATTTCAAAATGGCGGCCGCGCTGTAATGTATGCAATATGCAGGCGCGCCCGCGTAAACTCATGAATATGCATAAACAGTCTGTGACGTATGACCTCGTGTTTTTGGACGTGCGTGCGGCGGGGCCGTACGTCCAAAAACACGAGGTCATACGTCACAGACTGTTTATGCATATTCATGAGTTTGCGCGGGCGCGCCTGCATATTGCATACATTACAGCGCGGCCGCCATTTTGAAATCGCATGGGGGATCGCATTGGGGACGATATTACTGAAATTCGTCTTGTGGCCAGATGGATGAAAATATTGAGACCAAACAACGTTTTTTCGAAAAGGTATGAGTTGCTCTACGACTACGAACCTTAACTTTGGAAATTTGTGTACTGGATGAAAAGATAATAGTGATCGAAAGATGTAGCAAAATCGCTACATCGGCGGCCAACAAAATTCAGTCTCTGTGGAAGCATCGGGCGTCTGGCCGTACTACAGAGCTTGCGATAGTACTGTACGGCCAGACGCAGTCGGGCTAGGCTGAAGGCTAAGTTAGGATAAATAGATTATGAATGAATATTTACTGTCAATAAAATCGTTACACTAAATTAGGTATTCACCATGGAACATTAAAAAACAATCATAACAAATAATCGTTCAAACATGTCATGTGTGTCGGAAATGAAGGCATAACGGTTTAATGGCATGTGATAAGAATTATGTCGACTCCACTTTTCCGACCGAAAGCCAATTATAAGCCTTTCCGAGCAATTCTGAATTTACGCATGCCACAAAACATTTTCATCCTACCGGTCTCTTCCTTCTATCGAATATGATTTTCTCTGGTTTGGGTGCCTTTTCGAGATTTTTAGCAATAACGTTAAGTTTGTTGGAGATGTTCGCGGTGATCGAGCGCGCCGCCATTTTGATTCTGACTAACAACATCCAAACTAAATGGCATAAAGCAAAAGGAGATCATGGCCGGCAGCTACATTCGTTGAAGCGAACTACAACTTTTACCCGATGTATTTTAAAAAACCAAGACAAATGTTGTGTATCACATAAAAACTACTGCTATTGGTCTATTATTGAGAATCATTTTCTCAAAAATTAGATTATTAAATTGCCTTACTTGAGTAAATTTACAAATGAGATACAGTTACCTAATAAATATTTTGTTTTCAATATTAATATATAAAATTATAATTATAATATTACCTAAAGTTCAGAAAACAAATTAACTGAAAAAAATATATTATCCAATCAGAGTGATTGTATTTTAACAGCACGAGAATAGTATCCGGACGACACTATCAACAACTTGTGAAGGAGCATCTCTCATAGTTTGGCTTGAATCATTCAAAACATTTTTAAGGTATAAATAATTTGGAATTTTCTCTTTTCAAAATAGAATTGAAGATGACCAAGTTGCATTCCAGCGACAGAGTGTATACTAAGTCAGTATTTGCATGATTTTACGATAGTTTGCATGAAATTTCAGGCGGTTGACATCTGCAGTTCACACATGTATGCACATTAAAAAGGGAATTTACAACATTTGCAAACATCGAAAAATAAAACTACCAAGTTTTTACGAAATACCTTACTAGGATGTTGCTAAATGACAGTCTAAAGCATCCTGTAAAATTATGGCACCTGGTGTGAAGTCATTTTCAATAAAATGGTATTTTTGTGTACATTTCCAACGGTGGTCGGCTGACCACCGTTGGAAAAACCTTAATATTTTTCAACTACTGCTCCAAATTTACCATTTTTTAGTCCAAATTTTGTTTGCTATTGGTTACATGTTCATGAACGTGTGCAGGCCAGCTAAACTGGTTCCCTTACCTTACAAATTTCCGGCATCTATAAATTGATCCATTTTATCTTTAGTGGAGTCAGGGAACCAGACTACTTGAACATTTTTGTTTTTCTTGGTTTTTCCAGCATTTTCGAACACAAAACTTCAAACATGTCAGTGTAACAATATTTGATCTATTAAGTATTTAACCCCTCAAATAGATCATTTCTGAAAATTACAGCAAAAGCCAATGATGTACATTCCCTTTAAGTTGTTCATCAACATTGCATTGCCTAGGGCTTCTAATTCTAGCATTGCCTTTATTTGCATGGAGTGTAGCCTTGCAATAGCTTGGGCACTTCTTTACTTGTCGCCTTTTCTAACATTGAAACATGGTCTGGCGATAGACCATGTCCCAATGTTAAAAAAAGATAAGTAGGGCCTAACTAGGGCCTAACAAAAAACTCGGTCTCGGGCTACGTGGAAAATTTTAAAAAAAAATCTGCCATGATTGTTGGCACTTAACTTGTGAAAGTAATATGACGCAATTTAGTAATAAATAATTGTATTAAATACAAAAGACTTTTTTGTTAAAATGTATTCAGGGCCCTTAAGAATACATGTAGCAGCAGTTCAAATAATTGAAAAGACTACCATGGCTGCCCTGTTGAAACAAAACTACTTATAAAGTCATTTTATCAAAGCCTTTTTAGCAAAATTCAGTGGTTTTTTAATACAAAGTAATCATTAATAATTGCAGTTTCAGGAACTGAAACAACAATCTGCAGTAAGTCTTAATTGCTGGAGATCCATGTAGGGATTCCTAAGTAATGGTAGCTGTTGTTGACGGTGGGACGTCATCTGCCTAACATTGACTGCACAATGGCTGAAGAGTAAGTTATAGTGAAGAAATTAAAATACCATTTTAAGTATTGAAAGTAACCTAAACTCTGATCTTGCATTAAGTATCGACAGTGACTTTCTTAAAAACTTTTCTACACAATAACACTCATGTGGCCCTGAAGTCTGTTGTACCGTTTCTCTTGGTGAATCGTCTTTGTCCTCTGAGAATTATGAGTTGCTGTTTTTTTGGTGTAATTTACAGTGTCGCTACAATTTTAAAACTCTTTATTGTGAGAAATACTAATAATCCTATTTACGTTTTGAATAAGTTGGACCTGTAAAAGTACGTTACCTTTTTCAACTTGGCTAAATAAGTTAATGTGAAAACAAAAACACAAATAAGGACCCAAAACAACACAAATTTATCTTTTCATAAGAATTCAATTTTCAATAACTTTTATCTCTAATTGACCAGCCGTGGTGCATTTCGGACGGGCTTTCGCCGGGCGGAACTTCTCCGGGTGCAGAAAGAGATCGAAAACATCAAGAAGAGGTCCCAGAAGGAGGCGGAGTTTACCAAGGAGCAGCAGAAGGAGGTGGAAGATGGCAAACAGCGTGTGATCATAAGGTATATGAGCTGTAAGAGTCAGTGATCATTGGCCAGTTTTATGAAGCTGCTTAAGCACAAAAGATTTGCTAAGCACGGAAAATATTTGCTTAGCAGAAACAGGTCACCAGCCAAAAATGTATTGCCCAGTGTGCTGATTGAGACTGGTTTGCCGCAATGTTTGCCAAGTGCATACATTTGTGAAGTGGTGATTTTGGCTTAGTAGCTTCCTGAAAATTAGGCCGATTTCGAAATGTCTCTGAGTTTGTTTCTAGGGCTGTCCATTTGATTTGATTATTCAAAACTGCACTTGACCAAATTTTCGAATATTCGAAACTTGACGATCAAGTTTTACACACGCCAGCTGTAGTAAACGCTGTTAGTAGTAAAATGTTATGGAACGCTGGTCAGAGTGTTTTGCAATTGAAGTAAGTACTGTATAACTGTCCAGGGACTTTACCCAGCTGAAATAATGGGACCAATAAATACATGTCGACAAGAAAGTTACCGTTGACAAAAAAGTATCATCTGACAGTAAAAAATGCAAATTTCTGCACATGTGCATATTTTTCTCTTTTTGAATATTAAAACCGGCAAAAAGCTATTCTAATATTGGATTGATGACTGAATATACGGTATATTCGAGATGGCCCTATTTGTTTTCCTGAAAGGAAGACAAACCCAGGGCAAAGAACGACAGTTGAAGATTTCATTATAGCATAAAATTGACCAACATTGGATTTGAATACAAGAGAGTGATGAATTTTGAGACCATCATTATGGGGTGGAAGGTTGTGCTTCAGTCGATTAAATGATAAATAAATTAATAATTCAGTTCATTCTAATCAAATGACACGCATAGTGTGGTAACTGTATTCACATTATAGTCCTGATCACGGAGTTGTAATACAGTCAATCACAAGTCTTAACAAATTCACAAGTAGCAGGGGGTGAATTATGACAACAGAATGTCTTTTTCACAGTTTATTTGAGAAGCGCATGTTGACTTGTGATGACTTGATCTGTTTAACCATGCTATTATTTTTAAACAAAGCTCTAATCATTGCTTGCTTGTGCTCGTTTGCTTTTTTTTTAATGTATGTGCATCCCCTGCAGCAACAAGGTCAAGAATGTGTATGTAACATGAGCTCATTCCTTATGTGATACGTCATTTGAAATGTGTTCTATTAATGTTTGTCGTTTGCAGTGAAGACTCAAATTAGGTTTTGCCCTTCACCGACGTATAAACACTGTATACTCAGTGTGTTACAGAGTGTTTATACGTCGGTGAAGGGCAAAACCTAATTTGAGGGCAAACCTTATTTTGATTTACATCACCCCGATGCAAAATTCCATCTTATGAATTGTGCAGTGAAGACTGTTGACATATAACGTCTAACCCTCTCAAAACACCACAAATCCTCACAGTCCGTACTCAGTCTGTTCATCGTTAACCCTAACCACCCCAACTCCATCAAAATCCATCCCCCCATTTTGGTGGATTTTAGGGGGCATTGATCCAGATACCTGGCGTGACTAAATATTGATGGAGTATGATGGACTTGGGCTTAATGGTCTGAAGCAGTGCTAGTTACAGGTATCCGATTGATTTTGCCTAGCTTCCTGTACTGCTATTGCGATAAAAGCCATGTGCATCAAGTCCATGAATGTCAACCAGTGCGTCAGTGGTGGATTTCATAATGTCATGTACAGTTTTGTATTGGAAGCACAGTGACTGATGGATTTTGATGGACTTGGTCCAGTTCCAAGGAGTTAGGGTTATTGTTTTTACTCTTTTTTTAAAAGAAGTTACAGCTTTGAAACTGCAAAGTTTTGAATTTGGGCATCTTAAAGAAGGTCCCTATTAAAAAAAAGCCAAGAAAATGAGGGTTTTAGTATTACATAGTATTATTACATTTTGTAAAAGATAAAACTTGTTCTTCCAACTAATTTGGCTAAACCATTAATTTGTATGCCTCTACTAACAGCTGCACATGACTGCTAAAAGTTTGTGCTAATTGTTTGTGATTGCACTAACCTATTTTTGCTTTTGTTTTTATTCAATGAAGCCAGATTCTGTCTTTGAATGATGGAAGGCAAATGTTCTTGGTTTACTAAAAATAAAACTAACAAAAGTTTGAATCTAATTTGTCATATTAATGGAACCTTTTTGTCAAGTTATCTAGGATATACAATTCTCTTTTTTTTTTATATACTGTAGAGAATTGGCCGTAGATTTTGGCAAGAAAGGCATGCCGTATGTACGGAAGACAGAGCCTCACTTTGAAGAGACCTTTGTCAGTAATCCAGTTCCAGTACAGAAACAAGTAAGTTTGAATATCTGAAAAAGAATATATCACAAATTGTTGTTCAGGTTTTTTTTCTGAAAAAAAAAGTATTGTTTGTTCAGCAAACATCTGTGCCAGGTCCGTAAAATTGGCCCCAGAAATGGTTACATGCTTGCGTGATAACGAACACTGCTCAATTATTTTATTCAGGAACCAGGGAGTGTTCCCCCTTACAATGCCCTGGATAAAGAATACAATGTGCCGCCAGCTGGAAAGACAAAGAAATATCCATATAGCAAGGATGAGACCACTACAACTGAAGGTAAGTTTGGCTTATTTGGACTAGGACCTATGAATATACTTATGATATTTTGGCCCAATAGTCGTGAATCCAAATTAAGTTTTGCCCTTCACCGATGTAAAGACACTGTATACTCAGTGTGTTACCTCCCGAGTGAAAGTTGGAAAAAAATCACTCGGGTGGGACTCGACCCACGATCTCCTGCTTTCTAGTGCAGATGTCTTATCACTCGACCACCTAGCTAACGGGATCGGTTGGCTGGTTCAAATCTGATAGTAGCGAGTACCGCATTAACTATTCATAAGATGGCTTTTTTTGCGTCGGGGTGATAAGTTTTGCTCTTCACTGATGTATAGACACTGTATACTCAGTGTGTTACCTCCCGAGTGAAAGTTGAAAATATTACTCGGGTGGGACATGAATAGTTAATGCGGTACCCGCTGCTATGAGATTCGAACAAGCCAACCGATCCCATTAGCTCTGTGGTCGAGTGGTAAGACATCTGCACTAGAAAGCAGGAGGTCGTGGGTTTGAGTCCCACCCAAGTGATTTTTCCAACTTTCACTTGGGAGGTAACACACTGAGTATACAGTGTCTATACGTCGGTGAAGGGCAAAAATTAATTTGATTTACATCACCCCGACACAAAAAATGACATCTTATGAATAGTCATGAATCCATTGAATTATTAAAGGGGGGGGGGGATAATGATGGATTCAAGGCCGTTCAGTTAAATCGTTCAGGAAATGTTTGCCAAAACACCATGCCTGCATTAGAAGTTACTTATTATTGTGGTTATGAGTTAAGGCAGAGGTGTGTTATCTCAACATTTCAGTCAGTACATACCTGATTGTCATCAATGCATACTCACCCCCACAAAAATCGCATAAACACCTCTGGTTCTTCTCAGCACCTCTTCTCTTAATACTCACTGGACTTCTTAGTTGCAGTCCTCTTCTTGCAAAGCCTCAAATTGGTTCTGGCTTTTTCTTTCACTACTATGACCTGGGTTCACATCCACTTCTGTTTGATTTATTTTCCACGTCAACAGAGATGCGAATCCCACGCGTACAGACCCTTGGTGTCCTCCCATCACGCAGCACCAAGGAGATCGAGGGGCTGCAGTTCAGGATGCAAGGCAAGCCAGCCATGGCCAAGCCAGACTCGGAGATCAAAGCTATCGAACAGGTGAGATGAACAGTTGGCCATTTGCGAGTTAAATTGAATAAAATCTGGAACGCTGACTTCATCCAATGCTTTGCATGTTTTCACTTTGCATTCTTCCGACCAAAGAGACTGTTGCTATATGATGTGATTCGGGGCAAGCCTTATGCTAGCAACCCCCAGCTCCGGCATGGTCTGGTGTCTTTGTGCCATTCTCACCCATTGTGAACAATGTATTGATGCTGAGCGTCTCTTACGTAACTATGCAAGAGCTTGCCCAGAATCCGTACAGCAACAGTGTCTTTGGTCTGGATAATTCAAAGTTAAAACGTGCCAAGCAATCTGCCCAAGTCAGTGCACCAGATGTTTTTCAAATTTAAATCCCAAATTTTGATGGCCTTACTCCAAGTGAGAGTCCAACCGCAATTGCTATTCTATAGAATGGTCAGTCATAAATTAGGCAAAGGGGATTACGACGTATTGGCTAAGGTTTATAACGCATGATCAAAGGGTGATGGGTTCCAATCCACCCTCTGGCCATATGTTGTGTTGGGCAAGCCACTTCACTAAACTCGCCCCTCTCCACCCAACGACATAGATGAGTACAACCTTAGCTGGAGAATAGCCTGTTTCAGATGGGCATCCAATCCAGGGGGAATGCCAAGGAAACCAGAGATAAACACTGGCCTGATATGCCATATCAGCTCAAGACGGACTTTGTTAAAACAAATTTAAAACTGTAACGCTTTGGGATTATTTTCAATTTCTTTTGATTTGGAACATTGATTTTTTCATCTGCTCATTACAACAAATTGAAATTAGGAGCCATCTCAAGTCATATCAGACATTGTATTGTTAAAGTTGCAGATATTGTATTGGATGTAAGTTGCAGGGTTCTGAACAACTTACCTGCAATCTTCCTGTCCCTTCCCAAAACGTACCTGCAAAATTTGTGAGTCAAAATTTGGTGGGTCAAGCAGTTGCTGATGACAATTTCCCAAGAACATGTCCAGGCCAAATGCAGTGCTTCTTCCGGACAAAGAATAATTCTAACCACAACTTGTCCAGAACTTGTACTGGATATGAATTGAGACGGGCCTCTACAGTTTTTATATTTGCTCAAAGTCAGCATAAGGTGCTTTGATTCAGCCAATTTAATCGGTCCAGGTACTGTATTGACCGGCATTCCAGCCATATTTATCCTTCTCATCATTTCCGAAGGTTTAAGAGTTTCAATCGATCCCATTGTTACTTTTTCTTAATTAATACTTACTAGGCCAATATAGACTCCTACCGAGGCCCTCCCCCGTCCATCACCGCCAGATCCGAGTCGGCCGTAGACTCTGCCAGACCGAAGCCCGCCGAGGATGATCTCACCCAACAGCAGACAGCACAGCCAGAGAAACTCACCAAGCCAGCCATCGTTGGCACAGCAGGCACCTTAGCCCCGGTGAAATTCTCACAGAGGGCCAAGCCGCCCGCTAGACCCACGTCTGGGGCCAGTGCCGATGCTCCAAGAAGGAAGATCAAAAGTAAGGGGAATTGATACAGGAGGTTTTCTTAAATTTTTGCCATTTCTCATTGAATACAATTTTTTTTTTCATATCAGAACATGTGCTGATGAGAATAGGCTCAGAACATCAGGTATCCCAAACTTATACAAAATGCACACATCAGGAATATCTAACGAATAAAATGTGACCTGCCATAGCATAATGACGAATAACCCCCACCTTTGACTTTTCACGTTATGAACATCATATTAAAGCGCAAATCATTGGCATTTCAAGGATACCAAATTTATTTCTGTAGCTGAATTTATTCCAAAGATATGAACTTAAACAGTGTCCTGCAAAGTTTCGCTCACCTCATTTTAAAAAAAAAACGACTTTGAAAAAAAGATTGTGCCGCCAACAGCAGTGAAAAACGTTTCTTAGTTTTTCCACTTTTGTGGGTAGTTTTTTCCCAACAAAAATGCACATTGTAAATCTTGGATACCTTGGCTACTCAAAAATACAAAACAATCGATATCAATTTTGATATGATATTTCTAGTATATCCAACTTCAGGCGTCTCACTTTGCCTCAGTAGGTCACAAATGTATTTAAAATGGAACCTGGCAGGTGATCCAAGTTTCAAAAAGCTCTCATTCTAAAACTAGTATTTCACGTCTACTCTACTTTTCCTTTTCCATTTAGAACACTCCTCACTAGAATGTTGCATTCTTCTTATTTGACACGTAATGTCAGTGGCATTACACCTTCTCGTTTTCACACCCTACTATTTCACTCCTGTTTATGCTGTGGTTTGTATAATAACTATAACTAATAAAATTAAAAGTGAACCAGACAGACTAAATTTTCCCATTAAGAGAAAATGGCTATTTTTTTCCAAGACTTTTTCCAAAAGCTCAGTGAATTTAAAGTATTAAACCTAACCCTGCCAGACGCAACACAGTGCATCAGGCGTAAAATCTGTGGGACCTTGCTGCATTGAGCCATCAACACCAGTGAACAAATGGCCAGTTTTGAGGCAATGTGAGCTAACCCCATTGAACAATGCCACAGTTGTATCCTGCTGCATTCGGTGACCACAGACTCTGAGGCAGTTTGGCCTTGCGACTTTTGACCCGATGGATCTTGCTGCACTCAGCAGGCTTGTCATTTAGACAAGTGTTGCAGCAAAGATGGATCTTGATACACTGAGCAGGCTTGTCATTTTGGCAAGTTTCCAGGCATGAGAATCTTCCTGTTTAAACAGGAATTTTTTTTTTTTGGCCCAAATTTCCGCGTTTTTATTAATTTTGAGCCTGTTTTGGGGCTTTTTTGCCTGATTTCACATCTTTTTTCCTGTTTTTTGTGCAAGTATCCTGTTTTTTTATTGAAATTCATTCTCATGCCTGAGTTTTGCATGTTGCTGCATTAAGCAAGGTTTCTAGCCAAAATAGCCCAGGGGGTTAGGGTGTATAATACTGGATTTTAAATCTGATTTCTATCTCTGAAACATATCTCCCCTCTCTCAAAATACTCGGACAGAACTCATCAAGAGCAGCAAGAAGAGCGCCAAGAAAGCCAGGTCAGAGGTCATGGACCCCTGGGTTGACCTGGACTCGGAGGAAGACTCGGCCACTGTGTACCTGAGCGACGACAGCGAAGATCTGACCAGGAGCAGGTCCGGTTCCAAGACTTCACACCTTAGGAAGGCCAGGTCCATGCGGCATGGCTCGGCAGGGTCCAGCAGCTCCCACAAGTCGGCCAGCGAGTTACTGGCAGAGGCCCGGGACATTGCGGGACCGGATAGCTTGCCGGTCTTCAAGTACGTGATAAAAATTCAGTCAGTGGGCGACACATCATTGAAGAATTATCCTTGGGGTTCTGAAACCTTGTCTCCAGCCTTGGTTGATCTCTGATCTCTGAAGTCTTGATGTGAGGTCTTTTAACGTCCAGACTAACAAAAGGGGAAGCCCTATGACCTCAAGGTCTGGAGCACCAAACTCAAGATCTCAGGGTACACCTGCAGGTTGTGGGTTCAGATCCAGCCTGGGTTGGGGTGCATGTGTTCTTTGGCAAGACAATTTGAAATTGACCAATTCCAGCATTATTGAAGAAAATATAATATCTGTGACAGAGCCAATTAACCATTAGATCTAATTAATGATTCAGAGAAATGATCCAAAACTCCTAGTCTATAATCTCCTTGCCCATTACCAGATGATGGATGCATGTATAAGATTTTTTAAAAATAAATACATTTTTAGGTTAAGTCACTGAGCTCTTACAGTATAAAAAAGTCTTATTTGTAATGTCTGTCATGCTGGTATTGCCCAAGTAGTTGCTTATTGCTACACAGGAGTAGATTGGGTACCTATTAGGGCATATAATATTCACTGTGTTTTAATTAGCTGTTTGCATTTGAAAATAAATGGCAGCATTGGGCTATATACTCAAAGGAGAGCTGAGATGGTTGTAGGAATGTTTTGTGGGCTCCGTGCGCGAACAAGGGTTCGCACTTTCGGGAGCCTCATGGACGAGACACATGCATGCGTGTATTTGTTTGCGCGCGAAAAGCGTGACTGTGCACAAGGCCATGGGCCAAAGCGTCTTCGCGTGAACGGCAGGCACCGTCAGCAAAGAATGTCTCTCCGGGTGGTCTCCCCCAACTCTCTCTTTCTTACCGTTGAGGGGGTACTCGTACACGGAGCCCATAGGGGGATGAGCAGGGATAATTTTGATGTGGTGGCTTGATTGCTGAAATTGCTGAATTTGTGTAGTTTACAAATATTATTTTAGCATTAGCACTTGTACTAGATTGTATTTCATTGTGTATATTCACTGTAGAGTCAACAAAACCATTCAGGGTGAGTAAAAAAAAAACGCATCCCAAATGGCAGGACCAATTTTTGCATGAAGTTTTGCCTGTAGCACTTTCAAATCTAGGATATGAAAGCCCAGTCATTAAGCTTTCTTTTAGTACAAGAATCATTCAGATCACTCATGTACTTTTCAAGTTACGACATTTTGAACACAAATATCGTTTTAAAGTTCTGTCCACGGATCACAAAAAAGGTAAGTGTTCTTTCAGCAAAACGAAAACAATGCTCATAGGGATGCATGTGAATTGTTTTCGTTTTGCTGAAAGAACACGTACCTTTTCTTGTTTGTGTTCAAAATTCCGTAACTTGAAAAGTACATGAGTGATTTGAATGATTCTTGTACTTAAAAGAAAGCTTGTTGATTGGGCTTTCTTATCTAGATTTTGAAAGTGCTACAGGCAAAACTTTGTTCAAAAAATGGTCCTGCCATTTGGGATGCATTTTATTTTACTCACCCTGTAGAGTGCTTGTGCGGTTTCGGGCGCTACAGTGAGTTATTCGCAGGGCAGTTTCTGGCACTATAGTGACTATAGGGTTAGTCATTTTCTTCTATACCCTTCTTCATTTAAATCACAGGAGGAGACAGCAGGCCAGGTCAGATAAGCCCTTTGAGAGGCGGGTCTCCAAGTTGAAGGTGGTTGAGCCGGAGAAGGAGGACGTGCCCAAGGAGCGATCGGTGGATGACATCATATCCTCCCTCAAAGCTGCCAGGGAAACTGGGTGAGTCTTGAAATCTCTTCATTTTACAACATTTTGAAAAGCGTAACATTTACCATCAGTCTTCAGATTTTTTTGGAATTGCGGTAGGTATTTTTAATTTATTTCCAAAATGTGAAGCAAAATGTTCGCGGCTATTTGTTTGGAGGAAACATGTTTTAAATGAATAGAAATCAACCAAACATTGAGAAAAATGACATTGTCTCCATTTTTCATTGTCTTTAAAACATGCTGAACAGCATATGAATACTTTATATTTTTCTGAAACAACTACAACTAGACGAGTCAAAATAAACATTGTGGATGTCATTGAAGATACTCCGAGTGACCCTTCATACGTCATCTACAACTATTGAAAAAACCTCGATGCACCATTGAGTGTCATGGCCTAGCGATTAAAAGCACCGGACTCATGCTCTGGTTTTTCAGAGGCAACAGTGGCGTGAGTTCAAGCCTGGACCCGGACACTTGTGCCCTTAAGCAAGGCACTTAACCATTATTGCATTGTCCTTCGGATGGGACGTAAAGCCGTAGGTCCTGTGTGTTGTATAAGGCCTAACGCACGTAAAAGAACCTAGTACCGTAATTTTCGGAATATAAGCCGCGGCTTATACGTTGAATTTGCCCATGAAAATGTTTACTGCGGCTTATACACAGGGCGGCTTATACGCCGAGCCTTGAAGAATAAAAATAAGATTCACATGTATGTGTATTTAATGTACTGGTACAAGAAGAGATGTGTTGCTGAAATGAATTATAAATTAAGAAAGTCATTAACAAACCGAAACCACGTCTCACGTAAAGGTACCGAGCGGTAAAAAGTACGGTGATGAAAGTTGTCTTCGACACTTGCAACCAGCCGTACGTGATACTGGTACAGTGCAGCAGCGATATGCAACATGCTTTCCCCCCAGCGGACCACACCATTTGTGGTAATAAAGGGGTGTTCTTTCTTGGGAACAATAATTACCAATATTTCCGCTGTTTAAAAAAAAAGAAAAAAGACGACTAAAATATTTATGGCCTTCGAAACATTTTTTTATTACATAATCAGTTGTTCAACGTCACAATATATTTTGTTTTCTTGAAATGTATTCAAGAAACGATGTAAAACTCAAAAGAGGGACTAAATCACCCCTTACAAAATTAATGGATTCGTCTATTAAAATGTCCGCTTCGTTTTGACTATTTCCGAAGAAAGTTACGATCGAAACTTGAATTTTTATCGCAGCTACTCGTCAGTAATCGCAACAATTTGATAAGTTTTGATAAGTTTTGAGGTAAAAACGGACCTGTTTATTCTTTAGGACAAAACAAATCAGCATCTGTTGCCACAAAGCAAGATTTGTAGCGCTCCAGTCTGACCAGTCAAACAACACACGGTGGGTTTCATACTCTCTCACGTGCTGTGGGAAAATGTTGTCATTCACCGGCGTGCGTGGCGCAGGCTGCCGGGCTATGACGGGGCAGCCGGCAGCAGTTCCCGGTGTTTATTTCTCATCAATTCCCATATTTGTTTGTAAAAGTATCGATTGTAAATGATTTGATATAACTTTTGTGGTCCTTTAATAGCTTCTGTAGTGTAAATGGAACTGGTTCAGAGCTTTTTGACTAGAATTTGGAGGCCTTACAAAATTGAAACCGCAGCGGTCGGTGCGGCTTATACGCCGGTGCGGCTTATACGCCGACTTCAAATCTTAATTTGCAGATTTTTGCGTGCTGCGGCTTATACGCCGCGCGGCTTATATTCCGAAAATTACGGTAACACTTATCGCTAAGAGAAAGGGTTTGCCCCGGTGTGTTTCTGGACTCATAGTTAAACTTTTACTAGTTTACAGGGTTAACATAAAATCCATTTGCATCATAAGCAAATCACGATTTCTGTAGTTAGCAGTCAGCCTCGATATTTGGCTACTTATCGACCGATTGTTTATTGATACAAGACTGGTCATTTGATTGATTGTCATAAATTTTATTTCACAGTGGCGTGAAATCAGAAGCCGACATCAAGATCCAGCAGATCATGCAGCGGGTCCTGTCCCGCACGGCGGCCGTGCTGGGAACGGAGACAGAGGCCCCAGAAGGGATGGAGCAGGAGGAGGGGGAGGAGGAGCTTGGTGGTATAGAGGGGGAGGCCGACCTCAGTGAACTAGGTATTCCATTGTTTCCAATATGTAGACCTTAAAAAATATATGTCTACTGAGAATTTAATTTCGGATAATAAACTACACTTCACTTTATTTTTGAACGATACAAATTTAGAAATATTACAAAATACCCCTGGCTCACTATTATTTAATTAATTAATAAAACAATGTCAGGCCAAGTTTAAAAAAAAGGTAGTTTCTAGTCTGGCCTTTTTGAAAAGTATAGGAGGCAGGTGCTTTTTTTCTTCTTTTTTTTCCCAAGAAGGTGGCAGATGGATTCTTCACTTTTCTGGACTATTTTTGCTGATACAAAATTGGGTCCAAAAGAATCATAACCCTCTCTACATAGCTATAATTTTGTTGGAAACAAATCAAAAGACATATTGATAATATATGTGATGCGAACAAGCTAAATGAGTCGTTTGTCGGGAATTTTTATTTGGAGATTCAGGCCAAAATAGGGCCACTTCATCACATCACTTCATCACATCTCTTGGTGTTCCGACTTCCATAATTTTTGAACTAAAGATGGTATCAGCATGCGGTTTTAACAGCAGTAATGCTGAGATTGTGCTCTTTTTAAATCTGTAATAAAAAAAAATTGACCAGGGTCGACAAACGACTCAATTAGCCTGATCGTATCATGTATGTGCCGGCAAAACATATTGCAAATGTATGAATTAAAAAAAATTAAAAAGGAGGCGGCCAGAAATAAAGGAAGCGGACAGGGACGAGAAACTGATTAATTTTTTTCTTGGCCTAATTTTAAAGCAGTAGACGCTATGGAATTCAACTTAAAAAAATTATGTCATGAATTCGCCTTAAATTTGAATTTGTTTTCTTATATGCATAAACGCATCCCAGCACGTTTGTTTATGGTGTATTAAAATCGAGGATTTTCTTTTGTTCCTCTTCCCTTTTCCTTTGGTTGAACTTTTTCGCAACAGCTCTCATTGGTTTTGTACACGTTTTCTAATCAAGTTCGTCCTCGATTTGGTTCCTGTCCTCGATTCACCGATGATTTTTCATGTGTGTGTCCTCGATTTACACCATAAACAAACGCCACAGTTGCAGATTCTGTGCATACAGGTTTCTGTGCCAGGGTTGTAAGCACAAAATATTGATTGCATTAAACGTTAGAATTGTTTGGTTAGCAGAGCCATGAAATGGAGCCTTGTTGAGATATTATTTCGTTCAGATATGTGACCTGTTCTGTCAAAAGCAGACGCTTCTGGGCAGAGGTTGAAATTGAGATAGGGCCAGCAAATGCTGTGGGGGTGATTTTTTTCCATTTTCTAATTTTTGCATATTTGTAATCCTGAGCATGTCTAAAATATACTATAAAAGTTTGAAACCCTAATTTGATCTCTGATTATAGTATTTTTGATGATTTGTTAAGGTATATCAGTTAAAGAAATGTCTGTTTTGTGACGTTCGTGTCCATTTTCTCTGTTTTCTACTGTTCGACCCAATGAACTTCAAAATAGCATAACTTTGCGCAAGAATGAGCGGTTTCAAAAATTTAACCACGTATTAAAAGGAAACAGAACATATTTTAACAATATGCAAAAATCTCATTTTTGACCTTATGCCCAGAAAAGTCTGATTTTGACAGAACAGGTCACATATTACTGTGTCGATATTTTTATTTTCTCTGAAGATCTCAAAGACAGTGTTCCAGTCATCACAGTGCTGGACAGTAAAAGCCAAGTATCGATTGGAATGTCAGAGCAGGACGCCCTCTCTGTAAAAGTGGACGACGCCAGCAAAATTCAAGTATGTAAACACCAAAAACGACTGTAAAACATTAACCCAGTTACCCTTCAAATTTTTGCTGGAAACTTTTTACGAATCCTCCAAAACTTGTTCCAAACTGAACAGAATCTTGCCTAATTTGCTGAGATTTTATAAATCTGTTTAGCAGGAGAAATGTAATTATTATCCTTTACTGTGTGTGTGCAAGGTACATGTTGAAATAAAATCCTCAGTACTAACTTTGGAAGATGATGTTTATGGCGGGATGGGGTTGTGTTTGTTTGTATAGTTTTATTTTATTTATTCATATTTTTTTGAGTTGGTTAAGTGGATATTTCAAATGTAGCATACGTCATAAAATTTTAACCAATAGTGTAAACTACTAAGCATCTGATCGAGTTATAGCAGTTCAGTGGGTGTTTCCAGCCCTGATCCTCGTAAATCAAACGGGCCCAGAAAGTGCAAATTCCGACCCTCAATAAAAATCATCTCAATCAGTTTTTTATTTCCCATAGGCAAGCACAGAGTCACTCCCCAGAGTTGACTCCGATAAACTGCCAACGTCGGACACCAAGATCTCCCAAGACGGCACCCTGGAGCCAGAGCCAGCCACTGGGGGAGACAAGGAGGCAAGCACCAAGCCGTCTGTGGTGTTCCAAGAGGAACCCACCGAGATTCAGTGGGAAGAGGAGGTTGACCTACAGCAGGCCTGGATGGTAAGACTAACTCCAGATTCACTTTTATGAAAAAAAAAGTCTAATGAGATCACAAATGTTAAAGGGGAATGTCAGCCTATAAGCCTTAATTCTTGTTCGTCACCCAGTGACAGATATCATAGATAGCGAACCCGGGACCAATTGTTTACCAGTTCGGTGCATGCCCCTTTAAGTACTGTTCCCCTGTGTAGGCCCTTCAGGTACCTCTAAATGTCACCTTCAATTGTTGATTAAACCTTTGAAAGTGAATTCACCTGTGAAAGTCTAAGGGAGCATCAGACTATGAGCCTTTTAAAGCCTTGTTGAACAATACTCAGTGGTAGTCGAAAATGATTCGAACCTAAGACCATCCATTTACCAGTCCAATGCATGACTCTGTAGGACTGTTTCCCCCTCCAAAGACCTGCAGGTGCCTCTGGATATCATCTTTGAAGAGATCATAAATGTTGCAGAGGATCTTCAGCCTATAAGCCTCAAACCTCGTTAAACAATACTCAGTGATAACCTAAGAGGAATGGGAACAATCCACTACAAGTCCTTTGCCTGACCCTCTAATAAGTACTGTTTTCCCCTTGTAGGACCTGCAGGTGCCTCTGGATGTCACCTTCAAGGAGATCATGAATGTCGAAAGGGGAACCTGAGTCTGTAAGCCTCAGGACTCAGGTTCCCCTTTCCTCATACATGATCTCCTTGTAGGTGACATCCAGAGGAACCTGCAGTCTTGAGTCTTGATAAAAAAGATTGAATGATAGCATTATAGAAATCAAACCTGAGACCACTCATTCACCAGTCCAGTGTCTAAGATTGAATTACCATTGTTAACCTCTTCTAGGACCTTCAGGTGCCTCTAGATGTTACCTAGATGCCACCTACGAGGATATCATGAATGTCAAAGGAGAACCCCAGCCCACAAGCCTTGTTAGATAATTTAGATGGTTTGATTCCTATCATGTTATCATTGAATCTTGTTTAACAAGACTCAAGACTGCAGGTTCCTCTGGATGTCACCTACAAGGAGTTCATGAATGTTGAAAGGGGAACCCGAGTCTATGAGCCTCAGGACTCGGGTTCTCCTTTCCTCATACATGATCTCCTTGTAGGTGACATCCAGAGGAACCTGCAGTCTTGAGTCTTGTTAAACAAGATTCAATGATAGCATTATAGGAATGGAGAACCCCAGCCTACAAGCCTAATTAAAAGCCTTGTTAGATAATACAAGACCAGTGCCTTACCCTTGAAGTACTGTTTTCCCCTCCTAGGACTTGCAGGTGCCTCTAGATGTCACCTACGAGGAGATCATGAACGTGGAAGGTGAACCTCAACCGTTGAATCCCAGGAGAGATGCCAGGGAAGCCATCAGGGAACCTATGTCCAAGCCTACCGTCCAGAGCTCCTCGGTGTCTTTCCTGTCCAGCTGGGCACCTCAGGAGAAAGCCCCCAGGGAGGAAGTGAGAGTCTTCAGTTTATGATCTAGAGTCTGTCCCGGGACTCTGGCATTGAGTTGTCCCCTCAATAAAGGATGCAACTTAAACACACTCTCTCGTTTTTGAATGATGTAGACTGTGCATAATCAATTTTTGAGTCTGTATCTTTATTTGAGATGAACGCATCTATTCATTAGTGCATAAAGAAATGATCTTCTGCTGTCTGTTGAAAACATTCACATTTTGCAATAACTTATTTACGGTGTAGTTATTAATGGACTTTTTTGGGGGGAATTTTTATCATTAAGATGCCCGCAGCGGTTAATAAACAGTTCTGAAACAAATTTTTCTATATGTCTTTGAAAGAAAGATGTGTAGAGTGATGATTTTGTTTTGATGATCAGACTTCCAATTGTGTTTATTTTCTGCAATGTCAGATTGTTATTTACTCATAGATCATTATGCGCTACCTTTTAAAAGTTTTATTGTTCGGTTTGCACTTCAGTGGTAAAGCTTTATCCATGCTGTCCCATAAAGACAAATCACAAGCAGAATTTCACCACCTCCTGCTTCTAATGTTGATGTCTTAACTTCAGTATGTCCCCCCCAAAAAAAAAAAATCTGTCTGACTATTTTTGAAATAACTACAAAACCACCAGGTCAGTTTTGAAAATGTTGGTTGTGCAGATACTCCTAAGCCTTGGCCTCAACCCCTATGAGTTTCATTTGATTTCAGTCACGCATCACTACACAATTGTCAATTCATCACAACATTTTTGGAAACTGCGATCAAGTTCCTTGCCTTATTCTATTTCAGTACTGTGTTAAGTAAGCTGTGTAAAATTGTTCATGTTGTGAAAAAGGCTGCAGTTGGGTTTGGAATCATTTGCCTGGCTATCAGTCATCATGGCAAGACCTCAGTTTAATGCTCAAGGGCAAATGATTCCAATCCCAAACCACATCAGCCTTTTTTTAATAGCATGCAGGATTTTACACAGCTTGCATAACACAGCATAGAAAGTGATTAAGGCATGGAACTTGGTCACAGTGTCCAAAAAAGTTGTTGTGATCAAGTGACAATTGTGCAATGATGCGTGACTGAAATTAAATGAAACTCATAGGGGTTGAGGCCAAGGCTTTGAAGTATCTGCACAACCAACAATTTTCAAAATTGACCTCATGGTTTTGTAGTTATTTCAAAAACAGTCAGACAGACACTTTTTTTGGACATACTGCAGAATATCTCAAGAGATTATGCTTTCGACTCCCCTAAACAAAGTTTTGTGATGTTTTTCTTTCTCTCTAAAACTACACTGAGCATACAATGCTCACAGGTGAAAATTTGTCTCACCCTACGCCACAGATTCCATCAAAAGCCCAACGAGAATGGCCAACTTCCAGAATAGACTATAACTTTGGATTTTTTTCCTAACATCGGCAGAGAGTTCCAGAAGCCAAACCAGAAGGCTATCGTAACAGCATCCATCACTTCTGCACCATCCCGGCCCAGCTGCCCATCCCTGGTAGTCTGCAGCTAGCCACGCGTATGTATCACACACCAAGCAAGTATGCCGGTACCGCAAAGCTGCCGCCTACCTCCGTCAAGGTGAGTCAGGGAACCAACTTTAAACGTTGAGTACATCATTTGTGAATTTTTACGTTTGAAGCAACAAAAGTGCTCAAAATCTAAAGAAGGGAGCTTAAAGACTGACCAGATGAATTTTAGCTCGGTGAATGCTGAATATTCCGAGAAAACAATATTCTAGGATGTTGATTTCAATTCAGAAGTTGCCAAGCCATGTTTTGAATTGATTGCAGCTACGCGATGTCACGCACTGAACCGATGAATTAAGCAACTTCGTGCTCGTGTGCGTCGTGTCAACGCTTGACTCACATAAATAATTGAAGTAATTTTGTGCATTTTTGTTTCAAAGTATTACTTAAATTTGAAGTTATTTGCATATTTATGCGTATTTATTTGCATATTTACAACCTTTTACCGGGAATCCCCCTGCCTCAAAAGTGCTCTTAAGTGGCATGTTTAATCATAACGTCCGTTAAAGACAAAAGTTTAAAGACAGAACTTGGCTTTGCATACCGACTTCAGTGGGACGTTAGCGCACTTGGAACGTATTTTGTTACATTAGTATTACACGCTAACGTCCTTTTGCCGGGGACAAATAATGAAAAAACCCTCGAGACAAAATGTATATCAATTTATGTCAAAGATATTTCCATGCTCTATCGATTACCCGAAAAAGCTGAATTTGACCTTTTGACCCATTTTTTCCACGCATCCGACGACTTGTGATGCGACTTATGATTGAACTTGCGATTGGACTTGTGATGTTTCTAACAAACATTTTAACAGGAGCCAAGTGTCTCAGAGAACTCCTATACCCAGACGCTGCGGTCTACAACCTCTCGTCCCAGTCACAGCCACAGCCTTAGTAGCAAGGTAGCCTCAGAGCGGACGGCACAGTACGCCATGGACCAGCAGCAGCGGCTCATGTCGGCGGCTGCCCAGCGAATCCTGAAAGAGGCTGAGGAGAAAACGGGGTCTGACACCCAGACTCTGGAGGCGTGGGAGAAGAGGGCGCAACAAGTGGTGAGTGGGACCGCACTATTCGGACATTTGCGAAACCTTGGTTTTGTTTCCAGTCTGGGCCTCATCTCCAGATCTAGAATGATCAAAGACCGAAATCAACAGTGAATGGACAAGGCACCTTAGTTTATTTAAATTTTAGAAGATTTCAGGCACTTCAAATTTTAACAACTCAAAATATTTAGAAATATAAGTGACAGTTTGCTTTGATTTTTCATGCACTTTCGCAACTCAGGCCATTGGCGACACAGGGATTTTAATTGTAATCACAAAGGAGAAACGATACTGTCTTCTTCCCACGAGTTTTCAACAACAAAAAATATGAAACTATGTCACCATTTAAAAAAACTGAATGTTAGTCCTGGGCGAGTAGTGGATTTTTCTACTTGAGTACTTACAAAGAAATGACTTGCGAGTAGTCGAGTACTCGTGAGTAGTTAACCGAATTCCCATAAAAGCAGAAAAGTGACATATGTGTGATGCGATCAAGCTAAATGAGTCATTTGTCAGGAATTTTTATTTAGAGATACAGGCCAAAATAGGGCCACTTCATCACATCACTTCATCACATCTCTTGGTGTTCCAACTTCCATAATTTTGGAACTAAAGATGGTACCAGCATGCGGTTTTCACAGCAGTAATGCTTAGATTGTGCTCTTTTCAAATCTGTAATAAAAAATGTTTGACCAGGGTCGACAATCGACTCATTTAGCTTGATCGCATCACATATGTTAGTATGACGAGAAGTAACTACAAGCAAATAGCGTGCAAGTCAAACCACATTATTCAGCAATGAGGTATCCTTATTGTGCAACGTTTTGAGTCATTTACTTGAAATATATTTTCTTTTGACGAATGGAATCCTAGGGAGAGAGAGGTGGAGGGAGTGATTCCCTGTTTGCAGGGGACACATTAAGCCGTGAACCCTAAATTACTACTCGCGAGTACCTGCTTCTACTCGCGCCAGGACAAGTACTCGATTAGATAAAAATCAAAAGTAGACCAACGAGTAGCATAAACTACTCGTGAGCACTCAAGTAATCGAGTTACTCGCCCAGTGGTACTGAACATTCATAATCTGTAAATATAGCTATGATGACAGTTGTTTTTAGAAAATATGTGCCTGCCACTACAGATCTGAGTAAGACATATGTAATTTTTTTCACAGATATTAACTTACATTTCTTTTAGGCCAAAAAAAAAAGTGGTGCGGCGACGCGGCTTTTAAAAAAAAAATTTTTTACTTTTTTTCCCTCAAATATCGGCTGATGACTGCAAATGGTGCCAGACTAAATTTAGTGCAAAATATATGGGAGTCCAGAGAGGCCACATAAAGCTTATACTCGATCGTAACCCCATCTAAAAACACATTAAAATTGTGTAGCAGCAGGATTCCAGTCAAACCAGTGAGTTTGGCGGTTTTGAGACATCATCTTACATTTGAAAAAAAACTTTTTCATTTTGCCGATGCGCATGGCTATGCGCGCATACCAGAAACTGGAGACTTTTTTTTGGCATTAGATCTAGTAGTTTTTTCATGTCCTCTTTGTTTTATTCACAGTTTGACGACGAGGAGCTGGAGATTGCTGGCCAGCGCATGCCCCTCAGGCAGGACCAGTCCCGCCTCTACTGGACCCCGGCCCCGCCCAAGATGGACCTGCCCTCCGCCTACATCCGCAGCGTCCTGTACCCAGAATTCCAAGGGGCCGCGCTGGACGAGGACGGCGAGAGGCCAATCTCTGAAGGGGTTGGATTGGAGGAAGGAGGGGATAGCGACGTCGGCCTGGCTGGAGCCTTGGAGGAAGGAGACGATGAGGAGAAAAGCGATTCCCACAGGTTTGGAAAAATTAAAACTGCTTAGAGATTTGTGCTAAGTCTTATCCCAAAGCTGCTTAATTTAATAAGTTTGGGCAAACAAATTTGCTAATCACAGAAAATATTTGCTAAGTTTACCAGCTAATTTGCCATGTGATGTCTCTATTGGTTACAACGATTTCTCGGCTGATTGTTGCGTATTACAATGCTTAGCAAAATACTTAAAATACTTAGCACATTACAATAATAAGCTGAGCACTATTCACAAATTGTATATGTGAGGCATTCAGGCAATATAAGATGGAACTGGGCACAAGCTGTAGTTGGGGAGAAATGCAAACAAAAATGAACAGGGTTGATTTTTTCTTCGATTTTCAGATTTATTGATATTTGTAATCTTTGATATATTATATGTCTACTTCACATATTGTAAAGAAATAGTATAAACGTCGTGGAATAAAAGTGTTTTTTAGGGGAAAAAACTATTGGCATCCTTCATTTTCATGACAACAATACAAGAAACTTTTTTTATAAAGGCCTTTTTCTCAGTATTTTAACTTTTTGACATGTCGATTAATGTGACATTTAAACAGCCATAAATTGTCAATGGAATACCCGCATTGGTCAAAAGTTGTATGCAAAGTGCACGTTAAAATTTGCGTGCGGCGATCGATATTATAGGCCGCTAGAGAATTTTGCAGTATTTCATAACTGCCAAGGGCTTTAACCTGCTAAAAGGATAGGAACAATGAACCGTTGTCAACCAAAAAAAGTTGCCGTCGACCAAAAAAGCAGCATCTGATAATAAAGCTCCTCAACTTTTATGATTAAAGTTGGGATGAGCAAAGTATGCTGACCAAAAAGCTCACATTAGCGATTATAGTTTTACTATAGCCCTCAAAAGCAGTCCCTATTTGTATACTATAACATCCCTCATGAACAGTTTCCTTGATTACATAATCATTCCACAGGCTCTTACAGCATCAGCACAGGTCCTGCGAAGACCTGACCAAACTGGGCTGGCTCAAAAGAGAAGCGGCCACTGCAGTCAAGGTGCCTGGCCAAACTCCATCAAAAGAGGGCGACAGAGACGCGTCGCCGAGCGAAGAGGAACGGCAACAGGAAGGTGCAACGACTGCACCGGTGACCCCAGCTAGGTCAAGCTCAGGTATGGAATCATTTAATCTTCCCTTCTTCTCACTTAAATTAATTTTGTCCCACATGTCTAATTTTGCGTGAACATGTGCTGTCGTTTGCTGTGCCTTTTGACAAAAATCGTTTCTTTCTGTGTGAATGACAAATATTAAAGTCTGACCATTTTCACAACTCATTTGAGTGTTTTTTGCATGAATTTGCATGGAGTGAAATTCTAATATATATTTTTCTTGATGTCAATTGTATCTTTTTGATGTCAATTGTATCTTTTAATATCCACGACTTATTTTCCAAAAAATGAACTTACATCCTATCTGCATGTGGAATGTCTCCCAATTTCAATATGAATGAAGCAAATGTGTTGATTACTTGTGCTTCTAGCTTTGAGTTCGTCAAATATGGATTTTTGAAAGGAATAACATGATTGAGAATAAAAAGTAGTTTATTTCCAATGAAAAGCACAATATACATTTTAAGTGGAAATTATTCATATTAGGCATGTAATATGGACTGCAGATTCCTCTCATTTGCAAGTCATATGGAATCATTTTGTAATCCACCATCACCCTCCACACCCTTACCTGTCTACCCAGGTACACCCAGTGGAACCCAGCTCATAACACCCAGAATTACCCAGTGCTACCTCTTTATTATCATTAGGAGGTTCTTAAGGCACCCCTTGCACCCATTGATACCCATTGATACCCAGAGTGCTGGAATACTTACCATGAAGAGAACCCATGTGGCACCCAGTGGTACCCATCTGTCACCCATTGGTATATGCAGAGTTCTATCATGCGTATCAGACAGAGTACCCGTTTTGTACCTAATTGCACCCAGAGTTCTGTAATACTCATCATGAGGGGCATCCATATGGTACCCAGTGGTACCAAGTATTCCCATTAGTACATCAAGAGGCGAGCCCAAGCATTATACACAGTAGACAAGGACCCTCCAACTGTAACCAGAGTTCTGTCTTGCTTATCAGACAGAATACATATTTGGTACCTAGTGCACCCAGAGTTCTGTAATTCTCATCCTGAGGGACACCCATATGGTACCCAGTGGTACCTAGTATTCTCATGAGCACATCAAGAAGTGAGCCCAAGCATTACCCATGGGGTACCCAGTAGACAAGGACCCTCCAACTGTAAGCAGAGTTCTATCATGCGTATCAAAACAGAATACCCTTTTTGTACCTAGTTGCACCCAGAGCTCTGTCATACTCATAATGAGGGGCACCCATATGGTACCCAGTGGTACCTAGTATTCCCATGAGCACATCAAGAGGTGAGCCCAAGCATTACCCAATGGGGTACCCGGTAGACAAGGACCCTCCAACGGAAATCACACCCTGCACATTTGCACCGTTTGTCTATTTTGTTTTACTTCTCTTGTGTGCCTCTCACCATTAACCATCAAGGTGTACCTAGCCAGGCAACCGATGACACCATCAGCAATGTGCTCATCCATGGTAAGTAGAAACTGCACACTGACGCTTAGCTGGTAAGTAAGCACGTTGCAACTTATAACAGGGACGATCTGTTTAATGTGGGGAAATTGTTTTCAATTACATCTCATGACATGCAACAGCTAAATGTATCTTTGCATGAAAATCGCGTTTGTGTGATTGACGTGGAACATCAGTGTTGTGCTTTTATCACCATGATTGAGTTATGTGATATGAGATGGTTACGTCCATATTTTTACAAATGAATGAAGTAATCCATATTTTAGTGTCGTGCATCCATGAACAATTTCATTTCAGATTTGTTTAGAAAGAGGTTTGGCTATTGGGTAAACAAATTTTGAAAATCATCAAAGAAAGCACAGTCTACATTTGTTGCGAAAATCTTGAGGTTGTCTCTATTACTAATCTCTCTTTCTTGTTTGTGCTATACCTTAAATCTTCTGTATCACATGAAAATAGTGTTCTTACAAATAATTTAATTTTGATACTCTTGCAACTAGCAACCAATAAAAACAGACTATTTTCGTATCAAATGATATCGTTGAGTCTGCAATAATTATAACCTTTTTGTAATAAATGTGTCTCAACGGATATTCAAAGACATTTTAAGTTTTGCCTCTAGTTTTGTTGAGCAGAGTTGTAGTCAGCTCAGTCTCAGTCAAAGCACAAGTCAAATTACAAACAAATCACAAGTCAATTCACAAGTCAAATAAAAATTCAATTCACAAGTCAATTCACAAGTCAATTCACAAGTCAATTCACAAGTCAAATCACGAGTGAAATCACAAGTCAATTCACATGTCAATTCACAAGTCAATTCACAAGTGAAATCACAAGTGAAATCACAAGTTAATTCACAAGTCAAATCACAGACAAATCAAAAGTCATTTCACAAACAAATTACAAGTCAAATCACAAGTTAAATCACGTGTCAAATCACAAGTCAGTTCACAAGTTAATTCACAAGTCAAATCACAAACAAATCAAAAGTCAATTCACAAACAAATTTCACGTCAAATCACGTGTCAAATCACAAGTCAATTCACAAGTCCATTTACAAGCAAATCACAAGTCAAATCACAAGTCAAATTTCAAGATCACAATCGAAAGAAGATGAACAATGACAAAGCAATACCAGCGTAACATTTCCTCTAATTTTCATATCACTTGACTGGAGACTGACTGACTTGGGAGGCGCGACTTCAAACTGTGATATTGTAGTTGTTGTCCAACCTTGATACGTTGCTGTGTTTGTTTTGATATGACAGTGAAGTCTTACACCAGTGTGAGTGAATTGCGCCGCAAGTTCTCCCAGGTCACGACCTCAACCACAAAGGAAGAGAAGGAATCCGAGGAACAAGGGATAATCATTGAGATACCTGAAACTACCAATGCCATTGACACGCTGCAGCCAATCAGGTAGGCCAATGGGACCCTTCCTACCTGTCAGCCAAACTGAGCATTAACCAATTGGAACTTGAGTTTTTAGTCAGGTGACCATGGTAGCTGGGTCAAACTGGGTCACAAGCCAGAAGTGGGTGGGGCTTATGGCCAGATCTGGAGTGGTGTGATCCATTTGATTGAACTAGAAGTGAGAAAAATCATTCAAAAATTATTGTAGTAACTGTAGTTTGACTACATTTCATCAAATGCATGCTTGGCTGCTAATATAAGATGTGTCTCTTGTCTTCGAAGATAGACAAATCGAGTTTCACCCCGAAAGATAGATTTGCTTTTCCAATTACTATTTTCCTAGCAATATAAAAGTTAATCACTTTTTAATGAGACATCGAACAAAAAATCCACCGATGTTTAGTTATTGAATTATTTCTTTACAAAATTTGAATTAGTTGCGGCCAGACAATAATTGGGCTCTCGCAGGGCGGATTCATTTGTTGGAAAAATGAAAGCCCTTTTTCAGAGGGTTGCAGACGCCCAAAATCGGTTTTTAAAAAAATGAGTTTTCCCCTTAAAACAAAACATGCATATTGAAAATTTTTAGTTGGAAAAAAAATTTAAGACAAGGTGCATTAATCTTTTCACAGGTTTGCAGATGCCAAAAGCGGGTAAAAAGAAGGGTTTTTGGTTACAAAAAAAACATACAAATTTGAAAATGTGTTTGCAGCAGAATTTTTTTTTATGAAGCACAGGGCACATATCTTTAAAGTCTCAATGGGACTAAATTTATGGCTGAAGCCTAAAGCTCCAGCTGAGACAAAGCCCATGTTTCATAAACACCCTTAATATCAATTACCTTTCTTGCTGTTTCCCTTAGACATTCAGTTAATTGTAATTTGACTAAATTTCATCAAATGCTTGCTTGGGTGCTAATATTAGATTTGCTGGAGTCTATAAAAGTCTCAGTTGGACTTCATGAGGCTGGAGTCTAAAGCCACAGCTGAGATGGAGCCCATGTATCATAAACGCCCTTAATATCAATTTTCTGTGTTTGGTGTTTCCTGATAGACGCACCCAGTCGGCCCCGGCGCTGTCGGCCGAGTACGACACCCTGATCCTGGACGATGACTTTGACACCTGCATGCAGGAGGTGCAGAAGCAGCAGCAGCAGATACAGGACGTCAAGGCCGCGATGCAGCGCCAAGGCTCCGAGGAAGATGAGAGCGAAGACATTATAGGCGAGGTGGTGAGTCAGTGACATAGTTAAGACCTTTTCCGAGACCGTTCAAGACCTCTTAATTTGATCAGTCATTTATAATTATAATGTGGTGATTATATAGCGTTTTATACCAAAGGTCTAAGCGCTTCACAATTAGTACCCCTGTTCATCAGGCCATGAGACCAGTTTTTGCAGCAGCTCGAGATCAGCACATTCTGGTCTCTCTACCTTCACATACTGCTGGGTGGAGAGAGGCAATTGTAGTAAAGTGTCTCGCCCAAGAACACAAGCAATGTGTTCCCTGTCAGGGTTCAAACAACAACTAATAATAATGTATACATTGATATTGTACAAATTCATGTCAATATGATCAAATGCGCATCACAATTATTATCCCTGTTAATCAGGTCATGAGATCAGATTTGCAGCAGTTCGAGATCAGCGCGTTCTGGTCTCTACCTTCACAGGTTCTCATTTATAGTCCTGGGTGGCGTGAGTCCATTGTAGTAAAGTGTCTTGCCTAAGAAAACAAACACCATGTTCCCCCTCAGGGTTCGAACTCACGTACCACAGCGTGTGAGTCGAACACCATAACCATTGGACCACAGCGCTCCACAACCCTTGCGTTTCTCTGAATTTCTTTACCTGGGTATAATAAACCTAACCCTTAAATCCCTGTACTGCCCCAAACTGCCCTGCCTTGTATTCCCTGAAACCGCCCGAGCGGTCTATGGATTAATCAGTGAATAATTAAATTGTAATACAATATGTAGTACAGGTGTTATGGGTTAATTTTGAGTATTTATTATTGGTGTTAGAAAATGAAGTCTACTTACTGATTCAAGAGCCATGTTTGAAAACAAGGTTTGGAAATTGCCTAATGACTCAATTCCTTATTGGCTGGGTAGCCCTACCCAGTTTACTGCCGGTAAGGTACTCAGAGGGTGCAGGTTCGAATCCTGCTTAGTCAGTTTTTTGTATCATACCACAGAGAAAAGAGCACTGCCACATTCTTTCAGAACAAATAATTTTAACAGGAAACTATTTTTGAATATTTGTGTCATACCAAACTAGTGATGGTTTTTAAATCGGACTTTTTATTTGTTTTTGTTCTTTTGGTAAAAAAACAAATTTTTATTTTTTTTTCATTTCTTGTTGCAGCTGGTTACTATGGCAAGAATGACACCTCAGTCTCCCTCCCCCAATGCCAGCGCCCAGAAACGTAAGTACATGTATTTACCACCAGAATTACCAAGAGATCATTTTTCAACACCCTTTTTTCAGGAGAACCGAGCGTCGTTGACATTTGACGTTTTGGACGGTAAGTTTCTTGTGAGTTGGTCAAGGTGTTCTGAGTCAAACGTTTGTGTCAAACAATCTGAGAGCACTTTACAATTATTGCCTCCACAAGACCACGCGGCAGCTGCTATCAATGCACATTCGGTCCTTTACCCTCACAGGTACCCATTTTGGGTGGAGAGAGGCAATTGTAGTTAAGTGTCTTGCCCAAGGTCACAAACACCATGTTCCTGGCAGGGTTTGAACCCACGTACCATCGTACATGAGTCAAACACCGCAACCACTGGACCATGGCATGAAATGGTGTCAATATTAGGTTTTACCCTTCACTGACGAATAAACACTGTATACGGGTGGGACTCAAACCCACGACCTCCTGCTTTCTAGTGTTGACCTCTTACCACTCGACTACTGAGCTTGCGGGATCAATTGGCTGGTTCGAATCTGATGTACATGTAGCAGCGGGTACCACAATTAAAATGTTCATAAGATGGAATTTTGCATTGGGGTGCTGTAAATCAATATTAGGTTTTGGCATTCATGAAATGGTCTGAGAACTATTTCCAAGGTGAAACAGAACGGGTCATTATTTTAAAAAAGTTATTGTTTACACCAGCAAAATTTGCTATTATCTGTGCATGCCTTTCCTTATTTGCCTGTTTTGTTATTTTGTTGTTATTTTCTACAGCTTCGTCCCCGACACTGGCAGAGAAAGCTCGGTCGGCTGGTATGAAGTATGTCATGTATCCAAAGAATAGAGGGTAAGGTTTTTGTTCAATTGGATATCAAGAAGACAATGTCACCCAAAGTTTATGGAGGGTAGAGTTGTTAACAAATTTTGCAAGGTCCAGTGCCTTTTGTCATCAGGATTTTGCCTTATGAATTTTACATTTTTGGCACTGCGTGATCATTTTTTTTTTTTTTGAGAAACCTTGTCAAGAAAAGGATTTAGATTAAAATCACATTCCTGCAAATTTTACATTTTTAAATGTATTTCACAACTGATGTGTGATTTAAATGGGTTTTGGCCAACAGACGCAAATTTCTTAGTAGGTTGTTACATTCCTCATTAAGAATGCTGTGTTTTCTGTGTCTTTTTTTCAGGAAAAAGAAAAGGCGACCACTTGATCCAGTAAGTCGTTTTTCATTATCTTTCTAAATTTGATTAATGAAGTGTGCACAAAATGTATAAATGAATATGCAAATCATTGTCAGTTCCTTTATCCGACGTGTGTCGGAACTGACCAATAGCAGAGTACATAACAGAGTGCACTGGAGCTCTGGGTGTAGTTGGTAGCATTCCATTGGTTGTTTAAAAAAGGTTTTTGAAAGTACACTTATTAATCGGTTGTTATTTTTCATTCCTTGAAATTACAAGATTTTTCTTTACAAGTATGTTTATTGATTTTCTTTTCTTTTCAAAACTGAGCTCAAAATCTTACAGTTTTGGATTGAGATATTACCTACTCTTCCGTCTTGTTTTACTTTTGTTCACATCTTCATTACCATTTCAATTTTTTTTATTACAACCAGCGTCGACTGGATGCAATTGAGGCTTTTCTGATGCAGCGGCCCAGGAGAATTCACAGGTATTTTACAGGCCAGGGGCCAATTTTCTTCATATTTTAATTTTTATGCCCCGCGGCGAAGCCGAAGGGGCATACTGTTTCCGCCTTGTCCTTCCGTGGGTGGGTGGGTGGGTGGGTGGGTGGGTGGGTGGGTGGGTGGGTGGGTGGGTGGGTGGGTGTGTGTGTGGGTGGGTGGGTGGGTGTGTCCGGATAAATCTTGTCAGCGCAATAACTTGAGAAATACTTAACATATGAACTTCAAATTTGGTTTGTGGATTGTTCTTGGTAATCCTAAGAAGCCTATTGCATTTCGGGCCAAAAGGTCGAGGGTCAAGTTCACAGTGGCTAAAACAATAGAAATCTTGTCAGCGCGATAACTTGAGAAATACTTTACATGTGAACTTCAAATTTGGTTTGTGGATTGTTCTTGGCAATCCTAAGAAGCCTATTGCATTTGGGGCCAAAAGGTCAAGGGTCAAGTTCACAGTGGCTAAAACAATAGAAATCTTGTCAGCGCGATAACTTGAGAAATACTTTACATGTGAACTTCAAATTTGGTTTGTGGATTGTTCTTGGCAATCCTAAGAAGCCTATTGCATTTGGGGTCAAGGGTCAAGTTCACAGTGGCTAAAACAATAGAAATCTTGTCAGCGCGATAACTTGAGAAATACTTAACATGTGAACTTCAAATTTGGTTTGTGGATTGTTCTTGGCAATCCTAAGAAGCCTATTGCATTTGGGGCCAAAAGGTCAAGGGTCAAGTTCACAGTGGCTAAAACAATAGAAATCTTGTCAGCGCGATAACTTGAGAAATACTTAACATGTGAACTTCAAATTTGGTTTGTGGATTGTTCTTGGTAATCCTAAGAAGCCTATTGCATTTGGGGCCAAAAGGTCAAGGGTCAAGTTCACAGTGGCTAAAACAATAGGAATCTTGTATTTATTTTGAGATCATAGGGATTAGGGATTAATTCATATAAAACCTACAGAAGACACTAATGCTGTCAATGAACGTTCCATGTGACCAAGGTACATGTAAGTTGATGTTAGAGTGGTGTTATGTCATGGAAACAGTCACGGTTGCGGGGCATTTGTGTTTGTAAACACACCTGACTTGTTTTTTATTGAAATTGTTACTAAGGCAAGTGTGACAGCCTTTTAGTGTGTTTCACTTAAACTATGTGCCCAAATTGAAATTTAATCTGGACTTTGAACAATTTGGATAATCATTTTAATATTGACACCATCCTTCTTTCAGGTCGGAGAGTCTTCCAAAAATCCAGATGCCTGTTGCTTGGGGCTTGCGGGTGCCGCCGTAAGTTTCTAGTTGTTTTGGTCTTGTTTGCTTTAGATCATTTTTAAAATGTCTACCACTAGAAACCTGAATCTTACTGCAACCTATAGACCTTTATGATGCTGCCACCATTTCAGTCATGTTCCCTTTATCCAATAACAGTACTGAATGATAATGTTTTCTGTGCAAAAAAGGAACCAGACTATTTTTTCCTTCCAGCCTTGCTTTGGCAACGTTGATTTGAATTGGAAAAAAAAATCAAGATGGCCGCAACATGATAATGGTCTATAGCACAAGAGTTTGTTAAAGGGAAAATACAACATTTGCAAACATCAAAAAATTAAACTACCAAATCATTTTGAAATACCTTGCTGGACTGTTAGTGAATGACAGTGTAAAGCATCCTGTAAAATCATGGCACCTGGTATACTGTCATTTTTAAGAAAAGTGGTATTTTTGTATCAATTTCCAACGCTGGTCGGCCGACCAGCGTTGGAAAAAACTGGCTTTTTTCAAATACTGGCCTCAATTGACCATCGCACTTGTTTGCAATCGATTACACACCTATGAACGGGTACAAGTCAGCTAGACTGGTTCCCTGACCTTACAATTCCCCAATGTATGTAAACTGCTCTGTTTCTTCTTATATGGAGTCAGGGAACCAGACTACAGGAAAATGATTGTTTTCTTGGTTTTTATAGCATTTTCGAACCCAAAACCTCAAAAAAGTCAGTGTAACTATATTTGCTATATATTTCCAACCACCCAATTCCATCCATTTCTGAAAATTACAGCAAAAGCAAATGATGTATATTCCCTTTAACCCTAAAGGGGCCGGGTTATTTTGACCATCTCTCAGCCGGGGGGGGGGGGGGGGGGGGCGGATTCGGCCCCCCCCTAAGATCTCGGCCATCGAGTGACGAAAAATTTTGAAACTCGATACATGCATAGAGCAACTCTTCCTTGACATACCCAAGAAATTTCATGACTATAGGTCAAAGGGTTTTGGAGTTATGGCTAATAAATTATTCATATGTACGAATGGCAATTCTGCTCTGTGTACACGACGTATATGCGAAAATCCAGTTTTCACGGCGCGTAGCGCCGGAAAATTTTTCGCTACGCGGCAACCCGTGGTCCGATTTTTACGTTTTTGGTATCAAAAGATGGGCAAAGCTTGAGGCTAAAAAGTCATAACAGCTCGGGTTGCGAAAAAAATTTTTTTAGAGGCTATCACGGAAAATGTTGAAGGGGGGGGGCGGATTCCGCCCCCCCCCCGGCCCTTTTAGGGTTAAGAAGCTGTAATAATGGCAGCTTGTTGTAAATGTTCATATTGGGTTTTGGCTCAGGTGGTCTCTTGCGGTACAGGGAGTAACAGGCAGGATGGTTGGGGCAGTACAGAGATGATTGGGTTAATGTGGTTTCTTGTGAAACGTCTTGTATCTTCTTCTTGTTTGTCTTTTCCTGCATCGTTGCACAGAGTGTCAGTGTTTTGGACTTTACAGAGCTGTAATTTCATCTTGTCTTTTCTCTTTTAGGAGGGTCCGATCTCTGAGGAGAGGTAGTCTACCCGATTCACTGGACTTCGACGAGTACGTCAGGGAGAACAGAGACAAGTGAGTAACAGCCTGCCCAGAAATGTTAAAAAGCTGCCGCCCACGGGTTCCAACTACTCCCCTCAATTGTAAGAAAGGCAGAGTTGGGGGAGACCACTGGGAGAGACATTCAAACGCATTGCTGATGACGCCTGACGGTCATGCAAAAACGCTATGGCTTTGTGTAGAATAAAATAAGTCATGCATTCTTCGCGTTACACGCATGCGAACCAGTACGTGCCCACGGTCCCGTCCACTGGGCTTGCGAAAATGGTCAAAAAGCACCTTCTCTTGTTCGTGCAGGCGCCCATATTTACGAGTCATTATTGAGTCAATCACATGTTAAATCTGCGGTCGGGGATGAACATTGACATTGAACAAAGGGATGTCTTTGTCACATGTCTTTTTTTATGTTAAAGGGAATATACAACATTTGCAAACATCGAAAAATAAAACTACCAAGTTTTTACGAAATACCTTTCTAGGATGTTGGTAAATGACAGTCTCAAGCATCTTGTAAAATTATGGCTCCTGGTGTGAAGTCTTTTTCAAGAAAATGGTATTTTTGTAAACATTTCCAACGGTGGTCGGCCGACCAGCGTAGGAAAAACCTAATTATTTTTCAACTACTGCTCAAAATTTACCATTTTTTCAGTCCAAATTTTGTTTGCTATTGGTTACATGTTCATGAACGGGTGCAGGCCAGCTAGACTGGTTCCCCTGCCTTACTATTTTCCATCATCTATAAATTGATCCATTTTATCTTTTGTGGAGTCAGGGAACCAGACTACTGGAACATTTTTGTTTTTCTTGGTTTTCCAACCTTTTCGAACACAAAACTTCAAAAATATCAGTGTAACAATATTTGATCTATTATACTAACCTCTCAAATAGTTCATTTCTGAAAATTACAGCAAAAGCCAATGATGTACATTCCCTTTAACAACAATAATTCTTAGAATAAATAATGCTCATTTAATCTCTTTAGGGATGAGACGGACAACCTGCGTGAGTGGGCGCGAGGCATATGGGATGCCTGGTTTGACGAGGTCTTCCCTCCCACGGAAGCAGATAGCGAGTCGGACTTTGAGGAGGAAATATCGCCGACCATCTCCCCAACCAAAAGGTAACTTCTTTTGAGATTTGATTGTCAGTAATTAAATTTTCAAATTTGTTTTCATTTCTTTTTTCATCTGTAATGCAAAATTGGTTTATGACGTAGTGTGGAATATCTAGGGTCCAGAAAGCTTGGCTGCAATAGAAAAGTCAGAGATTGAGCGTTGATCGTATAAAAGTTGGAAGTTCCAGAGGTCCCCAGTGGGTTCGAATCCCGCTTAAATCTTTTCTGTTGCTCAGTGTCACATGGATACCTGATATTGAATTACACCCTGCCAAACCTTCTTTTGATTCTTGCAAGGCGGGGCTCGACTGGAGTCATATTCAAATCTGTGACCTAGAGTACAAAGTTCCAGAAGTTCCCAGAGGGTTCGAATCCCGCACAAGTCTTTTCTGTTGTTAAGTGTCACATGGATACCTAATATTGAATTACACCCTGTCAAACCTTCTTTTGATTCTTGCAAGGCGGGCTCAGCTGGAGTGGTATCCAAATTTGTGACTTAAGAGTATGATATCCAAGAGGTCCCCAGTGGGTTCGAACCCCGCTCAAATCTTTTTTGTTGCTCAGCGTCACATGGATACCTGATATTGAATTACACCCTGTCAAACCTTCTTTTGATTCTTGCAAGGCGGGGCTTAGCTGGAGTCATATCCAAATCTTTGACCTACAGTACAAAATTCCAGGGGTCCCCAGTGGGTTCGAATCCCGCTCAAGTCTTTTCTGTTGCTCAGCGTCACATGAATACCTGATATTGAATTACACCCTGTCAAACCTTCTTTTGATTCTTGCAAGGCGGGGCTCGACTGGAGTGGTATCCAAGCCTTTAACCTAGAGTATGAAATTCCAGAGGTCCCCAGTGGGTTCGAATCCCGCTCAAGTCTTTTCTGTTGCTCAGCGTCACATGGATACATAATATTGTATTACACTCTGTCAAACCTTCTTTTGATTCTTGCAAGGTGGGGCTCGACTGGAGTCATATCCAAATCTGTGACCTAGAGTATGAAATTCCAGAGGTCCCCAGTGGGCTCGAATCCCGCTCAAGTCTTTTCTGTTGCTCAGCATCACATGGATACCTGATATTGAATTACACCCTGTCAAACCTCCTTTTGATTCTTGCAAGGCGGGCTTGGCTGGAGTGTATCCAAATCTATGACCTAGAGTATGAAATTCCAGAGGTCCCCAGTGGGTTCGAATCCCGCTCAAATCTTTTCTGTTGCTCAGTGTCACATGGATACCTAATATTGTATTACACTCTGTCAAACCTCTTTTTGATTCTTGGAAGGCGGGGCTCGACTGAGTCATATCCAAATCTGTGACCTAGAGTATGAAATTCCAGAGGTCCCCGGTGGGTTTGAATCCCGCTCAAGTCTTTTCTGTTGCTCAGCGTCGCATGGATACCTTATATTGTATGACATCCTGTCCAACCTTCTTTTGATTCTTGCAAGGCGGGGCTCGACTGGAGTCATATCCAAATCTGTGACCTAGAGTATGAAATTCCAGACGTCCCTAGTGGGTTCAAATCCCGCGCCACTCTTTTCTGTTGATCAGCGTCGCATGGATACCTTATATTGTATGACATCCTGTCCAACGTTCTTTTGATTCTTGCAAGGCGGGGCTCAGCTGCCAGCAGCGTGCTTTCCGTGGAGGTTGACATGACCGATCCGATCATGGAGACAGAGGAGGACAGGGAGATAGTGGAGGTAAGGCCTTATTAAAAAAAATTGACGAGACTTGATCGGTGTTTAGTAGCTGTTGCAGTTATTGCAACGGTAAATGCAAAACGTTGCAACTTTTTGTCAGCTGTGTTTCCATCGTCTTTTTCGTAACATAAACAATTTGTGATCGCGGATTTGTTTGCTATTAACCTCAATAGACATGTGTTCATTAAGGGGGAGTGCATCATTTGCAGCTATCCAAAAAGTAACTGAAGAAATTATTGTTGAAAAACATACTTGGTTTGAAGATAGTAATGGCACTAAACTCTCCGGGTTATTTCCAAAGGTGCGTCTAGACGCATTTTTCAAAATGTCCGTTCGTTGTTAGTTTTTAATTCGGCGAAGCCGTGAATGGATGCGCGCAAGCGTTAACTTGCGCAGTTGCTATAATTTGTCGGTTCAGTGCGTGACATCGTGTAACTGCAAACGGCTGAATAAGATCGTGTCCCGTACACTGATTTCGGGCGCAATTCAAAACAAGACTCGGCAACTTTTGAATTGAAATTCGAGATCCTAGAATATTGTTTTCTCGAAATTTACAGCATTTACTGAGCTAAAACTTCATCAGGTCAGTTATTAAGCATCTGTCTTTAGATTTGTAGCACTTGTGTTGCTTCAAACGAACATAATGCACAAATTACAAATGATTTACCCTACCTTTAACTCTACTCTGTTTAACCCATTTTAACATTTTCCAAATTTTGATGTGGACATGTGCAGTTGAAGTATCCAAACTGGCTTATGAGAAAATTAATTGTGTGGTAAAATCTATGTTTGTTTGTTTTTTCATTTTTTTTTATCAGTGGCTACATGAAGAGGTATTACAGCTGACTGCGATCATTGAAAAGTCTCCCCAACCCTCGCCCTTTGATCTCTGTCGACGTGGAGCTATGTATCGCAAGGTAGGTCCGAGTTTCAGGATTTTTGGAGAAAATATGGGCAGCTCCCTGCTCTCTTTATGTGACATTTTCTCTCACATGGAGCAAAATGTAGGAATTTTTTTCTTTTTCTCCAAAAGTGGAATGTTGAACTTTGTTAGCTGTTGCCAGCTATGCATTGGCTCTGTGTAGAGCTGCTATCTTGGAATGTTGCGTATCATTTGGGCACAACTGTATTGGGTTGCTAAAGTCTGACACACGCTTTTCCAATTTTACCGGTTCACCTGATCATCAGGTCATAGTACAGAGGTGTGCGCTGAAATTCGGACCGATCTGACCCTACACTGGGCGACCGGATGAAATCAAACATGTTTGATTTTTGCGCATCTGATTTCATCAGATCCGATGTCAACAGAAAGGTGTGCCGGCTGCACTTCGATTTCAACGGACGCAATGTTTATGTCAACCAATCAAATTCGCGAAGGAATTCACATGATTTGAAAGTGACGACTGTCATTTTGTTATCATGTAACTGGTCATCGTGTGTTTGATCATCCTGTGACCGATTATAGAACGGTATCAGGCATGCGTGCGGGTAATGTTGCAATGGTGAAAAAATGCACTGGTGATATGGTTTGCGCCGTGCTTAAGCACGCAATTTTCTTCTTAAGGAATTTCATTAATTTCGAAGAAACAATGACAACTCGGTAATGTATTTTTGCTCTGCAAATCTTTTCTGAGGTTAGCATAATTCTGTGTTGTCATAGGAGATACTGTTCCAAAAATATTGGCCCGAGTACTATCTTGTACATTACAAGTTGCAGTGCCATGGTCACCTTGTGAAGAATTTTGGCTTCATTCGAAAGAAATAATGAGAAAATATCCCTTTTTTTCTCACCAGCTGGGTAAGTTGAAGCAAGCCTGGGACGACCTGAACCAGGCCATCCTGCTGGAGCCTCTGCTCCTGGATGCCTACTGGCATCGCCATCTGCTCTTCCTGCTGCGACGCAAGCAGACCAAAGCCCTGGAAGACCTCAACACCATCCTCAAGATCAACAAGGAACACGTGGGTGCTTACAGATCCAGGTCAGTATTCTACTGCTGTTCCCCGGACAGTTTCTGTTTAGTGTAGGATCCTGTATGCCTGTCAGCCCGACCCATGCCCGTGCTGTAGTCGCTTGCTAAAACTGATTATAAATATATCTAGAAATGAGAACTTCCAGGCTAGTTACACATGGCTAGTGAGCTGGATAGCAAGGCTACAACATAAAACAAGCCAAAAGGCTGAAGGCCCAATACTTACGTAGACAATTTCAACATTGAGAACAGATTTCTTACCCATTATCTGTTAGGGGTTGAATGCAAAATTAAACCTTACACTAATGTTGAATTCTTCCCTTACAATGTATGCTTAGGTATTTCCCATACATATGCCTTTTAGCTGGGCCCCCACCTGTGCTGTACTGGCTTGCTAAAACTCATTATAAATGAATCTAGAAATGAGAAATTCCAGGCAAGTTATACGTGGTTGGGAAGCCATATAGTTGCGACAAACTGGTGATTCAACAAATCTCATCTTCGTCTGTGGCTGTGATTTCAAAGATCTGGCTGCAGAATTATACAGCAGCATTGAACGTCGTTGATCTGTAGCCCAAAGCCAAAAAAACAAAGCTGGGTTTGAACAACAAACTTCACCGAATATTGATGCGATTTCTTTTTTTTTTTTAATATGTAATTTTCTAGGGCTGAGATATTTCGTCAAAGGGGCGACGTAACCATGGCCATTATGAACTACACCCAGACCATCAAACTGGATTCTGAAGACCACGAGGCCTACTACAAACGTGCCGAGATGTATGAAAAGGTAGGGCAAGTAAAAGCTCAGATTCAACTGCGCTATATCAGTGTTGTACAGTCAAGGCAAGTACTAGTCCTCCAAGTCCTCAGACGTCAATCACAAGTCTTTCAGTCTCAGTTCAAGTCACAATTTGTGCAAATGAACTGTCACAAAGGCAGTCCTTTGTATTGGTTAGCCTATTCAAATCCGATTCAGTTCTATCAGTGACAAGATAATTTTTTCGTTTCAGCAAGTCAACCCAGGGGTGTGAAATCTCAGCTTTAAAGCTGATTTCAGCTTTTTTGGTTTTGGATTTCAGCTTTTTTTTCCTCACTTACTGTGTACAAAATTATAGGAGATTTCCAAAGTTCAGCTTCTTTACACCTTTTTCAGCTGATTTCAGCTATTCTTATCAGTGGTCACTCACACCCCTGCAACCCCGGAAACTTGGTAGTCAAGTGGCTTAGACATCTGAACTAGAAAGCTGGTAGTCATGGGTTCAATTCCCATCTGAGCAGACTTATTAGTAATTTTCTCAAAAGCTCCTAGATAGCGCTGAGCATGCAATGCTTATAAAGGCACGTCAGTGAAGGGCAAAACCCAAGATTAACTTTTCATTTTTCTGACATAGAAGTCCATCATAAGTCATTTTTCCTAATGTATTTGCAGCGTGGAGAGATGCTGTTGGCATTGGAAGATTACAGAGAGGTGACCAGGCTGATGCCAAGCAAGACGGACGCGATCTTCAAGAGAGGCATCTATCAGTTCAACAACAACAAGTAAGAATCTTTGAGAGCCTATGCATAGCACGGTCTGCAGGTGTTTTCTCATCCTCAAGGACCCGTAGCACCCTAACGTGCCAAAAGCCCCATGCCCACATAACATTGTTATTTAAAATGTCTACCACTCAGGAACTGGATGGCAGCCATCAAGGACTTCACGGAGCTGCTGGCCCAGGAGCCAGCCAACGCCCTAGCCAAGACCTACCGCGGCCGAGCCTACGCCAAGCACGGCCACTTTGTCCAGGCGGTGGAGGACCTGTCCTCGGCGATACACCTTGACCCGCTAAGCAGCGTGGCGTTCTATCACCGAGGCTGTCTGCTCAGGAGGTAAAGGGGTCATCTGGAGGTTGGGGATCATGGGTAACGAGAACTACAGCCTGTCTCCAAAAAAATGGCACAATCAGAAAAAAAAATTGGTTAAATATGAAATTTCAAAATAAGTCATTCTTACTTGGCATAATATTAAAGAACAAAGACTGGGCTTTCCAATAGTGTTTGTTTGATCTTATTTGCTGTTGTCAATTCAGAGATATAATCAATTTAGTGCGATACACCAAAATCGATTTTGTGCCACGTTTATGCATGGGCAGAGTTGTTTGGAGTACTGTGCCATGCTGTCTTGAAGCTCACAAAAGATTGCAACTTGGCAAAAGAAACAAACTCGATTTTTGTGGTCCGCAGTAAACTGGAGTTATCTCTGGATTGACAAAAGCAAATGAGATGAAACAAAAAGTATTGGAAAGCCTGGTCTTTTTTCGATTGTACCATTTTTTTTTAGACAGGCTGTAAAATGAAAAAAAAAGGGTCACTACCATCATCACAGAGGCACACTGCCATCAATGTAAGGGCTATAATGCAGAGGACTGATGCCCTGTGGACCCCATGTACAAATGACTTCATCAATAGTGAAAAATTCCAGAAGGATTAGGGAAACTTGATGGAAAATAGAAATTTCAAATAGTTACTTTTTGAATTAAACAACAAAATCAAAAGAGCATCAAAATATCACTCCGAAAATATTGCCCAGTACAAAATTCATCCAGAAGTGTGCTTTTAAGAATAAAATTGTCCGCACAAATGTGAATAAAAGTTAGCTTGTTAATTCGGCTTTAATTTGAAAATGTAATGACTGTTAAAAAATGTTCCCTCAGTTTGAAACACACAAGTATTTTAACTAAGTTGATTAACGGCAATTACTTGTTTATTAACTGAGTTACAATCAAGTCCTCACAAGACATCCCAAATCACCCCAAGCCAATCACAAGTCCATCACAAGTCATCACAAGCAAATCACAAACCAATCACAAGCCAATCACAAGTCAATTACAAGTCAATCACAAGCCAATGACAAGCCAATCACAAGTCATCACAAGTCAATCACAAGTCAATCACAAGTCATCACAAATCAATCACAAGTCAATCACAAGTCAATCACAAGCCAATCACAAGTCAAAAACAAGTCATTTACAAGTCAATCACAAATCAATCACAAGTCAATCACAAGTCAATCACAAGTCAATCACAAGCCAATCACAAGCCAATCACAAGTCAATCACAAGCCAATCACTAATCAATCACAAGTCAATCACTAGTCAATCACAAGTCATCAACTCTCGAGCATTCCTCCTGCCACTTTCATCTTGTTAATTGTGCCCTTGGTTGTGATTTGACTTGCGATCGACTTAGGATTGACTTGTGATTGCCTCAATGACCACTCTGAATTTAATGTGTATTGGGACCACTTCCTACAGGGCTAATCCCAAGCAGGCTCTTCAGGACCTGAGCGTCTCAGTTCTTCTTGATGACAGCGAAGAAAACGTCATGGCCTTCTTCCACCGAGCCGTGCTGTACATGGACGATGACAGGTACATTCATCTTAAATTTGCAAGTCTCCCTATAAAGAACACCAATATGGCTGGTTCATGTTCAGCACAACAGAAAACTGTAAACTAACTTCATATTTAATTGGTTAGGAGTAAGTGCACAGGATGGAACGTTGAAAAATAAAAATTGGTTCGCAAATAATTTAATACTGTGTGCTATTCCTTCTATGGTACAGATATGAGGATGCCATCGCAGATTTTGATAATGTTCTGAAGCTTGACAAGACCATAGCGGCAGCCCATGTCAACCTGGGTCTGATCTATATGACCAAGGTGGAGAACTACCACAAGTGAGTAAATCTTCAATCACAATTTATTCCCTAAAAAAAAATCATCAAAGTTTGGGATATTGATATAGTTTTCCTTCAACTGTTTAAATATATCTAGCCCTGGTAGTTACTGAAAGATGACTTTGAACACGTGCCGACTATTGAATTATGTAATTACTCAGTTTTTGAGCTTACTACCTACAGCAATTGGAGGCTTCCCCCTTCTATTCCTTGGGGAAATAATAGCCACTTGTCGCTCTTCTCGTGACATTTTTCAACCACAATGTTCAGTACGTTTTGTACACAAAAATCGGGGGCCAAGGACGATGTTCGGTATAGCTGAATGTTCGGTATAGCGGTGTTCCACTGTGGTACTTGAACTCTCATACAAGTGCTCTGGTACTTTTACTTGACTGCTTCCATGCAGTTGTTCTTTAGTACTCGCGTGGGCTGCAGTCCAGTTTGCCCGGGTTGAAAGACTTTATATTTTCCTTCTCATGTGTCTAAGATTAAAACTTGGGCCAACGTCAGTCAGCTGCTTGTGATTTACCTCAAAGTTAATGACGTGACACTTTTTTTTTGGCAGAGCCATCCAGAAGTTCACCAACGCCATCAAAGTCAATCCCGTCTACGTCCGCGCCTTGGTGTGCAGAGGGGAGGCCTACCACAAGATTCACGATGTAATAACAACATATTTGTTTGGAATGGTCATACGTAGTACAGTAAACTCTGGGTCTCGGTCTCGACTTTGGACCCGGAGGTCTCGGTCTTGGTCCTCAGGTCTCGGTCTCGGTCTCGAGCTTTCAGATCTCAACTACGAAACTGATTTCATTTCATTTTAACTCCTTGTTACCTCTTTAATACCAAGATCCACTATTTGAACAAAAAAATAAGATAATCCACCTTTCATTTACTGATAGTTTTTTATTTGCATTTATTCAGACTTGGGGCCAACGGTTTTTCAAATTACAAAGTCTAGTCTCAAACTAAGCTTCATTCACTTAATATTCCTTATTGTTTTATCTCCTTGCAGTTGAAGAATGCCCTGCTTGACTTCACCAGGGCAATACACCTCCGACCAGACCAGCAGCATTACTACATGTACAGGGTAGGTCCCACCTCTCTGATATTGTATAACGAAGGCAATTACAATTTTGGGTTCTTATTTTATGTAATTTTCATACAGATGTGACACACGGGAATTTTGTTTATAATTTCAGGGAGAAATCTTGTTGGAGATGAAGAATCTGGAGTTGGCCAGCTTCTGTGTCAAGTAAGAGCAAATATTTTTCTCTTTAAAATTGGCAGTAGCAGCTGAGAAAAAAATATACTGAAATGAAGAGTTGGATAACATACTCAAAAAATATATTAAAAGACATTTGAAATCAAACAATTAAAAAGGCTTGATATTTCAACCTTAGCAAGGCTTTCGTCAGAGGCAAAAATAAAGTTGAGATCTTCTGAAGAAGGCCTTGCTATTAAAGGCTGAAATATCAGGTCATTTTAATTTTTTGATTTGTACATTTCAGTTCAATCCAGTCAGTGAGCAGATTTGCAGCATTTTAATTCAGTTTCATAAAAGAAATGTGGTTCGCAAATCACAATGTCAGTTTAGGGTGATGGAATTGTTAAAATAGAGCTAATTTGATGGCTCTGCTATTAACTGTGAAATTCTGCACTTACGATCACCATTCTGTGCTTATAGCTCTATCTAAGCACTAACCCTGTAAAAAGAGAGTCCCTAGTGTGCATGCGCACATGCCGAAATTCCTTGCTAACTCACTGAAATACATACAGTAACAGTTTTTACAGTAACTGTTTCCCAGTAACCACAGAAGTTTCTGCAGTAGTTAACAGGAATTATTCGCTTATAGTACTTAGAGCCGCGATATTGGGCCAAGGTTCCAGAGCGCAGACCTCTACTCAATACTCCTCTGCAAAGATGAGTTTGTGTCTTTTAATTCAGTAGTACAATCCCTACTTTATTTCTCAGACATGCAGCAGCACTGAGCCACGGCCTGGGCTCCTCAGCAACCCAGCAGGCGGCCGTCCAGTCCTTCCTTCACAACTACCCCAAGGCCATCGAGGTCCTGTCCACCGCCGCCCGGTCCCAGCCCTCAGCGCCCCTCTTCATCCTGCTGGGCAAGACGCAGATCAAGGCCAAGAAGTACCGGGATGCAGTGGACAGCCTGGAGAAAGCCCTCAACTTCATGGTAAGGGGGGGCTTGGATTGTTGATTCTTTTTTTAAAACCATATATGAGAGAAGCTCTTTCAGCTAGTTGAGTCCATCGTAAGTCTACACAAGCCCAGTCGCAAGTATAAATCACATGCCATTTCACAAGTCTGCAGGGTGTGAATCAACAATAACAAAGGAATGTCTTCTTTCGACTCGGGACTCGTGATTGACCTGGTATGACTTGTGACTGACTTTTGAGGACTTGTGACTGGCCTGTGAGGATTTGTGAGGTTTCGTGATCAGTTTGACCAGCTAACACTGATCATTTGGAATCCTAGCTCATAGACCATTATCATGCTGCCACCATTTCAGTCATGTCCCCTGTATCCAATAACAGTATTGAATGATAATGTTTTTACGCAAAAAGGAACCAGACTATTTGTCCTTCCAGCCTCGCTTTGGTTACATTGATTTGAATGGGAACAAATCAAATGGCTACAACATGATAATGGTCCGTTACAATCACAGTTTTACAAACAAAAGTCTATTTTAACAACAACACTTCAAAACTACCAATAAGACCCAACACACCAATTACAATTTAAGATATGATTGCCGAACAAGTAAACAACACCAGTGAATAAAAAAAAATAAAACATTTATTAATAAATTTAGATAGCTACCATCTCCCTAACCCCTTCAGCTGGCTGAGGTTTCTTCACACAAAACATTTTATGAATTATTGAAAACAGACTCCTAAAATGGTGACGAAAATGAGGAGTGACTTGACAACTCAGTATTGTTGATGTACCCTAACGTGGCGCGGCCCCTAACGTGGCGCACTTTGATTTTTCGCCTGTAGCGCCTAGCTAGAGCAAAAGTTTTAACTGAAATTTCACAGAAAGTGAAATTTCATCAAGTTATAAACACTCCCGTTCATAAATCACGAGTTTATTTACCCGCTACAAAGTTAACAGAAAAAAATTATTTTGGCGTGATTTTCCGATTTTATTTTCAAGTGCAAAGTGAACCCTTTGAAAATGCCCCGAAAAATAAGAAAATAATTTTGTGACAAACATCTGGCTGGGTATGTAGGTAGAGATAATAATGATTTATCAGAATTTATCGAGTTTACAGAAATTCTTAAATGTTAATTTGGAATTTTCCGAGATTTATTTAAGTGCGCCACGTTAGGGAACACTCCGCCAAATTGTGCCCAATTTCCGGACGCCACCGTATTTTAATTTCGGTTTAAATTTTATGAAACCAAAATTGTTCACAGAGGTTAAACAGCAAGCATTAATAAGGTAAAAGTACCAGTATTTCACTGCATGAATTTGAGGTTTGTCAACAAAGAGGTTTGGCAACACTACACGAGGAAATTTGGGTAAGCTTCGAAGTGCGCCACGTTAGGGAACACGACTAAAATCATGTTCTGCTGGAATGATGATTGTACTGTTTGGCGTATGTAAACACTTTGACAGAAACCTTGGCAGGAGCGTCAGACCTGGCCGATGGAAGCGGCAGAGGTCAACTATCTGATCGGGATGTGCCACACGGAGATCCCCAACTACCTCAAGGCGTTTGAGGCGTTCAACAATGCCATCAAGATCAACAGTGAATACCCAGAGGTGAGATTTATAGAACCTGTCTTTAAGATTTTCCCCTGTTGTCATTTTGTAAGCGGTTTTGCCGGACCCAAAGGGACAGCCTATTTTCCAGTCACCGAGTATAATCATTTATCAGTTTGTCTGTTGTAGCAACAGTAAAATTTGTCAAGCATTCAGTAAGACTGAAGTTAAGTTTGCACAAGAGTTACAGCAAACACAGTGCAGTCCAAAACTTTCAGAATTTTGCACTTGCTACAAACCAAGAACTTTTCTGCATTTTTTTAATGGAAGTTGCCAATTGCAAAGCCACACTCCACTCAAATGTAAAGGGCTACTCAAATGTGGAACAAGTACGGGCACAAGGGTTGCTTGCCTCTGTACTCCAAAACACACACCTGGTACATGTACATGCCATATATGACCTAATCTGAAACGGACCCATTACAGATGTTGTTCAAAGAAGAATCAGTAATCTCCGTCAAGGACAGGGTGATCGGCACTCATGTTATAATTATGGATCTACGACCCAACAAATGAATCCTAAAATTTGTGAAGTCTTCTTGTGTGCTCATGCAGTCTGCATACCAAATTGGCTCATCAGAGCGATGCAATTCTTCTTTGGTTTTCACCTCTTTCTCTTGTTTGTAATCTCCCCAGGCCTACTACCAGCGCGGCCTGACCCGCATGAAGCTACGCCAATCCAAGGGCATCCTGGACTTCAACCGGGCCTTGGCCCTGAACCCCAAACTCTTCCAGGCCTTCCTGAGCCGAGCCGCCTACTACGGCATGAAGGGACGCTACTCTAAGGGAATCGTCAACTGTAACGAGGCCGTCAAGCTGCAGCCAAACAGCGTCAGAGCTTACCTCTACAGGTAAGCGTAGATTAAAATCATAAAGTAGGGTTCGAACCTTCCACATCTGGGTTACTGGACCAGTGCTCTACAGACTTTATTCAGTCGATGGCTTTCCAATGCATCAAATGTATTGAGGTTATATCAAGCTGCAGTCCAACAGCATCAGGGCTTATGTCGACAGGTAAGCTTAGATCAAAATCATAAAGTAGGGTTTGAACCTTCAACCCCTGGAGCACCGGACCAGTGCTCCACTGACCAAACTCAGTTGCCGGTTTTCCAATTCATCAATTATATCAAGCTGCAGCCCATAGATCAAAATCAGAAAGTAGATAAAGTAGGGTTCGAACCTTCAATTCCTGAAACACCACACCAGTGCAGTGCTCTACCCACTAACCTCGGTTGATGGTTTTCTTATTCATAAACTGAAACGAGGCCATCAAACTGCAGCCCAACAGTGTCGGGGCTTATTTTCTACAGGTAGGCACAGATTAAAATCGTAAAGTAGGGTTGGACCTCGGACCTCCAGAACACTGCACCAGGTCCTAATCTCCGACCATTCTGGGATTGGTGCTTTGAATGGGATGGATTTTGTTGCTGCGATTGGGTTTTTTGAAAATTGTATTCTTTTCAGTAGATGTCACAAACAAAACATGCTTAATTTAACATTCTTGCTGAAATAGGTTTGTTAGGTAGTGCATTGCACCTTAACAAAATTGGCCCCAAATCACACATTCCTGAAAAGACATTGTTTTGCTTTTCATTGTACAAAATGAATTTTTTTTTCTCATAAGATGGAGCTGGTTCGAGTCCTACCCAACTAATTTGTGATTTTTTTTTTCTCACAAATCGCTCGGGACAACACTGAGTATACAGTGTTTTATAAAAACATGTTGGTGAAGAAAAAACCCCCATTTTTCATTTTCTTTATATTTTTTGTGCTTAATCAAATTTGCATTGCAACGTCACGAAATTGGCCTTAGGTCACGCATTCGTTTACTTTTCAAGGTTATTATTATTTTTTGATTTATTCCATTTCTTAGGGGAGCGCTGAAGTACTACATCCTAGCCTACAAGCTGGCCATCAAGGATCTGTGTAAGGCCATCGAGATCGACAACACCTGCTCCTTGGCCTACTTCAACCGAGCCGTCTGCTACCACACCACCAAGGACTACACTAAAGCGCTCAGGGATTACGGCATCGTGCTCATGCTGGGGGAGGCCAACGCCCTCAAGGTCAGTGAACTCATTTCTATTGGGTCTGTGCATACGCGACTGGGGGCGCTGTTTTCTAATTCCTGGCTTTATTTAGCATGCTTAGGGGTGCTGATGATTGGTGAGGCCAACGCCCTCAGGGTCAGTGAAATTTTTTCCATTGGGTGGGTGCAGACACTGCTGGGGGCGCTGTTGTTATATTCTCTGGCCTTGTTGAGCAATTGCGCCGGCGTTGTTTTCACACAGCTGTGAATAAGAGCCGGTCTCAATTCATATGCGTTGTGTTTCACAGAATATGTTATTCTCCAACTAACTTGCTAACCCTATTCCCGAACTGGCTTACAGTTGAATCTCTGCACGTGATCAATCTACACTCACGAGGCCCCCTTCAATAGAGAAACCATTGTGCATGCTATTGTAGCAAGCAACTGCACAGTAATGGATTTTCTTAACAATAGCTAGCACAATGCTTTCGCCATTGAAGGGGGCCATCGTGATAAAAGTGATAACATGCCCAGATTGGTCTATACAAATGCCTCAAAAATTTTCCTATCAAAATTTAGTTGACTAGTGCAGTGCCCGTCTAAAATGTGCATGTTCGGGAAACGCAAATTGCTTTGCCGCTGGTATAGGTTGCATACTTGCAGAGTGTTTGAGAACTGCTCGTGCAAACAACGCACACTTACGTCAAAGTTTGTGCCAATTTTGAAGTTCGACCACCTACAATGGTCACTCAGTCGACTGCAAAAATAATGTGCCCGTGTACATACGAAAACATGGTATGCCGTGCTATTCACCCATACTGGACAATGTATCGCCCTACAATGAACGTGCGCGTGCCTGTCCTTTTTGCAAATTGTTTGCGTCATGCATATTGAGCACGCGCGCTTTAGCTTAAACATGACGTAAACAATTGAAAAGAACCGCAGTGCGTGGTGTTATGTTCTAAGCTGCCACGTTTGCCTCCGAAAATACTGCTTTTTTGCAGCTTTTTCGAGAACCGCTCATCCAAACCACTTCAAACTTGGCACTGCACATTCTGTGGCCCCGAGCAATACACCCGCCGATTTTCAACTTCATACGGTGCCCGGTTCTGGAGATAATCGACGGACAGACAGACAGACAGAGATTCCCGGAATTATAGTATAGATATTCTCTCATATTTTCAATAGGTGTTGATAAACCGAGGCTTGATGTACTTTGCCCAGAAGGATTACAAGAATGCCAGGGAGGACTTTGCCCAGGCCGTGAAGGTTTGTAAAGATAGAATCATCATGCTTAACCGTAGACCCTCACAGACTACCAGAAGGTTTTGGGGGATTTTCCAAGGATGGAAAAAGTCAAGCTGCTAGTAAGCTTGCTCCTTCAAAATTAAAATATTGGTGTTTTTTTTATAAATTTCAATTTTAGATGGATTCTCGGGACCCCAAGATCAGACACACGCTGGGCCTGTGCTGCCACAAGTAAGGCTGGACTGCTTTTCTTACAATTTCTGAAATTTGTTTTTGAACTCTTTTTCAATGACAATAATGGTTTTTGCATTTTTAAAGTTGAGAGTGTAGTTATAGTCTTGGAGTCCGTCTTTTTATTCATTGCAGACTCAACAAATTGGAAGACGCCGTGACTGTCTTCAGCTCAGCCTTGAAGGTGGATATATTCTTCCTGGATGCCTACATTGGCAGGGGCAACGCCTTCATGGACTACGGCCATGAAATCACCCACCAAATGGCAAGGTACAGTCAAAGATTGTCTAAGTTAAATGGTAACTTAATCGGCATTGTGTTGTTATTGTGTTGTCCAACTTGCCTGGGAGATCAAATTCACAAGCTGGCTCAAGTGGGAATCGAACCACAGCCTCCTGACAACTAGCGTGGATGTCTGAACCTCACAACCACAGACTCTGCTAGGGTTGGCTTTTCCGTTTGAATCTTGTGTTAGCTAAGAAACATTAAGACATTTATTATGACAGAGTTGAGAAGGCTCTAATTGTTTTGAAACATGTAAACTTTCTTTGGACAACAGTGCATATTGAATCTGAAATTGTGCAAGTGTGCTAGTTCTACTCTAAACATTTTCTTTTGCGGTCAGTCGAGGGCTAAAATTATCTCTGACGTCCTTCAACAAATTTATGGCTTGAAGTGGGAAATTGAATTTTTTTAAAGAACCATTATTTTATACATAAAAATGTCATATTTTTTTGTCATTTCACTCTAGGCGTGACTACGAGAGAGCGCTTCATTTGAATCCCCAGTGCCTACCAGCTAGGGTCAATCTGGCCTACAACTTACAGGTCTGCGGCCACTTCCAGCAGGCTTGGAACCAGCTAACCTCCTGCCTCAAGATCAATCCAAGTAAGCTGAAAATAAAAATAATAAACTACACCAAGCATTTCAGAACATTTTGGGTGTTTTTTGTAATGGTATTGAAAGTTGCGAGGAGAATGCAAAGTGTGTTTATGTAGCGAATCTTGAATTTAGCTTGCTCTCTTAAATGGTGCGCTTTGTTGGCAAATTTCCATGTGGTTGCAAAGCTCTGGATGTGAGCTTTTATTTGGCATGTGTTGGACCTTCACAACATGTTTCGGTTTGGTAGATAAGAACCAATTTGCATATTCACAATTTGAAGGAACTTGGAAACCTGGATCAAATATCTTTATAAAGAAATTGACTGTATGAGTAAAGGATTTTAGTAACAGGAAAATATTCACTATTATTTATCTATATTTATTGCTATGTATCTGATCTGAAATTGAAAATGTTAAAGACCCCCCAAAAAAATGGTTTCTCAAATTTCTGAGCCTTCATTTTACTGAACACTTCATTCTTTTAACCGCTTCGCGCCGGGATAATATTGACATCGACTGGACCCAGGCGCACGATTGTTTTTCATGAACCTCGATGTCCGACGGGTTCAGGCCGTTATCTGTGGGTAGCACACCCTGATATTTCCGGGCACGCTTGCTGTGAGCGGGTCGCTGACTGATATTTCTGGCCTCGCTCGTTGCGTGTATATCCATCAACGTTATCTGACGTGAACTGGTTAAAGGGAAGATACAACATTTGCAAACATCAAAGAACGAATTGATCAAATTATCACGAAATACCTTACTGAATTGTTAGGGACTGACAGTTTAAAGCATCCTTTAAAATCGTGGCTCCTGGTGGGCTGACATTTTCAAGAAAAACTGTATTTTTCCAATGCTGGTCGGCCGACCAGCGTTGGAGAAAACTGGCTTTTTCCCAAAACTGTTCCTAAGTTTTCATATTTAGTTATTCTGACTTTTCTTTGCAATTGATTACACACCTGTGAAGGGGTATAAGCCTGCTAGACTGATTCTCTGACCTTACAATTCCCCAACGTCTATAAATTGCTTCATTTCATCTTAAGTGGGGTCAGGGAACAAGACTACAAAAACATGATAGGTTTTCTTGGTTTTTCCAGCATCTACAAGCCCAAAACGTGAAACAAGTCAGTTTAACAATATTTTTTATAACATTCTATTCCTCCAAATCCATTTATTTCTGAAAATTGCAGCAAATATGTTGTACATTCCCTTTAACTGAGCAGATCTCAACCTAATTAACCCTTTAGTCACTGTAGTTCGCGAAACCAACCCTGCCTATAACTGTGGCGCCTATAACCGCCCGAGCCCTCTATGCTTTTGTTGATTCTTCAGTGAGTAAACACAATGTAATACAATGTAGTACAAGACTAATGGATTAAATTAATGTGGGAATTTCCAAGCTCCGTAAACCTTGTTTTTCCGTTGAACCGACAGACTACCGTCCAGCACTGGAGGGCCGCGCAGTGATCTGCCTCCAGATGAGCGACACCTTCGCCGCCTTCCAGGACCTCAACACCGCCCTCAAGCTGGGCGCCACGGCCGAGCTGTACACCAACCGCGGCGTGGTCAACCAGTTTATGCAGGATCATCACAACGCTATGCGGGACTACCAGTCTGCTATCAAGCTGGACCCCGGCTACGCGCTGGCTTACTTCAACGCCGCCAATCTGTACTTCCACAACCGCCAATTCAGACAGGTAAATCTTGCTTATTGTCTCGTGTTAGTCACCGTCTTGCCTGAAACTGCTTTGTACTCCCTGTAGCAACCCGAAATCTAGCACTCAATGATTTTATGGATTCACCAGTGAATAAACACATTGTAATACAATGTAATACAATGTAGTACAATGTAGAACAGTTGCTAATGGTTTAAATAACTACAGTGCTAAAGCCTTTTCCCATCGCATAGAATCCTTTCGGCAGCATCCAGGGCTCAGACTTTGTTAAATCACATGTCTCTGTGAACTATACAGGGTGAGAAAATAAAAACGAAATCCAAATGTCGGGACTATTGTTGTATTGAAGTTCTGCATGTAGCACTTTCAAAATCTAGGATATAAAAGCCCAATTCATAAAAAAGCTTTCTGTTAGTACAAGAAACATTCAAATCACCAATGCACTTTTCAAGTTATGGAGTTTTAAACGCAACCACCATTTACCACGGATCACAAAAAAGATGTGCGTTCTTTCAGCAAAACGAAAACAATTTACGCACATTCTTATACAATTTTTCGTTTTTGTGATCTGTGGACAGAACCTTAAAACGGCGGTTGTGTTTAAAACTCTGTAACTTGAAAAGTACATTTGTGATTTGAATGATTCTTGTACTAAAAGAAAGCTTATGAATTGGGCTTTCATATCGTAGGTTTTTCAAAGTGCTACATGCAAAATTTCACTAAAACAATGGTCCCAACATTTGGCTTTCCTTTTTTTTTTACTCACCCTGTACAGAAATAGGATGAAATGGAATTTCATACGATGAGCTCTATTAAGCGCAATGCGAGAGTGCAACAAACGCAGCTGCATATGTGTGGTTTAAGTATGAACAAAAAGTATATTTAAATACTATCCAACTTTCGTTGTTGTTTCTTATTTGCTTATCAGGCAGTAGACTATTACAGCAAAGTACTGGATCACAACCCAAAAGACGAATCGGCAGTTCTGAACCGAGGAATCACCAAGGTAGGTGGTAGTTCTGTAAGGGTTTGTAGCTTTACAAGTAAAAGAAAATCCGGTCAACAAATTGGGCATTACGAGGGAAATCTTAATAACAATTTTGGGACATGTAAGTGAACACATTTGGGACATATAAGTGCAAGACCAAACGATTCAGATGCAGTCCTCTGCCCTATTTGACAACTCTACTAAATAAATAAACACCAATGTATAATTCATGTATACCATTTCTTGCCCAGTGATTTTATTTTTTTTATTTAAACAATAATGTACAATTTAAGTCCTTTTCAGTTTTCTCTATAGAAATGTATTTCAAGTAAGGCCGAGACTCTATCCTCGTACAGAATACAGAGGAGGCTTTTTTTTTAAGTTCAAAGTCTAAATACTTTTAATATCTATTTGTGCTTTTTAATTGTTTTTTTTTTAATGATGTTAATGTCATGCAATTCAGTTTCTAACTGCTGTATGTTTTTAAATAAACCATAAACCAACAATTTTTACTGCTGTGATCTGGGATATGACATTTTTAACATCCGTAGGGTGCATTGCGCCCGGAGGGGGTTAAAAACGGCATATCCCACATCACAGCAGTCAACAATTGTTTTGTTATATCGTACTGACCAAACCCCCAGGCTGATGGCCTATTATTACAATTTTTTTTATATTTTGGTAGGTTCTGATGCGCGACGCCCGTGGGGCTCTGGAGGACTTCCAGCTGGCAGTCAAGATGAGCCCGCTGTCTGCCCACGTCTACTTCAACAGGGGCAACCTCTACGCATCCCTGCGCAGATACGAACTCGCTGAGAAGGACTACTCAGAAGGTGGGATGAACTTCATTCTTTACTTTTTAATATTTGGTCCAGGGTTCCCACCTTCTCTGGAAATCAGGGAAAACCTTGAAAACGAGTTTCTATTTTTCCAGTCAGGGAAAACTCTGCGAATTTTAGAAAAACATTTTAAAGTTGCAGAAATATTTTACATTTATTTTGACCTTCAATAATGTTATGAATTTTGTTTTACAAATGATATCAACATGATTTTTAGTGCCACGCAGTCCTCGTAGAACCTTTTTGTCACGCGTGCATTTCTTGTCAAGATACGACAACAATCAAATCTGAAATAACTTTCAGGGTTCTGGAATAAATATCTTGACGATAGATCTATATGTGCCTTGAATTTGAAAGGCATGTCTGTTTTTAACGTCAAGTTGCTCGTTTGTTTGGCATACAGATTTTTTTTTTAATTCAAATTAACTTTAGATTCAGTATGACTGTAATCACTTGGTTATTAGCTTTTCATACTTTCCATTCATATTTTTTCTCACATTTTCTTTCTGTCCGACAGCTCTGAAGTTGCAACCAGACGACCCCCTGGTGCACAAACGCAGGGCCGAAGTCAGAGGGAAGCTTGGCAAGCGCTCAGACGCTGTACAGGACTACAAGAGAGCTATTGAGCTACAGAGCAGAAGGCATCCAGGGAATTGAAGATAACAGGCTGAGGATATAGGGTCCGATGCCATGACGTCAAAGAACCACGTGACCGTCCGGTTTGCCCGTGATCGGCCACCATTGCAGTAGGCAAGCGTTTGGATAGCAACCACTTCGTGTAGACAGTAAATGCTGATGCTAGATACACTGCCTAGTACGCCCCTTTCCCTGTGTGTGCTGTGCTCACACAGATATTATCTGCTTGCAGACATTATTTGCATGTAAAATAACCACATATTCTTAATCAAATGGCATAATGGTCACTGTCTGTGCCACATACAGCTGTATTAAATGTATGCCCACCCAGCATAGTTGTCTTAATAAATTTGTGACTTGACTTGAAACAAGACTGGCGATTGACTTGTGAGGAATTTTTTTGTAGCATTCTATGACAGACATTTGAAACGCACCTTCCCGTGTGTTCGCTGTGCTCACACAGACATTATCTGCTCGGAGACATTATAATAAAAAAAACCTCATGCGTACTAGGTAGTGTATGTACACTCAACCAAAAAAGAGAATTCCCCACTTCCAATACTTGTTTGTCCAACTCAAAAACTACTGGGCACCTCTTGCTCAATAACGACTGATCAGTACAGAAATTCCTTAGCAATCCAGCCATACTCTTTGTTTGGCCCAAAACAGTGATAATGTGTACAAAATTATGCAATTTATGACAAATGGTACCGAAAAAAAGTTGCACTTTTGTATATGTGCAAGGTGAGTGTGAACCACAACTTGCATGTATACAAAAGTGCAACTGTTTTCGGTATCATTTGTCATAAATTGCATAAATTCATACACATTATCACTGTTTTGGGCCGAATAGAGAGTATGGCTGGATTGCTAAGGAATTTCTGTACTGATTAGTCATTATTTGAGTGAGAGGAGCTCAGTAGTTTTTGAGTTGGACAAACAAGTATTGGAAGTGGGGGACTTTCTTTTTTGGTTGAGTGTATCAGTATTATCTGTGACAATGTTGCACTTCCACAAAGAATATACACCAGTTATAGTACTGTCAAATTTCTATCAAACACACTTTTATACATTTTTTATTATTTAATCAAAATATTCCGTCCAGAAGTTGTAACATTTCATTTACTAAATGTATATATTTACGAGTGTGCTTAACTTTGCCCTGCCCTGATAAAAAATACTGAGGTGAAGTTTTTTTAATTAATGTAAAAAAAAAATGATTTTTAATTATTGAAAAATTAATTGTAAATATTGAAATACTTAGTTGGCTGTGAATCCATGATGTTCTGTGTACCATATTCTTTATTAATACAAGAAATATGATGGATCTTGTTCAGCATTCCGTCCAGAATTTCCATTTTGCAAAAAAAGATTTTGGCCTTTACGTAGTTTTACTGTTTTCATTGTACAATTTTAATGTAATGAATTTGTCAACTAGAACTATTTTGTTGAAGAAAACCACATTTTCATGTAATGTTACACTTGACCAATTTTGTATATAAGTGTGAAATCCGTCCAGTAAAATGAGATAAATTTGATTATAATGGAATTAAAACTGCACACTTGTGCACTTGTCTTCAAAGTGAAACCTTGAATTTCTTAACAGTTATTTGGTGATATAAACTAAAAGTGAATCCTCAAAATGAGGAGTGGCAAAATCCCTACTATTTTCAAAACAATTTAAGGCAGAAAGTGTCTAATGTTATGCTTAAAAATACTGAAAAACAAACAAATCTTGGTAATTACACCTAAAAGGATAAACCATTTATAAAAAAAAAAAAAAAAATGTTAAGATTATTTGTGATGCGATCAAGCTAAATGAGTCGTTTGTCGGGAATTTTTATGTGGAGATACAGGCCAAAATAGGGCCACTTCATCACATCACTTCATCACATCTCTTGGTGTTCCGACTGCCATAATTTTTGAACTAAAGATGGTATCAGCATGTGGTTTTCACAGCAGTAATGCTGAGATTGTGCTCTTTTCAAATCTGTAATGAAATGAAAATTTTTTGACCAGGGTCGACAAACGACTTATGTAGCTTGATCAATCACATTTAAACAAAACAGCAACCTCTTAAAATCTGACAAGATCTAAAATGGTGAAACCAAATATCTTTCTTTACAACCCTTCAATCAACATAGAGCTTATTCACGAGTCGGCCATATAACCCATTTTGGAGTTACAAAAATGTACTACTGCACGTGCGCACATCAGATTCAATGATTTAGTGTCGGAAGATAAACAAAGCAGATAAATGCACTCAAGTCTATGGGGGATGTGGTAACCAAATCCACATTTTGCAATTTTGTTCTTGTAAAACAGAAGATGGAAATTTTTGTTCGCACAAAAGTTGGAGCACACAAAACTACGTAAACCATGGTGCCGTTGAAAACAATCAACATTTTGCATCCACTTCAAAATATGAACTTTTCTTTAATTTCGTTGGTACCCCATGATTCAGTAACTTTCGATTTGAAATTGAGATCCTAGAATGCTGTTTTTTCTCGGAATATACAGCTGAAACTTAGCTGAAACTTCATCAGGTTAGTTGTTCAGTATCCTTCATTAGATTTTGAGCACTTTTGTTGCTTCAAACGAACAAAATGCACAACTTACAAATGATGGACTATATCTTTAAGCAGGGCTTATTTTAAGTAGATCATTTAAATAAGGTAAAAGCATATAGGTCATCTAAATTTCCCTCGAAAGCCTCCGACTCCTACGCCAACCTTAAATAACTTAAATACACAAGATACACTAAAAGGTACAGACTAATTCGGCGACATCCATTTTCTGCAGTGGCACCAGGTTTGCGCGAGTCGCGCTCAGGTAGTACGCAAGCACGCCGGGCTCCTTCGACTAATTGGGTTAACAAAATTTGCTTGCTTGTCTTTAAGAATGCGTGCGGGATGAGCGCGTGGACGTGGTGCCACATTCAAAATGGCTTCTAATTTTGTTTGCCGGATTAGTCAATAAATACCAGGACAAACTTTGAAAATATGGATGGCCTTTTTACCACAATGTATCACTAGTTTACACATGTTGGTGTACTTTATAAATTTATTTAGGATTTCCATGCCTCAGATGTAGTTTTTCAGTGGTGCATCCAGGTTTGGCCCAGGGCGGCAAGGTGACCCATTTTGGAGGAGAAAAAGTGCCCTCGTGTTGTTTTTCGTTCATGAAAATGGTTCACAGCTCTGAAGGGTGTAACTACTAGCACCAGTTGTGAGGTGCTAGTGCTTTCATTTCCTTTTTTAAAAACTAAGAAAAAGAAACGGGATAAAATGTGACCTGTTCTGTCAAAATCAGACTTTTCTGGGCATAAGGTCAAAAATGAGATTTTTGCATATTGTTAAAATATGTTCTTTTTCCTTTTAATAGGTGGTTTAATTTTTGAAACCGGTCATTCCTGGGTAGAGTTATGCTATTTTGAAGTTCATTGTGTCGAAAAGTAGAAAACGGAGAAAATGGCCACAAACGTCACAAAACAGTAATTTCTTTAACTGATATACCTTAACAAATCATCAAAAATACTATATTTGGAGTTCAAATAAGGGTTTCAAACTTTTATAGTATATTTTAGACATGTTCAGGATTACACATATGCAAAAATTTGAAAATCGAAAAAAATCACCCCCACAGCATTTTTTGGCCCTATCTCAATTTCAACCTCTGCCCAGAAGCGTCTGCTTTTGACAGAACAGGTCACAAATGTCGGGCCCCCCTCCATTCTGGATACCCCTCTCTGTAGTTTGAATTTTGTGGGTGATTATATTATTGCAGATCGACCACCCGAGGAGGTCAGTACTCTACAATTCTTCGCTGACTAGCTGAGGAGTTTCCACGGGCCAACACAAAGCAAGGTTCCCTCCCTTGCCTCCAGTTTTCGCTGCATGTAAATCGGAGAACACATGCAAATATTTATTCAAATTGAGGCTGGCGTCCAATCAGAAAGCCGCTCGAATGAGGCCACACTCACCGCCGCCGTTTTTTGCGGGAGATTTTTTTCCTGCTGTCCGAGTCCGAGCTGCTGCTGCTGCTGCTATCGCTGTCGCTGTTGCTGCTGCTCGTACTGGAGCTGTCGGAGCTGTCGCTGTCGGACACGACGCTGCTGTCACTGGAGGTATCAGAACTGTCGCTGGAGTCTGAAGAATCGCTGTCGTCACTAGAGTCCGTGTCACTGCTGCTGGACGAAGAGCTTGCCTTGCGATGCTTCTTTGATCTGTGTACGAAAAAATATCAATTACCATCAACAGAAACACAGATTGTGACTTGGGGATAGTTTTGCCGTCTGAGATCTTGCCAAAAAAGTTCACAAGCTTACTCGGGTATCTTAGCACTGGAACACCAAGCTTGCCAGGGTCGGCTGGCTGGTTCGAATCCAGCAGCAGTTACAATCAATCACTTTTTGGAAAGGATGGAATTTGCCTCTTTAAGATTTTTTTTTTTCGGGCTTCCTACCTACATGTACACTGACTTTGCTTCTTTTATTTTTAAGAACTCTCAGTTTCACAACCAGGAAGAAATCAAATAAATTTAAATACAAAAGACAAATATATTCACCTTTTGCTCTTGGTTTTTGCTGTTTTACTGTCGATCTTTGGTCTGCAATGAAATATAGAAATGATGTAAGTCGTTTCTACTACCATAAATTAAAAGCACCAGAGTCAGATTCCAGAATTCGCAGTTTCAAATCCTGCCGCAGTTGGTTTATTATAAACGAAGGTTAGAAAGACAATACACTGCACTGGACAATATTATACACATATTGACTGGCGACGAGGTCACTAGTGCACGTCTATGCACCTGAGGGACTGTGAGTGACCCCCAGGGTCCTACTTCGGTCGAGGATAATAGGACCCTCTTTACATGACACGTGTCTAGTTCACACATACAAATTTCATGCACTAGCCTATGTAAGTAAACCCCACGTGACTGTGTTTCAGCCAACCAAGAAACAGCGAGAGGTGTGTTATAAACTGCAATACTAAACAGGTTTAAATAGATTCTACTTTGTCACTTTATTGAAGTAATGCAAATGGGCAATTCCACGGTGACTCACGTTAGATTTTGGATGTACTTTTGAGTTTCCTTGGGCTGTAATTACCTTACTGAAAAGGTTTAATAACTGTTATCCCCATGGTAGATAGAGTAGACCTAGACCTACCTAAGCACCAAAGATGACATCCAGAAAAATATGTAATGTATGATAAACATGATGCACAAAATCGGTTACGCACGTTACATTTTCGTAACGTGAGTAACCGATTTTGTGTGTCTTGTTTATCATACATAACACATTTTTCTGGATGTCATCTTTGGTGCTTAGGTAGGTCTTGGTCTACTCTATCTACCATGGGGATAACAGTTATTAAACCTTTTCAGTAAGGTAAATACAGCCCAAGGACACTCAAAAGTACATCCAAAATGTAACGTGAGTCACCGTGGAATTGCCCAAATGAAGGTGAGTGTATTTTGGGACCCCTCTATCTTAATAGTATTTGTCACTACAAAATGACCTTTGCAAAGTAAAGCAATCTTTGTACCACTGAAGGTCTCAAGTCAAAGCACTTCACAATTATTAACCCTGTTCATCAGGCCATGAAGACCAGTTTTCTGCAGCAGCTCGAGATTCAGCGCAATTTGGTCTGTACCTTCACAGGTACCCATTTACACTCCTGGGTGGAGAGAAGAAATTGTAGTATAGTGTCTTGCCCAAGAACACAAATACCACGTTCCCCGTCAGGGTTCGAACCCACTTTACCATGGCGTCCTACACCGTAACCATTGAACCATGGCACTCTACAGCTTAATATGCAGCTGTTCTTTGTGATGAACTATGATGCCTAAAGAAACTACAAAAAATGATGTACTTTCCCTATAACAAATATTCGCTGTCACCTTGAAACTTGCACTAGTTGCATCTCTGCCTGTTCTTTTGCCAGCTTGATCTTCTTGTTGAGATGAGAGACTCGCGATGTCCGCTGCACATACTTTCGTTTGCCTGAACACTCGTAGGTCCAGTGGCCAAACTCCAGGCACTTCTGGCATCGGACGTTCTCCTTATCTTGGCTGGAATAAAAGTTACGGAAAAAAAGGTGAACTGTTGAGAACCATGCCTACATCACACGGAGATGCTGTATTCAAGTATGAGTTTAAGTACGAGTATGAGTACAAGTATGGTTTCCAAGTTACAGGTTTCCAAGTGCAAGTATGAATACCTTGCCATAACTACGAGTACAAGGTAATTAACGTACATGTACAAGTACTACAATACTGCCATACAGAAGTGTTAGCCAGTTCGCGTCGGAGGACGTGATATTAACACACACTGGCTTTATTTATACACAGGCACGGCTGACGGGTTAAGGCATCAAGATTGCCTCAACACGCCTCCGGGTTTCATCTAAACACGCTAATCCCTCGTGCCTTTTGTACACACACACACAAAGTCTGTGAAGTCTGTGGAGGCGGACCGTGTGTTGATCTTGAATTGGCCGTTGTGCAAGGCCTATTGTTGTACAATTTATGCTCCTGTGCACACCCCAGAGTATTGAAACGTATGACCCATGATGGTTTCTGCAAGAAATATCATGTACACAAATACTGCTGAAATTACTCTTGTGAACGTGAATCAGTATTTGTGGTGTTTGGCTGTATATTAGCTCTACTGAGTGGAGCGTTGAATTACGGGTACCCCTCCATACAAACGCTCCACCGATTTGCCATACTTTGGTAGCACCATACACGGTCGTCATGACGGTATGCATTTTGTGCATGCCCTCGCGAGGACAAGGCCCAAAAAAACTGATAAAGAAAATACAAATGAGGAAGACAGTAACCCTGGATAGATCCACACATTCATGACATTCCATATGACCCCTCAAATTGTTTCAAACAACCGGTAATTTTGAAAAAAGAACAAAATAATCTGAACTTACCGCTCACAATTAAATGTGTCTGCCGAGTTGCACAGTCTATTTCACTGACATGACTGATGCATAATTCATTGCGCGCGTGTGTGACGTCACTATTGAAGAAAAACAAGTTGCGCTTACTCAATAGCTGTTTTATGTAGTCATGTGTGCTCCGCGCCGTCTGACTGTGGGTTTTTGGTGCGGGGCACATATCAGTACATGAAACAGTCATTGATTAAGCGCGACTTGTTTTTCTTCAATAGTGACGTCACACACGCGCGCAATGAATTATGCATCAGTCATGTCAGTGAAATAGACTGTGCAACTCGGCAGACACATTTAATTAATGTGAGCGGTAAGTTCAGACTATTTTGTTCTTTTTTCAAAATTACCGGTTGTTTGAAACAATTTGAGGGGTCTTATGGAATGTCATGAATGTGTGGATCTATCCAGGGTTACTGTCTTCCTCATTTGTATTTTCTTTATTAGTTTTTTGGGGCCTTGTCCTCGCGAGGGCATGCACAAAATGCATACCGTCATGACGACCGTGTATGGTGCTACCAAAGTATGGCAAATCGGTGGAGCGTTTGTATGGAGGGGTACCCGTAATTCAACGCTCCACTCAGTAGAGCTAGCTGTATATCAGAAGTTGGCCGGAAAACTTTGCCCTTTTCCCAAGCAAACTAGTTGGCAACATTCTCAATGAACAGACGTGTCATTAGAGGGCATGGTTTTGAGTTTTTGAGGGAAAATTGGGGGTAAAATGACAATGACAGCGCGGCGACAACATGCAACCCGAAAATAAAGATGCCAATCACACACAGATTCACGGCACGCTGAATCGCAAGGCACAAACCGTGCAGGAAAATCGTGATTTCTAGTTCTAGCCTACCCCAAGAATAAGATCTGTTCAAAATTGCAAAACGGGTGTCATCTGAGAAAGGTCTGCTTTTGATTGTAAAGGTGATTTTTGAGCAATAAAAAATATTGTTTGACTCTAATTTGATCAAAACAAAACACTTCATTTCACGATCGCCAAATCATAAATCATGCATGTCATCGACGACGTCACAAACATGAAACAAGTCTATTTTTTACACTTTGCCGCAGTTTAAAGTGAACAGTTCCCACCAAAGAGTAATCTTCTTTTATCAGATCCAAACACAATAGCAATTGTGTCCCGCGAACTTCATGATTTTAGCAGAAATAGATTGGAATAACTCACTTGTTTTTACTAGCTTTCAACAGTGCCATGTGAGTCGCCATCTTGATTTATTTTCAAGTGCGCCCTCCATTGTTGAAAGATGAATACCCTCGCCTCACAGTCACAATTTTTTGCGTGAACTTTTAGCCAATCAGAGGGCTCGTTGCTTATCTTCATTGAAAAAAAAAACACCTGTTCGCCATATCCACAAAAAGTGAGCAAATAAGTGTGGTACATGACACGGGGTAGGATGGGTTGCCCTATTATCGCAGTACTTATCACGTTTCTCGTTCGGAATAGAAATTGCCAACTAACCTTCCTGAATTGTCCTGTCTTTTGTGTAGTATAACTCTTCCTTTTTAAATTAATATAAAAAAATCCGACGGTTTGGTGGTCTATTCCGTGTACGATGCCTGTGAAAATAGACATGCGCGGCGTGTGCGAACGGAGGTGGACTATTATCGCGGTATGTGGGAAGTGGTTTTTATAATGATCCCAACTTTTTTGTTCATAGTTTATCTTTGACCAAAACACCCCCTGAATAAAGTCTGATATTTTCCCTGTAACGTTCAAGTTGATTAAAGACAAATTTTCTGCAGGATGATTTCTTAAGACCCTGCCCTTCCCCCGAAAGGAGAACACAAATCCCTGAGGCAAGTCTACTGATCGGCGATTGAAGGCGCCATTCACTTTACACGGTGTGCCGTTTTATTTTCGCTATCGCGCGGTGCTTATTTTGATCCCGTAAATGTTGTTACGATTTCGCGCTGCAAATATCGTCGTTCGACTTCATTTTACATTTGCAGCTGAAGAATGGGAACCAGACAATGGAACTTTCATGGACAGAGCACAATTAAAGATTTATGTTAAAATATAAACGGTACCTTTTAGCAGACACGGTGAGGGAACATTTTGCAAGTTTTGGAAAACGTTAATATTTATTAAAATCGTTAAAAGTCCCGAAAGACACAACATTTTTTAATCGTCCTTTTTATACAACTCGGTAGAAAATCCTTGATGACTGGTGAACTGGATAAAAATCGCCACTTGAAGGAGTTTTGACAACGCAAAAAGAGAAATTTCCCATGCCGCGATAATAGGGATGCCGCGATAATAGGGAGTCCGGGTATACTAGACGTTATAAAACAATTCCGCCAATCAACAAACGTGTAATAAAAAAGGTGGAAATGCAAGTAACCAATCGCCTGCTCTACATTTTCTGGTTGCCTATGTGTTTAGAGGATGGTTGTTCCACTCAGTTCCAGAGCCTCTGAGGCTCTGAGAAATCTATAAAACTGATGACAAATTCTTTGTGAGGAAAGGTCAAAGGAGATTGAAGAAGTATTTGCCGATTTATCAGTCAGCATTTGGTCGAAGACTTCCGAGTATCCTGGTGGTAGTAGTAAGTAAATTGAAATTGAATAATTCTTTGGGGGTAGGCCTAGGCCTAGTCATGTATACTTTACTGTTTAGAGACACTGAATCAATGGGAGGTTTGCGGTAACACCATGTGAATATCTCTTTGTAAGTTGTGTGGTTCTGCAAAGAACTTTGTGAGTTGGGTGGTTCATCATGTCCACCATGCAAACCATTAAGTCTTAATTGTTAGGACACCTTTTATGCTTTAGGGGCTTAGGCCTACAACTACAAGTTCCACAAAATTAAGCTAGCAAATATTCAACATGGTATTTTAGATTCCAAAGACATAGTGATATTTTCAGCTTGTATCATCGCCAAATGTTTAGGCAAGTCCTTCAACATAAAATGTCTTTTTTTGTTCTCTTATACGGAATGGGATCCTAAACTTCACGATTACCCAAAAACTTCAATTCAAATATGAGAGGCATGTGTCTTTATTAAACTTCTTTAATTTCATACTGTTATTTAATTTTACAGAATTATTCAGCACAAAATATTATAGGCCTAGGCCTACGTTAATTCTGATAAATAAATTCACAGCAGTTTATGAAGCTAGTCTAATTAACAGAAAATAAATCTGAAATCTGTGTAAACCTGTTGAGTTGTGTGTAACTATTTTGTGGAAAAGAAAGAACGTTCTTTTATATTTCACCTAAAATTCTCTAGCAAAAGCAACAAATTATGATCTGTAGGAACTTAAGAACTTCAGTAGTTGCCGATTTTATATATTATTGCAATTTACATGAACAAGTAATTAGGCTTTTTGTGTTAGAAAACAGGAACTCGATGAGAAAACACATGTACAAAAATTGGAACAGGGCCCTATAATCCCCTAATTCATGTACCCACTGCAGTGGTTTCATGAAATTAACTAGGCCCTGTCCGAGTTTGAAACAACCGTATGCAGCCAAGATGAGAGGAGGCAAAATTGAAAATGTGGTTGAAGAACATACAATACTCGACATTAAAAACGATGAATATTATTTTCAAATAATTTTATCTTAAATCTCAATAACTAGTACGGAAAGTTGAGACAAATATTAGTGCGTATCAAATTAGTTTTATAATAAAAATACAATTATACCAAATGTTACTCATATACAGAGGCACGCTTATCAAATATTGTGAAAACTGCTCAGTACATTCAAGTACATGTACGTGTGTTCATATTTTGCATAAAATAAAACAATGCAAGCACGAGGCCTATACATTTTTGGCAAAATGTTTCAAGATCATTCTGATACCACTTTCCGTCTATAAATATGTTATGCAGCAATAAAATTCATTGATGATTTGCTTTCTGATCACTTGGAAATATGCGACATCCCTATCCATTGTCCTCAGCATTATCAGCGTTTAATCAAAATTCAACTACAAAATGTTTCCACCAATATAACTATCTTAACAGGGTATAAAAGAAAATTTAAGTTAGGGCACAGTAATATAAAATAAATACTAACACATATATTCAAAGCACAAGCACATACATGAACTTCATCTACATACACTATAGGGCTGTCCATTTCCAAATAAACTAGTATTCGATTATTTGAAACTGCACGTGACCAAATATTTGAATATTCAAAACTCGCTGTTTGACATTTTACCATCGTGCTGGGCAGTTCAAAGTTGTATAAAACAAAGCACACCAGTTAAAGTTTGTGTGTTAAGTATCAAGGGTTTCAAGCTGCTAAAAGGAGGGGAACAGTAACCGTCATTGACCAAAAAAAATAACTGTTGACAAAAAAAGTGGCATCTGGCAATAAAGCACCGCGACTACGATTGAAATAGCATCACAGTCGTGTGAATTTGCGTAGCTTTTATTATCATATTTTTTTCTGAATATTTGAACCAGCAAAAAACATGTTCATTTGATGATCGAATATTCTAATATTTGGTATATTTTGAACAGCCCTAATACACTGTACTGCAACAGACACTAATAAAGCACATACCGATACATTGACAAGGACATTATTGAAATTACTGAAAAAGTAAAAAAAAACTACCAACAACTATTCTACATAAATAATGCTTCAATAAAACAAATGAGCAGCACTGAAAAGTGTTTACTAAAATAAGGGACAGATATTTTTCTGATCATATTCACATTTTACATTTTCTACATGTGTGACTTTATGGCATCAATGCTTTTAAGAGTGCGTTTGGTATTATTTTTTTCAAATACATTGTAAAGCCCTAGTTTTATCATTACGTCGCATCACCGATGATGGATTAAAATAAAAATTTGATTTATTGCTTGGTTATTTAGTAAAACTGACATAAAACTCGGAAGAAACACAACATACTACAGATGCCAATGAATCTCAAATTTATGAGACAATCCATCTGGATGATAACTTGTCTTGCCCGATAAACTTGAGTTTCACAGATCCATCGTTTAGTAGTTTAGAAATCTTTATCCTCATCGAAACGGCACACATGGAAAAGGCCGGCCACTTTTAACTTGGTCGTAAGCGATCTTGCAATTGGTTTTTCTGTTTATTGACTGTCAAGTGCTGCAAGTTTGAAATGGCAAGAGCTTTGTAAGGGAGTCTCTGCATCAGTGACTGATGTAAAACTGAAATTGTTGCTGCTCCTATTCACGACTATTCTGAGATCACAAATCCTGACGTTGTGTCAAGAACTAAGCATCAAAGTGAAAGACCGTCAAAGCAACTGCACATTTAGAACAGCTACTTCTGTGATGGCAAACCATTCACTATGATGTTATCCCCACCTGCATATATGCCGGTGGACTGTTGCTGCTGTTTTGACAGCTTACGGTAAGGCCACTCTACTTGGAGATGACCATTTACGTGCATGGCATTCGTATCTGGTTGGTTAAACAATCTGGTCTCAAGATACGGATTTCGACTGGGCACCCCTGGGTGGGTAACTACGGCCGGCTTGTTTGGATCGGTGGTTCTCACAAGAGACAGAGTGGGCCTGTTCTTGCGGAGAAGCACAACAGACACGACACAAGATTGCATAGGTCGCAGCTCCAGAGCACTGGAATAATTCTGGATGATGGCGGAATCTTCCCCGGAAGGTATTACTGGCTTTCCGTGCCACTCGTGTAAGACATCAAGTCCAGCCATGCGGGTGATTTCACTGAAGCACTGCCACGTCTCTTGATTCTTCTCGTTGTCGATGTACAGAACGACTGCTCCAGGCTTCAGCTCTCTCAGGATTGCCTGGAAGACAGAGCTCCTCCTTGGATCATCTCGCATGAAGGCAGCCACAGCTGAGAAGCACTTGACCAGGGTCACCAGGTCAACCCTGCGGATGATGTCCAGTACATCCGGCTCAATTGCAGTATCCCTCACGAGATCACACCGGAAGTAATTCACAGGAAACGGATCCGGGAGTTTCTCTCGAATCGCATCCCAGGTAGTTTTCCAGCTGGGAAAGGCATCGATGACGCTGCACTTCAGCATGCCCACCGGAACAACATCAGTGTCCCTGAGAAACTTAGTCAGGCCCACAAGGTCAGGCCCAGGCCCGCCACCGATGCAACACACCTGGAGATACTTCATCTGCCGCCATCTTTGGACAACATGCGATAGCGATTTCTCCAGGAGTGGCTGTAGGGCTACGTACACCATGTGGCAATGATGCATGTAGTACAGAAACACGTAGGCACAGCGGTTGGCAGCATTGTCCCACTCAGACCTCGACCATGTGTCGGTATTGCCGAGTTTGCATCTGTATGTCCTTGAGATGTTTTGTAGAGCCTGCTTCACTCTGTCGGCTCGGTCCTGGTTAGAGACTCCCTCAACATGTCCGAGGAGATCAGGTAGGATTTCACTCACTAGGTCACGGAAGAAGTCTGCAGCCTTTTGTGATTTGGGAGAAATGACGCTTAAATCCAATGCCGCCTCCATACTTGTCGGAACAACAATATGAATCTGTCAAAAACAAAGGCATTGCTAGGCGTTGAAATTCATGTGATTTTTGCCCCAGGATAATTTACTGTTTCTCCGTTCAGTCTTTAATAATATTGGTCTTTCTGAATATAACCTTAGATGTTTAGGCCTATATTGTATTTCCAAACTTTTGTAAGTTACATACATAAGGCCTCATTTATATTTGGACATGTTTTCCATCCTTTTTACATGCAAGTTAATATGCGCTTATCAATTGTTCCCCCCCCCCCTCCCCCTCCCCCCCCCCCCCTGCTGCCCCACCACTTTTGTCAATTTTGAAGTGTCAAAATCCCCACCCTTCATGCAAAATTTAAGTGAATCACCGACCATGCCGCGACATACAGTACATGTACATACATGGGGCGCACTAGTGATTACCTTTCCTGTAAGATTATTTTTGTAGTAAGCCAATGTGACAATGTAAATTGAGTGCCCTAAATTCCCACCCTGGGGCATGAAAAAAAGTGACCAAATCCCGACCATGCCGACATCAGACCTTGGGACATTTGATTTGGTATCACATTACGAGTTCATAGATATTTAGTAAAGTTCCCATTTTACAATGTTTTATAGCTGATTGAGTGCACGGGGCCTACGCCTTGTTTAAGTAGGTTGCATTTTGTAATTTTATGCAGACAGAGTGACTAGCAAGTAGCAGTAGCACTAAGGCTGTACTAACTTGGTGCACTGTGACTGTGTTGGGCTATTAACACAACACATACTGTGCCTTCTAGAGCAGAGCCCAAATATGTTTAAAATAGCTGAAAATGCAACTGATAATGAGAACATTTTACATCATTCATTTCCATACATTACTGGCTGACAGTGACACTTCTTGCTTTACATACCTGAACAATCCAAACTTCTCTCAGCACCGACCAAGTTGGAACAAAACTCGAAAGACAACGTGTTGAAATTTGAAGAGCGCCGTCAACGTTGAGAATAGTGCACAGTGCAGAAACGCAAAACTAACTGAATGGACCGGAAATGACCAGGCCTCAGGCCAAAATACGAAGAGAAATCGTGTTCAATTTGCATTTCATCGGGATATTTCCCCTACTTATTATTCCCCCATATGTAAGGAAAGGTGTCGATCGGTATCGTGTAAAAAGACCAACTTATTAATTGTTCTGAGTGGACTCTTTGTAATTGTCAATAAACTGTACAACAATGCAAACCATGCAGGTGTGCAAATTACCACACGTGTGGTAATTTAAAGAAAAAAGGGGAGCAATATTGCTACGAAATATTAGCAAAATAAGCAGCAAGTTGCAGAAAGGCAAGTTTAACCCCTCCCCAGGGGGTTCGTTTATTTTGTTTGACTGCAGTGGTTAACTGTTTATCGGGGCGCGGTAAAATGATGAAGCTTTCATTGCAAACTGGGAAAATAATGTGTACGGAGCTCTAGAGGTGCCATCGAAGATGATGTTGACTGAGATCCTGCAATACGAGATGATGATCTACCACTTAGTACATGTATAAATGTCGACAGTCCTGCGATTTACACCGGGTGCCGACGATCTAATAGTAGGTTTACAACCAGTGTCGCACCGGGGGGGGGGGGGGGCCTCGGGGGCTTGAGCCCCCCCCCCCCGGTGGTTTTTTTTTTTGTATAGTCGTGTTCCCTAACGTGGCGCACTTCGAAGCTTACCCAACTTTCCTCGTGTAGTGTTGCCAAACCTCTTTGTTGACAAACCTCAAATTCATGCAGTAAAATAATGGTACTTTTACCTTATTAATGCTTGCTATTTAACCTCCGTGAACGATTTCGGTTTCATAAAATTTAAGCCGAAATTAAAAAACGGTGGCGTCCGGAAATTGGGCACAAATTGGCGGAGTGTTCCCTAACGTGGCGCACTTAAATAAATCTCGGAAAATTCCAAATTAACATTTAAGAATTTCTGTAAACTTGATCAATTCTGATAAATCATTATTATTTCTACTTACATACCCAGCCAGATGTTTGTCAGAAAATTATTTTCTTATTTTTCGGGGCATTTTCAAAGGTTTCACTTTGCACTTGAAAATAAAATCGGAAAATCACGCCAAATTTTTTTTTTTTTTAACTTTGTAGCGGGTTAGTAAATTCGCAATTTATGAACGGGAGTGTTTAGAACTTGATGAAATTTCACTTTCTGTGAAATTTCAGTTAAAACGTTTGCTCTAGCTAGGCGCTACAGGCGAAAAATCAAAGTGCGCCACGTTAGGGGCCGCGCCACGTTAGGGTACATCAACAATAGTTATTTTTTTAGTCCCACGATTTTACCTTGGTGATGTATGTGGCCTATTTTCGAGCAGTATATAATAGGGATGTAAGTGGCGCCACCAACGTCCGTCCACAATAGTCCGCCCCCCCCCCCCGAAAAAAACTCCAATTTTTGTTTCTGCGGCCCAACTTTTAGGCAACATTTTTTGGAAAAAAATTGAGCCCCCCCCCCCCCCCCCCCACCCCCAACCAAATCCTGGGTGCGCCACTGTTTACAACATCCTATTTTATTTGTTGTCACCTTTCAAATGTCCGCATCTCACAATGATGATGTCGCCATCTTACTTGCAACGTCTGATGATAAACATCAGACACCTTATTGCAACATCTTGGATGGCACCTCAGTCTAGAGCTAGCTCCGTAGATCAAATAATGGAGCAAAGTGATCTGACGATAGAGGAAAAGGTCATTGACACGCGACTGCCACGCGCTATGCTGAGCTTGCGTGCGTGTTGGGTTTCTGGGGAATCCCCGAGTTACTATTTTTAGCTTTATATCTGGCAAGGCGTACAAGAACAAACAGCATGCACGCTGAGCTAACCGAGCGCGCACCCGCACAATTCGACCTTGCATTATTGCAAGCACGTATACATGAAAAGGCTGCTCATTACATTTGGAAAGCCATATTCTATCAGGGCCGATTTAATTGTATCAAAGGAAACATCCATTGATCAGCAACACGTATAGAATATTGCAGTAGGATTTTGGTCAAGACATCTGGCTTGGTGTATCGCAAGGTAAGCCAATTTCAATAATTTCACTGCTTTTTTTTTTTTTTTTTTTTGCCATCATTGTGCCTTTTTAAGTTAGGTTTGAAAAAATCAAACTTGTACAAACTTAAAATCTTATTTCCATTCAAACCGCCGATTGTTTTTTTATCATATACGCGCTCATGTCATAACTGAATTTGACGGCCGTCCTCATTGTCCATACACATGGTGATTTTAGATAACGAAAATCACTGCAAAGTCCAACACCATGTGTCTTTTATAAGTTTCAATGAACGGGAATTTCCAACGACCAGTAATCATCGCTTGTGTACACGTGTAATTTTCACCGAGCAATTTCCGCCTTTGTTAGAGTCCGGAAGGGAATTTCAAGAGTGAACCTCGTATAAGAGCTGCTCCTAACATTCTAGGTTTACGCCGAGTCTGAGGTTTCAAAAGCAGAATCCGTATAAGGTTCAGAGACTGAGACTATAATTTGTTTGCTATCAACACGACCAGTTTTACGTTCTTTTGATAATCTTCAGGATACCACTGACTTAACAGAATTGGTGCACTTGTAATTTAATCTAACCAAATTTGTTGTGTCTTTTCAACAGGTGATTCCACCCATCGGTATGTATTACATGAGACCATCTCTCTGCCAAGTAGACCTACAACATGTAGCGAACTACTTTCACACAATCTTAAGCAATGTAGTTGATGAGCTGTTGAGCCGAGTTGATGGTGAATCGGATTCTGAGAAGTACGCCGAGGTCAGCACAGCCTTGAGGTCAATCTCATACCTGTACAGAGAGGGACTATCTCAACCTAATTCTGAGTCTCGATCAGACTGGAGCAAACCTGAGAACCAGTGTGCCTACGTGTACCTGTACTTCATGCAACATTGCTACATGATGTACATGGCGATGCAGCCTGTGATGAGTCCGAGACATTGTCACATCAGGGCTAGACTGGAGTACAGGAAGCAGCGTCACCGACAGCTGCGGGTGTGCAGCATCGGTGGAGGCCCCGGCTCAGATGTCTTAGGATTGAGCAAATTCCTTGAAGACGTCGGTTTGTTTCCCGAATCTCTGCACTTCACTGTTTTGGATCTTTGGCCAGAGTGGGCTCATGCGTGGCAGGCGATCAAGAACCGCACAAAGTCCAGGATCTCGGTGAATTATGAGAGATGTGACTTGGTAGGAGATGCACCTCTCTCAGCTTTAGCCACGCAGAGACTCCGAGAGGCGGATATCCTTACCCTCGAGAAGTCCTTCTCAGCGGTGGTAGCCTTCATGAATGAGGAACATCGCCGGAACATTCTTTTAACCATCCTCTGCGAGTTAAAATTAGGATGTCTTGTAGTCTTTGTGGACAATCGTCGACGCAGCATCGTGACAGGGCCTTTCTTTAAACTGTTCGCACGACCCACTGGTCTGCGGCTTGTCAACCAGTGGGAGGGTCTCCCTAAGGTTCCGGTACGAGGATATTCTAAACGAGTCCAAGAATTCAGAGAGAATGTCGAATTTAACCCAATGTCATGCTGCGTGGTCACCTGTCTGTTGTTTGTAAAAACTCAACCTGGCTGTATTCAGAACATCGGCCTGAAGGCAGGCATCAGCTACGGGGTGTATCGTCGGTCAGTCGGAGACTACGGTGGATTCTATGAGGACACACCGCGTCTTAAGAATATCTGGTTCGAGGAATACCACGATATCCCATGCGAAGAAGACCAGGCGAGATTGGATGATTTTGAATTGGAGTACAACAACCTCTTTGGGTTCACAGAGTACGGGGACCTCGAGAACAACTTCAGGGACATGACAGCAGAGAAGAAACTCCCCTGCTGGGCAAGGACTATGAAAACAAACAGGAGAAAATTGAAAAGGAAGAAGGGTGAGAAGCAGAAGAGGAAAGTCGGCCAAGGCAGAGTGAATGCGAGGACAAATAAGATGAGGAAGGAAATAAGGAGAAACATGCAGGCAGAGACGCCCAGAGGGCACAGGACCGCATTAGTGAGACACTCCGACGAGCTCACAAGAGAATGAGTGAGATCAGGAGCAAGGGAATAAGAAGCACAGCGGGACGGGAATTATGAATCTTGGTGGATCATTTTCGGGCTTCAACTATGACTCCCAAAAAAACTGGGCCATCAAGTGGAAACCAGATCGACTGTAGAGTTAGAGACGAACATTACGGTGTTAGAAAGGACGAGTTTTATAACAAATAATTTTGATGAGTTATAGAAACTATAGACCAGAGGGTTTGCTCCCCTGAGACAATGGATCCTGTAAGATATAATACGTGTATAGAACGTGTCCGTTTACGTAGTTTTCAAAGTGCTTATCAGCAGAAACAAAAAGCATCCAAAAATAAACAACAAACAACAACAATAAAAACAACCCACACACCACTCACAATTGATCCCCAAAAACTAGACCCCATCACCAGCCACCCTCGCTTCTCACACTTTTTTTCAAAGTCTTTCAATAATTAACTTCACGGGTTCCTCTTGTTGAAAACACACTTTAAAATAATTGTAAAAGAACAAGCCGACAGTTTCTATATTCTTGTCTAGTTTTAATAATTTACAAAACAATGCATGGTTATGTGTTAATCGGCAATCATTTTAATTTCACACAAAATGTCGACCGTTGGTTATTTACATAGAATGAGTTTAAAAAGTTTCAAAACCAGTTGCGAGAGGAAAGGTCAAAATTTCATTTTATGATAATTGTTTGAGCGTGACTAACAGGAGGTTGTTGCGTGCTCCGGGAAATTTTACGTCTAAAAATAAAAACCTCCATGTTCAACCAACATTCATATTTGTGTTGAGTATACATTATTTTAAAGACATTTTACTCCCATCCATGACATGGGATATGCTCGAATATTTGGATAATTTTAGACCTTCCTGTAATTGTTTTAAAAATGTTCCGTTTGTCTAAACATGTACTCTCGACACGAAGCAGACCCTCCTTGTCAGTTTTTGGCTCCCACATTTGCTTAATATTACTCGATCTATACACATAAAGAGAAAGGAATTTTTTTCCCAAATAAAACACATTTATAAGTCTGTGTAAACAATTATTGTGTAGTTTCTGTGAATATTTACTAAACGAGAAAGTAAAAGGTAATTTAATTAAGCAGTGTTTCCCGAGGTCTTCTTCTCAAGACTCAAAACTGCTGTCACAGAGGACATACTCTAACAGTACGGCAGATGATGGGATTGTGCCTTTGACGATTCAAGCATGGCTTTTGGCACGCAGTCAGAGTATGTCACGAGAAAGATATTTAGCTATAGGGCCATCGCAGATTTGTCCTCTGAAAAAAAATATAGGTCGAATAACAAGCAAAGGCAGCCATGTTAAAAGTTTTGAAAATTGCTTGTTATTCTACCTAAATTTTTTCAAAGGACAAATCTGCGAAGGCCCTATAGCCACATATCTTCTCATGACATACTCTGATTGTGTGCCAAATGCCATGCTTGTATCATTAAAGGCACAATTCCCCAAATATTTTCTCTATCTGCCCCAGTCCTCTTAAGAACGGGGACTCAAAGCATTTTGCTTGTCATCGGCCCCAAACAGACTCCTTTTGTATTAAACATAAAAAGTTCTAATTATTGTCCTTTCGTGCTTGATTCTTTTGGAAAAAAATAAACCATGAATAATGAACCGTAATCATCAATAGTTCACGGTGTTAAGAATTCTTAGTAAGTTTTGAAACCTTCGATTCGTCGATGGTCACCTCGCAAATACCTCTCGGGTTTCCGTAGCAGCATAATGGAGACGCGACAGCTATTCATCGGGGTAACACCAGTCTCCTGAGAAATACGTCTGATGGACGACGAGTGACGGACGCTCGGCATCGCCACTTTTCCGTGCCATTCGAACAGACGTTCCGTGACGCCACCTGAGCGGGCCAAGCTCTGGAACTCCTCGTGTTGCATGTTGTAGAGATTGTCGATGTACAGAACCATGGCGCCCGGTTTCATCACGCTGAAGATCTCTCGAAGCAGATCCCCGTGTGCCTTATCTGTCCTCATGAAAGCAGCGACGGTCGAAAAAACCTTGACCATGGTGATGATGTCGGCATAGTGCATTGTGGTGTGTCCAATTTCGGTTAGACCGTTCTTCGCTATCAGGTCTCCCTTAAGATATGTAACGCTAAAGCAAGGTTCATACCTATAATCCATATCCAGATTATCTGTAATGGTATCGCAATCTATCTGCCACTGTGGGAAGATATCACATACTGTACATTTCACACAGGATACTGTAAGTGAGGTGTCTTGAAGAAATTTCACCAGACCAATAAGATCTGACCCAGGCCCTCCGCCTAGGCAGCACACCTTCAGGAGGTATTTAGGCCTCCAAGCGTCTCGAAAACGTGCCAGTGACGACTGCAAGCTCCAGTAAACCAGGTACGCGTGCATCATGAAGAAACGATAAATGTACGCACGACGGTTGCCAGCATCATCCCAGTTTGGTCTGCTGTGTGTACCACGCAGCCTACATCGGTATATCATTGAAATAGTTTGGAAGCATGATCGAATGTCGTCGGTGACGGCATGCCTATCTGGACGGGACCGAAAAATGTAATCGAAATAATTACCGACGACACTATCAAAGTACGATACTGGCTGAAAACGACTAGCGAACTGACGCACCATATAGCTGTCGTCCATTCTGGTCAATAAAAACTGAGCTCCAGGACCTCGTCTGCAGCAGTACAGTAAATCGCTCAAACAAGTGCCTTTTATAAAAGGCAGTTCGTCGAATGATGCCGAAATATGACGATTTTCGGTTGTTTTGTGGACTACGTTTCATCACCATGTAGGGGGAAACCCTTTGACGTAAATTGCGACCAATAAATAACTTTAATCCAACCGTGTACTTGTTAATTATTAAGGAGTAAAGTACACAAACACATATTGTATACTTTGGATAACAGCGTTCATGCCCCTATAGCCTTTGCCCTCGTATTTGTGAACAAAAGTATATAAACCTCAAAGATGGCCGTAGTGGAACCGGTCTATGGTTTCGTTGGCTGGCACTTTTTGCCACCCACGTGTTGGCAAACTATGGAAGGTCAACGTCTCAAAAATCCAGAACAGAGGACCATGAATTTTACACTTGAACGTATTTGTAGCAAATAAAATTCTATCCATTCCTCTGAAATGCATCAAAACTATGAAATATATCATCCCTTAAATTTTGGTAAAGATTTTTTGCAAAGTGCACTTTTGAAAACGCTTCATGTTTTTCCTGACAATAGAAAATTCGAGGGCGCTGTTACTGTGATGTCACTTTAGGAACACACTCTTCAGATTAGGGGTTTTTCTCTTCAAAATTCTGCTCATTGAAAACATATGTGCATGCATTTTTCTCATCGTATTACTGTCATATACTAAAACAACAATGAACCACTAAAAGCAAAAATATATTACAGCCACAGCAAACCCCTACAATTCTGGTGACCTTTTTCACTAAAGCAGATGTGAAACTGACGTTTCTGCCTTGAATGACATCACATATTTCCTCATGAATATTAGAGGATTACCAACCTTTCTTAATCATATTACATTTCTGTTTGTCTATTTGCAGACCGTGTTCATTGTTGAAGTGACCAAAACAAAGAGACAGCGTTCTTATTTAAATATGGAAATTTGCATGAGCATAAAAACCAAAAAAAGCACGAAAAAAATGTCACAGGGTATTTGGAAACAGTCCTTTCTTTTACTTTTAGTTTCCAGGTAAAAAAAAAACATGTTCCCACGTGCCTTTAAAACGCAAGACCATCGAGCAACTGTCCAACCCCACAATGTACCACGGATGCTCATTAATATATTCAGTTTCTATAGGCCTAAGCTTAAGTCAAACAGGGGCGGATTTATAGACCTTTATCATGCTGCCACCATTTCAGGCATGTTCCCTGTATCCAATAACAGTACAGAATGATAATGTTTTTGTGCAATAAGGAAACAGACTATTTTTACTTCCAGCTTACGTTGATTTGAATGGGAAACAAATCAAGATGGCCGCAACATGATAATGGTCTATAGCTTTCAGGAAACGGGGATTGATATAAAGGGGGGGGGGGGGGGGGGGGGGGTGAGTCTAAGGCTTGGCGAAGGCCCGCCCTGCTATCTGAGGTCATGCCCTCGTAATTTTTTTACTGAAATCAGCCATACTTCCTCCTGAATTCTAAGGCAATTCGAGAATAAACTGAAAAGTTTCATTGATTATTTTGGCCCATTTTAGTATCACATAACATTAGTCAGTGGCTGAACGAGGGGGGGGGGGGGGGTACGTGCCCCCTATCAAGATCCGCTACTGTCATGAGTAACATTAACAACATCAGTGACTGTATTGTCAAGAGCTATTGATGAGTATGCTAGGGGGAAAGGTCAATTGCGCTGTTCAATGATTATAACACACACACTGTCTCGCCATTGTACGTTATGGTGTGACTAACAGAAGTTGCGTGCGGCGGGAAATCCCCGATGTCTCGTGATAAAAACACAGATTGCGCAATACTGTGCATGCATGCTGTTGGGGCAAACATTCTGTCGCAATATGCGTATATATGTATAGGCCTTATGTTGGTGATAATGTACTCGTTTAGGTTTTCCATCATGGCATGATATGCTGGCTTTGGAATAATTTCAGGCCGATCGATGTTGTCAGCCTTTCCAGTTTGACTGATTCCAACCTCAAGATAATATTTCCGAATTGTGCAAAAGTATAGGGCCGCCTTATCTCCAAGTCCGTTCCCCCTTCTCCGTTTAAGCTAATTCACGACAATCACTAAATTCCAACATGCTGAATGAAACGCAAGTGTGTATTTTTAATTTAAAAAAAAATAACCTTTCTTTTGTTCTTATAATTATTTATATATTTGAGCTTGATTTAAATAATTATACACAATAGATGAAAGAATGCTGAAAAGGTTGTTTAGGTAAAACTAAAAGGATTGTGAAATAACATGTAAAAGTGTGGTACCTGAAAAGTGTGATAAGACGAGGTAGCAGCAGCGTTAAACTGCGGGGCGAGGCAC